AGTAGGGTGGACCACCCGCTGAAGAGCCTGGTACTTAGGTGTTGAGGTACTGCCTTCTCTGTGTTACCATGAATAGCTCTAACTCATGCTGCAGATGTACTCTTATGCTTACTGTTTATGCTGCCGAAGTTGTGATGAGTATATGACTATGAGAGGGAGGTGTAGCATACCAACATGTACCTAACATAATATATGTTTAAATATATGTTTTCCCTCATTAACATCTATGGTGCGATTGTGTGCGCCGCGCCCCCGAAAGTGGTAACAATCTACTCGCACCTACAAACAAGCTACTGCCATACTGCGGTGAACTACTGAGCAAAGGCGGGTAGCTACTGGTGCCACGGAGGCGCAGCAAGAGCCACAGAGGGCTGCCAAATCGGATACCATTCTACCAGTCTACCAGAACCCCGCAACACCCGAAGCGCTGTGTGGCGCTGGCGTTTTTCCCTGATGAATTGGTAATGGCTTGGAAAGGCTTTTGGCTCGGCTTGCATGTCAAGCCAGCCAAGCCAAGCCGGCAAGCCGCGGCTTTAGATAATGAACTTACTGTGTTTAGTACTGCTGTTAAATTAATCAGTGGTAATTTCCTAAAATATCACATTGTATTCTTCTGTACTGTATTCACCTTCTAATATACACCGGCCAATACATAATTAGTGAGACTCACCACGAAAAAACATAGCGAGGGCGCTAGGCTGCTGCGTAACGTTGTGAGCCTCCGTCTGAACGGCTTCACAGGGACCTGGAAGGAGCTGTTCGTTCAGGCAGCCTGGACGGGCAATGCCTGCTGACTTGGGACGGCGGTGTTCCTGGCTGCCCGACGCCCAGCCGCGGCCTCTCACCTGGGCACACTTGACCACGACCACGAGCGCGACGTGCTGCGCCGTGCGGGCGCGGCGGCGCACTGTTCTGAAACCGTACTTGTGGCAGGCAGATAGGCATCAACGCGAGCTGCCGTCGCCGATCGTGATGTTCCAAAGGACGACACCAGGACACCGCCGACAGCCACCCTCGCGGGCGCCAGACTAAAGCCAGCCACGACGAGAGAGCAAATGACTCAGGCTGCCTGAGATAATTACTCCCGTCAGTCATCAAGAGACCGCCGCGACCTTCGCGTGCTTTTGAGCGGCGAACGCCTCTATGTGGCACAATGCCGTCTACATGGTGCCCTTTTCGAGGTGCTGTGCGACGTGCACGCCGGCGGATGAACCCTCTGAGATATAGACATGGCCCGGTGGTTTATCTGGGTGCAGCCGCGGCCCAAGCCAAAGCCGAGCCACTGGCTTGTGGCTTGTGGCGGCTTGCGGCTTGGCTTGGGTTTTCGCAAGCCTTTGCCTGGCCAAGCCGAACCAAAGCCACCGGCTTCTGGGCCAAGCCGAGCCAGTCAAATCACTAACCGCGGCATGCAGAGATGCTCCATCGGAAAGCCCCAGCCAGGCCCGGGGGCAGTGTTCACGGCTGCAGCGCTGATAAGGATTGAGTACTGAGCCCTCGAGCTTGATGATATGGCCCAGCAAGCCCTTCCCATACAGGTGCCAGAGACCGTGTTGAGTTTTTCTCTCCAGAGTGCGATGTGCTCATGAGCCCCTCGTGCGCATTTTGTTTACACGCGTATATAAGAAATGTCATGGCACAGGTATACACCCACCGAATAGATAGCAAACACTAGCGTGTTTGCACTCTCAACAACATAGACCACACCAGTAGCTCGTTCCTTCAACAGGTTGTTTGTCAGGTTATCAGGAAGTCATTTGCTTGAATCTTGGCCAGCTTGCTATCTCGAGACCGAGCAGCACGCCGAAATCCCAAAGCACATCAACTACATGAGTTCCAGACGATGATAATGGTAATGGCCTTCATTCTCGTCTACTGGCATCATAGTTGTAATCCTCTGAGTCCGCATTCATCTATCCAAAGCCGTGGATAATTATCAGATACATACGCCCAACATGCGATTCTAATACATTGTGTCAGCAACTAACAATCCAACTGGACTGGGCTATGACAAAGCTGAGGAGATGTTGAGCAGGCCAAAGGATTGAGAGTGAGAAATAGACCAGCTCGAATCTGGCTTGTCATTGAGCAGTACGAGCCTCTTATATACATGTCAGACTCAATACCTAGCATATACTATGAATATACAGGGGTGTATAGAAAGTGAAAGAATACTATGGAATCCGGGAGAACCATCTGGAGTATGTAATATTCATGACACATTGGTGCTCGTCTTCAGGACATGTTTGGGCTGCCTTGGCTCTCAGCAAGACCTTATGCATCAATTGTCAAGACACTCCAAACTCCTAAGCTCGCCTATGCCGCGGTATACTAGTTGCACAGACTCAGCATTAGGCTTGCCTGCTTACTGCGCGCATTACAGTGCCAGTGGCACATTTGACGATAAATCGCTCAGCCTGCATTCTGCTTTGCGCAGGCCTAAAAGCCTAAGTTTTCGTAGTCTATGGGACTAGACGGTTCTTTAATCACTCTCTCATCCATATGTCCCCCTCAGCCATCCTGACACAATCAGATTCATTGTTTTCTGCTGTATGAGAGGACTAGAGCAGAGGTTTCAGGTGACTGAGACTGTGGAAGATTGATATGTTCTCAGGTGCCTTGCCAGTGGATCTTAACTGTCATGGAAGTCAATAGTATTCAGCCTGCGAAGTAGGTCACTTTTGAGTATATTCACTGCATCCTGCGGGCAGATATATAAATCTATTGGTGAAAATAACCAAGTGAATGGTTTGCCACCTCCTATCTCTCGCATACAATGTATTGTTCTGACAAACAAGACACAGTCACAGACCCATGGCCCCAATTTTGCTAAATGCACCGCCCTATTTCTGATTATTGTTGCCCTTTATATTGTTCTGTCATCAAGCAGCACATCGCTATGTATGATATGTAAAGCTGATGCCTGGCACTAATATTATACCTACTTGCTTACCGTTTCCAGCTGTTCCCCCGTCCATGGTTTGCGCATGCCCTTACCATCATATACGCTCGTACGGTGCACCGGGGTCCGACACGTGTCACGTCATATTTCCTAGCTTCTCTCTGCATATTTTGTCTAATATATCTACGCCGATTGATGCAAGCGTCACCATGATAATAATATGCTATCTCCATCACAATATATTCTCAATATTATGCAGAAAAAAGAGTCCGTCAGAGAAATGCGCCATCAAGTTTCGACCCCAAAGTAGAAATGGAGGCCCATTCATGCGATGCCCATCACTGAGTGCCTGAACTTTGCAAGGAACGCTCCAGACTTGGTGTTGTGAACGTAAAGATCCCCCACGCTATCTTCCAAGGCAACATAGTCATCGTGTGGAGAGTATGACGCATAGCGCACCATGTATGATAGCTGATAGATGTGATGTAGCTTGCCTGTCCATGAGTCAAATGCAACAGCTGTCTTGTCTGCGTCACAAGCCGCTAGTACCTCAGAGCCATCTGGAGAGAACGTCACAGAATACGAGAGCTTTCCTGGGTGGTCGATGGTGAGAAGCTCCTCACCAGTCACTGCACTCCAAATCTTCACTTGATCGTCCATCGATGCTGTTGCTATGCGGTCCCCTTGCCGAGACACTGACAACTCGCAGTATTCTTTGTCATGGTGCCGTAATTCAGAAATGCACCTGTAATTTTGGGTCTCATAGATTGAACAGGAGTTATTGGCATTGATGTAGATGTGAGAACCATTTGGAGAGAAAGCGACCTGGTCTATGTTGCCCTCGATGTCGAAGGAATGTAGACATGCTCCGGTTTGAGCATCCCAAATCTTCACCAATTTATTGCCCTCAGAAGCGGTGGCAATGAGTGCGCCATGAGGGGCATACACAGCTTTTTCGACCCTCCCACGATGTCCTTTTAGATGTAGAAGTGCGTGACCATGTCAGATATCCCAGACAATCGCGGTCTCATCCTCAAATCCCGAGATAAGGGAATGATTGTCAGGAGAAAATGCAAGGGAGCACACAGGTCTTGCATAGCCCTGATGATGATGTAGGCATTGAACAAATAAACCATCGGGTAGTTACCATATGAGGATATCACTGTTGGCAAAGTATGCAGCCAGAAGCTTGCCATTGGTTGACAGCGAGAAGCGTTTGCAGCGTGCGGATAGAGCTTGCAAGTCGACAAAGATGAGCGGTTGCAGCTCAGGGGGTAGAGCATCTTTTTCCGAGGAGCCAGTGAAGATGCGCTGGTACCTCCGATAACCTGACCATCCGGCCGGCTTGGAGTTGGTAGATGTGATGGCGTGATGTGTGAAAGTGCCCTCTTGATCACTAGAGGTTGTGAAGATGCGCCGGTGCTCCACCAGTTTGAAGTCATTAGATGTGATGGTGCGACGTGGGAAAGTGCGCTCTTCGTGAAGAGATATCATGTCTCCTGTGCAAATCAGCCCAACTATGTAGGCGGTTGTCACTTTTAGATGCCGCTATCGCCAGAAGATAAAACACTCACGGGTGCCGTCAACCTGCACTGGAGGCTGCACATGGCAGAGATAGCTCGCGAAATTGACCACGTACTTGCCATTCTAGATGGATATCAGTTTTTTTATAGTTTTCTGGATAACTAACACGACATGTACCACAATATCTTGACAAGAGTTTCAGTTCAGCGGCCCAGACACAGGAACTTATTGAGTTACACCGGACTAGCCACTCAGAAGCGCCCAAGAGCAGCTAAGACATGCTGAAGAATTTCCGAAAAGCCCAAAAAATGGCACAAGCAGGAATTGAACCCGCAGCCCAAAAGTAACCGCAGCGTGCTATACCACTAAGGCATAAGATCTTGCAAATATAAGCTTGGAATTGTCCTATAATACCACTTTTCTACCTCAAAGTCTTAGCTGTAATATTGTAGCCAATTATCAGGTATTAAAGCATTGGAATGTAATTGTACAAAGGTATATTCTAATGGCATGGCTAAGACATTGATGTGGCTAAGACATTGATGTGGCTAAGACACCAGTGTGGCTAAGACATTGAGTCATTGAATATTTGCTATTGATTCTGCTTATTGTACAAATGTATATCCTGATGGCGTGGCTAAGACACTGACATGGCTAAGACACTAGTGTGGCTAAAACACCAGAGCAGATAAACTATACTCAAGTGGAATCAATAGCAAATATTTAATGTTCCAATGTCTTAGCCATGCCATCAGGATATACATTTGTACAATAAGCAGAATCAATAGCAAATATTCAATGACTCAATGTCTTAGCCACACTGGTGTCTTAGCCACATCAATGTCTTAGCCATGCCATTAGAATATACCTTTGTACAATTACATTCCAATGCTTTAATACCTGATAATTGGCTACAATATTACAGCTAAGACTTTGAGGTAGAAAAGTGGTATTATAGGACAATTCCAAGCTTATATTTGCAAGATCTTATGCCTTAGTGGTATAGCACGCTGCGGTTACTTTTGGGCTGCGGGTTCAATTCCTGCTTGTGCCATTTTTTGGGCTTTTCGGAAATTCTTCAGCGTGTCTTAGCCGCTCTTGGGCGCTTCTGGGTGGCTAGTCCGGTGTAACTCAATAAGCTCCTGTGTCTGGGCCGCCGAACTGAATCAGCTCATCTTGACGTCGCCATCACTCGCAATGGCAGTCTCAACATTAGTAGTCTGTGGTCGAAGATCCATCACTTAGCACCGCAAAGACCACTCGGCTTGAGCGGGCTCACCTCCAGTATGTAGTCCAGAAGGATGTCCAGCGTGTCAGGAATCTCGCTCTGGTGGCTCGTCAGATTGCGTACCTCACAGATATATTATGAAGTAGACTGTACCTCGCCCTCGAACTCTGGCATATTTGCGTCATTAAGACCTTCCTCCCGTGGCACAAGCCCTTCATCTCCTGAACCACCTCGTCCCTTGCCCACATCCGGATGCCGGCGATGGCCTGCACCCACAAAGATCTTCAGAATTCCTAGCCGCTTGCGCAGCTTGCAACGCTTCAACAAGACACACTGGTCTCTGGTGGGCTCCGCAGGACGGAGGAGAGACGCATCCGGCAAGTAGTACTGACCATGCCGCTGCATCCGTGGGCCTGTTACAGACCTTGATTGAGACCATCCAACTCTAACCTCCGCGATGCTGCGGGCATCATCCTCAACTGAAGCGCTGGAGCTTGTGCTGACGTTGCAGAAGGCAGCCACAGCCCAGTCAGCTTCTGTCTTGACCTAGCCGCAGACCACGATGAGGTTCTCCTGCTTGAATCGATGGTCAAAGACGTCCTTTGCATATGCATACCATACGTTGTGATGCTGGGCAATGTAGTTTTCCAGGATCCCATTTCCAAGCTCGAGTACTGTCTCAACATGAGCTTCACTCTTGAGCGAGAGAATCGCACCCTGTGCTGCTTTGCATGTGTAGTTGGCAGCAAAGGTTGGGGATACATTGGCATCAGCCATTCTGTGTAGTTCAGACTGTCAGCAAAAATAAATTCCTCAAATAAGCCGGTATCCCCACCTGTTTGACGAGGTGTGCTGTTGCTCGCTCTCCACTCCATGACTACAATATTGGCCAGGCGCGAATGGTTGATGTCTGCGGTCGATCTTGGGTACGCCTGGAGGCAGAGGCTCTGCATTCTCAAACTGCGGGTTCCAGAATGTGACCTTCTTCTCTAGAGTAGAGGTGTCGAGGTTGAACAGCCTGATGAACGCTCCTTCGTGAATGACCCCTACGTCACCAATCTGCGGCTTGCCCGATTCATGTGGTTCTGGGTACCAGAGGGCATGACCCAGGTGAAGCATCTGAAGGCTTGAGGAGTAGATATCATCTGAGGTGAACAGCAGACAGAAACAGCAAAACATGGAGGACAAGATGTACGATTCAGAGCGGGTAGGAAGAGCAGAGGTGGCAGCACGCAAGACTTACATGCTGTGGAATAATAACAGAGATCGTTCCAGTGTCACCATTCTGATAGCTTCCCACGAGGAAGGCGAGTGCCCAAACTCTGAGTCATCCAAGAAGATGAGGGCCATATGTCAGCTACAGACTGTCTTTCATACGCACTCTGAGGTGGCCTGAGATTGTGTCACCAGCGTGAAGACTTCAGTTAAAGCTCAGGCTGAAGACTGCCAAGCTCCAAGCAGTGGTGCATGGTATCAAGCTAGACCTCACCATGTTAAATCAGGAAGGCCACATCAGTAAAGCCTGTGGCATCGAAGACGTCTTGGGATAGTATACCGGCAACCTGTCGTGGGCGTAGCCCCGGCCTCCTATTTTATTCCCATTTTCTCCAATTTATTCCACGATTATACGACCCTCCAAACGTCGTCGGTGCATAGGCGCCAGTTTACAAGCCATAGCCGCGCGCTAAACACCTCGAGAACGCATCACCGACGGGCACGCATCAGCGCATCAGATGCGCCTGCATCGCCGCCGCCTCGTCACCGCATCATGCTTCCTCGGAAACAGCCGCACTCTGATCTCCATCGGATATCCGATCCCCGTCGGCCCGACAACGTCATAAGCCATGACACACTGGCCCCGTCTATCTCCGAGTCCGATCGGCAACGGACTTCCTATCCCCGTCGGCCCGACAACGTCAAACGGTATGACACACCGGCCCTCGTTTCCCCGCCTAAGTCTCCTAGACACTAGCAGTCGCCGTAGCACCAGTTGCTTATGTAAAGCCTGGTCCGTGCGCAACCTGACTAGTATATAAGGCTCCCCTTTGTCGCTACCTAGCCCCATCTCAACCTCTTGGTTAATTGGGCTAGGTAAGCCTCCACTTGTATCGTAGTACAGATTGCTAATACACTTGGTTAATTGGGCTAGCTGAATAAGCTAACGCACTAGTCGCCAGACCTCGTCGGCGCCGCCTTCTGATTAGATCCACGCAGTATCCCTCGTGGTGTGTCGACGCAAGTCCACATCACAACCCCACCATCCCAAGCCAGAGGTCTTGCGCTGACACTTTCTCTTAACAGTAAAAAAATAGTCAGCAGGTCACAAATTGATTATTGTGCATGCAGTACACGATATGGAAACGCACCTTGCCATCAGCAGCAACCTTATTTCAATCTTGCACAGAAGGCCCCATGCTCAGAATGCCAATCAATTTCTTTTCTGGACAGGCGACCTGGTTGAGAGTGTGTGGTGCGCTGCACAAGCCGTAATCTGGATCAATGATTCATGAAAAGAGGCCATGTCATTGGACAGGGCAATGTGCAGGTTCTATTTTGCATCCTTACCAAAGCCTCCCTCTCTCACATATTCTCACATAAGTAACAGTGTTATGGTACTAGTGGAGCCTTCTTGCACGTGCATTAGCTGTATGCGTAGCTGAGCAGGGCAGAGTGTATGTCATTGGAACACAAAGAGCGAGTCTATAAGGTCGTCTAGACTCGGAATCGTGAAGTGGGCCGTCACAAGGACGACTGTGACTGCAGGAGTTGACTAGGTGACAGGGACAGAACGACAGGCTATACCTAAGTTGGCACTGTAGCTTTCGTAAATTGAGCAGTCTCATGAACTTCATGCATCATAACTGTAGCGTGACAACGAGAGACGGGGCGTGGACAGAACGCACTGGCCGATGAGCTTTGTCTCCGAGCTCGGGTACCGTGGCAGACGCCCATGGGAGTCTAAAGCGCCTAATAACCCTAACCTGAGGGGAAGTGCTTTTTGCTCAGCCTGCTCTCTGTTTGGCCGCTGTCAGGCTATTACACAGTGATTAATAAATCTATTCTACGTAGTAACCGTGGGTGTATTTTATGCAAAGGAGATGTGAACACAGGAAGGCTACGCGAATACCCTTTGCCTTGGCTGGGTATCTGCATGGTATGCTTTCCCAGTCCGGAAACTTGCAGGATTTGGCCCTACCGAGCAGGTGAGCAAGCGTAGCTAGTGAAAAGCTCCGAGGTCACAGTTACTTGCCAGTACAGTTTATTTCTCTTTTTCTTCCCCTCCCTTCCTTGAATTCTTCTCTGGGACTACCCTGGAAACGACCCATTACTCGGAGGAGCCACGTGCCACGTGGCTTCTCGGGGATCAACCGATGCGCTGACGTAATACTTCGCTTTTAGTTGCCGCTACGTCCCTGGCCTCCGGGCAACTTTTAGTCCGACGCGCTCACGTCTTGGCCTCTGGGCAGCTCTTTTCTGCTCGTACAAAAGATGCTTAACTCGTCCTCTCACCCACTCAGCGGCCACGGTCACCGCATGTCATAAACCGCGTAACGCTCAGCTGGCCGAACGTCTCCGTCACACACCTTGCGGCCCTCCGACTCGTCTGCAAGCTATCCCCGGCACAACAACCTTGGCTTGTCGCAGGTCAGAAACGACTTTCACATCTCCCAGGCATCCGTCCTCCTCCGCTAAGACCTCCCGCTTCGTTAGCAGCATGCTCGCTTGCGTCAGCACCGGTGCATTGCACACGCTGAGTTCATGGCGACCGTGCGCTTTGACGACCTAACGCGTGGTATTAACAACATCCCTCTAGTTTGAGGTGTGTATATCCCTCTCCGTATGGATGATCGCGCAGCATTTACTTCTTTGTTTAGCGCCCGACCCAAGACGTCCGCAGCTACATAGGCCGCGCACCACGGCTTCGGACACTCGTTGGGCATGTTGGTTGAGAAGGCTTGGAGCTAGTGCGCGTGCGAGGGATGTTATTTACGTACGTCGTCCAGCTTGGTTTCTTCTGTACTTGCTGACCGGCCAAACAGTCTGATGTTTTCTTGTCGCGTCTTCGTCCCCCAGATAGGCTACAGTTCCAACTCTTCCATCAACTGTATCGACGGTGGCATAGCAATTGCCAAGAAACGCTGCCATTTCACTTCTCACAGTGGCCTGCAATGCATGCAGGCCATCATCGACACACCTGCGCAGCGCATCTCGACGCATTTACGCAAAAGCGGCAACAGTGTCCAATTGCTGTAATGGAAGGTGAAGCCGACGGTATTAGACGGTCGGGATCCGATTCATTTCGTGGGTACGTGCAAATGAGGACACAAAGGCCTGATATGCGAGTGGACGGCTGAGTGGCGAGTTGACCGCGTGCTCCCAGAGCAAGTGACGGATGCACGGATTCTTGGGGTACATTCGTCATGTAAGTTCTGTTCTGTTCGATAGTCCAATGAGTCCTCGCTGACTGGCTCCCAGCACGGCGTTCCTTGGCCCAGGCTGCCATGTCGACACAGCTGGACGTACAGCGGCTTCAGGTTCTCTCAGCGTACGATATGTACGTACTACGACGCGATGCTGCTGGTGCGCTACTGACAGAACCCATTCAGCTCTGAGCCGGACCGCCATCTTTTGCCTGACATAAACCCGGACTGCGGGAAGACCTCTGGATTCATATTTTGATGGCGCACATGCTCTTCCTTCGCATAACATCGCTCCACTGATTGCTACGCCCCAAGTCTCCTGCGCCTTCTCTCCACTCTCGGTGGCCAGCATGCCCCATTATACCAGCGCACTTCCCCATTACCCAACGCCTCCGTCTGGCGCTTGGACTACGATACCCCAGCGGTCTTATTCTACTGTACGGGGCAGGAGCCAAGCACTCGCAAGTATTTCGTCGCTCGCCGTAGGTTTCGGTCCATTATTAGGCCATTCATTATGCTCGAGTATGATCGACACGGCGTACTTGGGATTGTCGTTCACCGCGGTACGCTAGAGAAGGGGACAGAGAGGATGTTCGGATTGGTCAATGGCTGCGGAACATCTGCGTGTTCTCGAGTGCGTCGCATTGCAATAATTGTCGCCGAATGTGAGCGCACTAACTGTGTCAGTCGAGGTCGCCGTTGAGGATCTTTCACCGCTCTCGACGTGTGGGAGCACAGAAGGCCATGCGGTCTAGCTGAGGGGCCCAAGTCAGCGGTACGTCGCATCGCGTCTCCGCTGTACACAGCGCTCTTCTGACGGACAGCAGCCTGTTGCAGCTCCGACTTCACTCAGTACGTCCTGTGCCGAAGTGCCAAGACCTATGCCATCGTCGCTCTCCTCTCACTCTTTTCGTTGTTACAGCGTCTATCGCCCCCGCCCCCACTCGCACGCCCGCAGAAGTGCGACATCGTTGACGTGTCGTACGTGCACAAGCTGCAGCCTGAGCACGCGTATCTATTAGGGTACGTCCATGTGATTAGCAAAACACGGGGCGTGACCGCCATCAATGAGCACTACACTTATCTACCATACGCCGGCTGACCACGCCAGATGGCGCAGGAGTCATTGCAGCTCTTTCGGTCGTGCGATACGTCATTTTGCGCGGCCCGTGGAGTCTGACATGGGTGGTCATTGTGCTCTCCGGCCAGTGCGGCTGTGGTCGCGTTTTTAGGAGTCACGAGGGTCCACCTCTCGCAGGTCTCATGTGTTTTTCTGATCCTGCTGTCTGTCCTCCCACGTGATGCATACCCAGCGACGATTGGATGTAGTGTTTGCTCATACTGTATGCCCGTGCGTATTAAGCTGTACTTGTCAGATTACCCCCACATATATGTACTAGTACGATCCGATCCGTGGGGAAGGGGAGGATATACTATCGCATGCGCATTACATCGTAGATGTTACACAGTATAGGAGGTTTGTCCTCGAAGTCAATTAGGAGGTGCTTGCTGTCAGGTACAAATTGGACATCGAAGATACCCCCTCCAGTCTCAAGCCTTGCAAGGAACGATCCAGACTTCGTATCAAATGCTTTCAGCTCACCGCCAGAATCACCGAGGACAACGTAGTCTCCATCCGGGGAGTATGCCGCCCAACGTGCTCGATCTGACAGCTTGAAGATGCGACGTAGTTGGCCTGTCCGTGAGTCGAAGGTTACAGCGGTCTTGTCCGCACCGCAGGATGCCAGTACCTCGGCTCCGTCTGGGGAGAATGCCGCAGGCGATGAGAGCTCTTGCGGGTGGCTGATCGCGAGAATCTCTTCGCCGGTCACCGCACTCCAGATCTTCACTTGACCGTACGATGCAGTGACTATGTAGTCTCCTTGGCAGGATATTGACCAGGAGCTGTCGGATCCCATGCGATCCTGTAGTCTCGCAATGGGCGTATATGTTCGGACATCATAGACGCGGACGCCGAGGCCCGCTTCAGCATAGAAACGCAAGCCATCCGGAGAGAAGGCGAGCTTGTATATGATTTCATCAGCATCAAAGGACTGCACACATGCGCCAGTCCAAGCATCCCAAATCTTTATGGACCTGTCGCCGGAAGCGGTAGCGATAAGCGCGCCATGAGGAGCATATGCAACTTTGGTTACCGTCTCAGTGTGTTCCAGACGTAAAAGAACATGGCCACTCCGAGGGTCCCAGACGGTTGCGCTTTTGTCTTCGGATCCTGAGACAAGAGACTGGCTATTAGGAGAAAATGATAGGGATTCGACATCGCCCGTATGGTCCTGATGTTGTAGGCGTTGAACCAGTAGACCATCGGACAGTCGCCATATGAGAATGCCACCATTATCGAACGATGCTGCGAGTAGCTCGCCGTCATCGGATAGGGCATAGCGTTTAAAACGGCTGGATGGATCCTGAGAATCGGCGAAGATAAAATGCTTCAGCTTCAGGGGACGAGCCTCGGCTTCTGTGGGGCCGACGAAGACAAGCCCGCCATCCAACCGACCGGCGCTGTCAGTGGTGATGTACGGCCATTTCGCCATGTCAGATTTGGTAATCGTGCGACGTGCGACGGCGCGTTCTTGCTCATTGCATATAACGTCTTCCATGCATAACGACCCGACTGTGCAGAACATTGCGGCATTCAGATACAACTATCGTCAGCCGACAAGGGAGACTCACGCGTTCCATCGATGTACACCGGAGGCTGTACTCGTCGAAGATAGCTCGCAAAATCTACCACCTGCTTGCCGCCCTGAGAGTATGTGAGTTTTCGCATTTACGTCAGACATTGCGCACAGCACGTACGACAATACTTTGCACGTCGTCATCGCCTGCAATTGCGACCTTGACGCCAGACGTCTGTCGTCACATGTACGATGGTTAGCGTGATTGACAGCGCTCAGTGTGAGCTGACTTACTTCGAGGATGTAGTCGAGAAGAATGTCCAGCGGATCAGGAATCCGGCTCTATTATCTCGTCAGCTGATGTTCCTCGCAAGTCGTCGTCGCCGGTCACGCACCTCGTCCCCGAGCTGTATTACATTCGTTTCGTCCATATCTCCTTCCCGCGCCATGATTCCTTCTCCTCCCGAACCACTTCTCCCGTCTTCTGGATCCGAAAGCGGGTGATATCCAGCACCCGCAACAATCTTCCGCGGAAGCATCGGCCGCTTTCGCACCATCAGCCGCTTCACGAACACTGACTGGTCCTTGCTCTCGCCCGTCTTCGCACTGTCCGACGTCTTCACCGAGTGGCTCTTGCCTCGGCGCTCCATCCTTGGACCCGTCACCGTCCTCGTGTGCGATCCGCCTGCATCGATCCCCGCAACACCGCCGATACGCGCTCTGAGCGACGCACCGAATCTCGTGCTGGTGTTGCTGAATGCACTTGTCGCCCAATCTGCTGTGGTCTTGACCCATCCGCTGACGAAGACGATGTCTTCTTGCTCAACGTCTTGGCTGAGATCGCCCTTGGCATACCCGTACCATATGTCATGATTGCGCACGATGAACGTCTTGAGAGCGTGGTTCTCGAATAGGGTCTCCTCGTACGCCTCGCTTTGCAGTACCAACACCGCGCCTTGGGCTGCCTTGCATGCGTACTCCACGTTAACACCTGCGGACGCGCCTGCGCCAGCCGTTCTGCGCGCTGTCAGAAGACGATCTCTGTGATGAGCTAGTGCACTCACGCGTCTACAGAGGTATGTATCTCCTTGGCCTCGACTCCATGACTGCAATAATGTTTCGGAACGAGCGGTCCACTTCTCGAGTCAACTTGCAGTACACCCGGTGGTAAGGGCTCCATGCCTTCAAACGGCTTGAGCCATTTGAATGTCACCTTCTTCTCAGGTGCAGAAGTGTCGAGATTAAATAGTCTGACGAATGCTCCACGACGGACGAAGCCCACATCGCCGATCTGTGGCTCGCCCGTGACATGCGGCTCGGGATACCAGAGGGCGTGGCCGAGGTACAAGGCGTCAAGGCTGGATGAATATATTTCGTATGGAGCAGACGGTGGACGACGGAAAAAGAACATGGTGAATGGGCTAGCGTGTGGAACGAGCCAGTAGAACAGGGGCGGCAGTGTGAAGCAAGCCAGAGCCACGGGCGTTGAGAAATCGATGGTGGGAGGATGCCAGCGCCATAGGCATGATAGTTTCGCACGGAGAAGTTGGGCTCAAAGTAGACGAATAGCTCACGTGCCATATATCCTTCAGAGTCGTTTATCCGCGCCGTGCTGCTCTACATGTGATGTTGGTTGTCAGATTGTACAGCGAACAATTGATGACCAAATGACGCCGTGGGGGTGCGGCGAGTCAGGAAGGTAAGCCAAGCCGTGGTTGTACCGTTGGTGTACGGTGCTGGCCGTCAGGTTTTACAGCTTTCAATGGCAAAATAATGCGATGAGAGTGCGGTATGTTGTAAAAGAAATCCAGGTCTTTGTACGCGGCGATATGTAGGTTATGGAGTGGGTGATATTTCACGTCGGATGACAGGCAGCGAGTGGAGCATGGGATGCGGGCTGAGCAGTTTAAACCCGGGGTTCGTCTTGAGCTGATTCAGTTCATTCGCCGGTACAGACACGCGAGCTTATTTAGCAGGTTTGAACGGATGGAGGCCTGTAGGTCGAAATGCCGCGTCATGTGTGCGAGAGTTAAGTATCTTAACAGATGGCGGAGCACAGCGCGAGTCAAGACTCAAGAACGCCGAGCGGGCCTCCTTGTTCTCCGAGCTCCCCGAGCGGCAGAGGGGCCACGTGGCTGCTCGGCGATCAGCCACCACAATGTGCTGACGTAATACCTCCTTTTTAGTGCCGTGGCCGGCCTCGATTCATCCCACTCGCGTCTTGGCCTCCGGGCAGCTCTTCTGCTCACACCAACCAGAGCAGTTCTGAGCGACCTAATTGGTATTTTCATCTGCCCAACGGTCACCGCACAGCTATTAAACGCGTAGCGCTCAGCTGGCCCAACCTCTTCGTGAGGCACCTTGCGGCTTTTCGAGTCGCTTGCAAACAAACCCTGGTCCCTGGGGCAATAACTTTGGCTTGTCACGGGCTAGAGACGACTTCCGCATCTCCAACGGGTACTCCGCTAATGCCTCCCGGCTCGCTGAAAGTATGCTCGCTTGCGATAGCCCCGGTGCATTGCGCTCGCTTTGCTTATGGCGACCGTGCGCTCTGGCGATGTATCGCGCGGTGTTGGGGATATCATTCTAATGTGAGGTGTGTACGTTCGTCTGGACATGGGAGATGGCGCAGGATTCACTCGTTTTTTCAGCAAATAATCCAGGATGTCTCCAGCAGGGAAGGCGGACATTCTCTGGACATGTTCATTGGCGGCACTTGGACCCACTGTCAGATGGAATAAGGGATATTATATATGTACGTCATTCGGCTCGGTTTCTTCTGTGCTTGATAACAGGCCAAACAGCCTGACGTCGTCTCGTCTCGTCTTCGTCTTCCAGAGGATCCGCATCTCGGGCCTTTTCGTCAGCCTTCATCTGCTGCAGCACAAATCTATCAAGAATCACTGCCGACTTGTCCCTCGTAGCAGCCTGTAGCTTATACGGGCTGCATTTGACATCCACGGACAGCGTATCTTGACGCACCTACATGGGACCCGCAACAGCACTCGATCTCCCTGACGGAAGGTGAAGCCTACAGTTTTGGATGGTTGGGATTTGATTGTCATTGTGGGTACGTATGGGTTTCGAACGCAGGGGCTTGATGCTGACCCGGGTTGTCCTCGATAGCCTAGGAGCACATGATGCGGGCGACACAGACAAACAGCTTGGGGAGAAGACAGTCGTGCAGACCATGTACGGGCCTGGTGCCATCATAGTGGGGCTACACAGCGCTGAACACGTGCCTGAAATCTGGACAGGAGAACTCCAAGTTTGCCGGCACGGGTGTCGCCTAAATGCAATTCATGCGCCCTATACACCTCCACCTCGACGTCCGGGAAAGCCTGCACGCAGAGTCGTCCGGTGCCCTACTCCCTCATGACGAGCGGGATATCTAATGCGAAGGGCCCAAGTTACGGACGACCGTGTCCGGACGCGATCTCCAAAACGCCGCAGTGGCGTTGACCAGCGACGTTCATTCTCCGTCGTGTTCATCGCTTGCGGGTACGAAGTACTGAGCGCCGCTTCGTAGCACCTGCTAATGAATCGGCATGCCAAGAAACAAGCCAGGCGTGGCCACACCGCTCAGCACGCCGCCCGTTCTGCGCAGCGCAGATGCACCACGGCCACGTCTGCCCATGTCTCGACGAGCGTGATCATCACAGTCGACGCGCACGCATTGAAACGCGAAAAGGAGTTCTGAGTGGCAGCACGTGGGAGTGAACGGCTGGGATATGGATCGACCATGTACCCCCAGAGCGAGTGACAGATGCACAAGTTTTTGGCGTACATTCATTATGTAAGTTCGGTTCTGTTTAATCGTCCCATGTGTCCTTGCTGACTGGCTCGCGGGACGGCATCCATTAGCGAAGGGAATGTCGACACAATCAGACGTACGGCGACTTCAAGCTCCTTCAGCTTAAGGTGGGTACCTGATGCTGCTGGTGTGCGCGCTGCTGATAAAGGCCCATTCAAGCATTGTTCTAGCAGTATCTGTATTGCCGTTACGCTTCTTGCACTGGCGAAGCAGGAGCGCCGACATCTCCTGAGGTCGGACCAATGTCTTCTGCCCAATCACGGGCTAAGGAAGCGAAGCTGACGACCATGAATAGTCGAGGCTTGGTTGGAGTTATGGGTATGTGGAAGTATCATATCGTGCTTAGGTGCCATCTCCAAGGTGACACTCCGACAGCGACTAACGACACTATTACTCCGTCGTATCCGTCGCTTGTGGGTACGTATCGTCGACTATCGTTCCGCTGCGCCTTCCGACGGATGTACACCCTCAGGAACAAGCACGACGTGGCCAAGTCAGTACGCTGCCCGTTCCATGCGACGGCACTTTGGCTACATCGGCTCATGTCCAGACGAGCACAACCATTGCGATCGACACATGCTCGTCATAATGCAACAAGGGTTGCGAAACATGCGCACGATGGCTGCGATAAAGAGTGTAGCACGATTCAGGTATTATGGGCCAGGAGAGCAGGATGACGGTGCGAAGCGGGCGTGGGGCGCGCGATTGGCGAGGGCCAAGAGCCTGATGGTTTCTTCGCACGGACATTCGGATGCCCAAGCTGTGAGCAAAGACTTTGCCACGCTGCTCATGCCCAGCAGCGGCTACGCGGTCTTCGATAACGATTCAATTCAGACAAAATAGTGTCTAATTACTGCAAGACTGTTATCGCTACAGCTACGCAAACATGACTGTCGCAGCGTGCCCAAGTCGTGGCAATAGCCCTAGATCCCTGGTATAAGCGTACCCGCGACAGGAAGGCCATGAAGCTGACAGCCACTTCGTTCACTGTCTCCGACATTTTGATATCAACCAGCGACGGATATCACAGTCATGCCGTCTGTCATCGAATGCGTCCGTGCCACCAGAAAGCGCAGGTGGAGGCCGAAGCATCGTCGGGTGGGCAGTGAAAGTCCGGAGGACATGATTGAAGTTGCTGGTGGTGGCTTTGTGCAGACGCGTAAGTGCATTCGACAAGTGTCGCGGTGACCAAGACCGGACGGGGGAGGCGCAACGGCGAAGCATGCCAAGCTACAGCGCGGGCCCGGCAATGATTTGCTGACGTCACCAGCGCAATGCCCGAGACTACCCAGTGACGTGCTCTAACGCACGTTATCGCGGGAATACAATGTCGCCCTGAGCGGCTAGGGTGGTCTAGCGCGGCCTGCGAAGTGGTTGGGCGAAGTGCGCTGCTAGAACTCGAGAAGATAGGAATGCGGAATTCGGTGCGGAATGGGGAGAGAATCTAGGCATCTTAGTGTTCGCGCCATGGCGAGATCGTCTTCTCTGTTTGACTGTCAAGCAACATGATGCATGTGCGCTGACGACCGAGTGTCCACGGGCACTTGTTCTTCGGTAGATCGCCAACCACCGATGACCACTCGGCCAGTGTGCAAGAAGCTGTGGCTCTTGAGCCGTTGTTTCCAACGATATCTTCGAGTATCGGCAAGTGCCTGCGAGCGAGATGTTGAAGAACCGTTACCCAGCTTTGGGTATTCAGGAACTACTCACCGTTAATCTCGCGACCCAACCGGACCCAACACCATCTCGCCTCAGTCGACCTGCATGGCTACAGTTGTTGAAGGGACATTCATCCAATAACGTTGAGTAATAGTGCGCATAAAATCCAGAGAATCCGAACACACCGTAGATATCGCGACAGTAATCCACACCAGCACCTTGTTCCTCCCCTCTGTCAGCTTCCATTCCCTCTTCCCTCTTCCCCTTCCTTGCACAGCCCGCGCTACACTGTGCGCAGGCGGAGCTCCAAGCGGTACGAAGGTGTTCATGGCATCCGCGCGATCGGTCGCAGGCGGCACACAGCGTGTCTTGTACAGTCCTTCGTTCGAAAGCGTGACACCGCGCAGCCCTACATCTGCGCTTTAACGCGATAGGAAATGTGCGCAGCCTTGTTTACGAATAGCGTGGTCTCTGGGTGGTCTCTGGGCTTGCGGTTAGGCAGAGGTCTCGTCGGGTAACCACGGGAATGTGACCGGGCTGGAGCGAGTCAGGGTCACAGAGATAACCTGATGCTGGCTATGGGAGCGACTGGTGGCTCGAGCGGACACTGGTGCCGTGTTATGTACGCGAGGTCGGGTGTCCGAATAAACGGTGGTGGCGAGCCAGAGCAAAGCGCGCCGACGCGAAGTAGGCGTCTGAGCCACGTGACTGTGGGAGATCAAACGCCACGATGTCTTACCGCGTCTGGCAACCCGCGCCCGCGCCTTCGACCTCCAACCGGCTCTCCTGCCTACACCAGCCAAGCAATGTGCGGGAGGTTCAAGCCGCCTGGCTACTACTCTATTCCATGTTATTTCCCACTGGCACACTACCACTCATTTCACAGTTAGCCAAACGTCTTCGTTACGCGTCACGGTCATGCAGTCCTCTGGATTGTCCACAAGCCAGCAACTGCGGAACCACGCCTCCCGGCTCTGCTCTGCACGCTTGCTTGGAAGAGGCCAATCGCTGGCTAGAATCTTCTCTACGTGTCTCGCCAACAGTAGCTCGCTCGTACTGCCACGGCTTGTGCGTTGCTTGTGGCGGCCTCACACGCAAATCGTTGGTGATGCCGCCCTAGCATAAGATATACAGGTGAGCCGGATCTGCGTGTTGAGTACAGCTCAGGATTATTTGACTTATATGTTCAGCACGCAACTTAAGCCGTCTCCGCCAGGGAAGGTGGATGCCCTCGACGAGGTAGACCGCACCCTGCGGCCCCGGGCATTTATTGGACATGTTAGTTGCGAATGATCAAAACCGCTACGCAAATGGTATTGGAGACGTAATGCGCGTATGCTGCTCATCTTTTTCTCTTCTGTGCTTGCTCATCGGATAAACAGCCCAGCACCTTCTCATCCCATTATCATCGCCTTCATTATCCACTCTTTCGATTCTACCATCAATATTTGTCAGCAACCTCACGTCCTCAGGACACCCATCGAGAGACACATTCTTTCCCCTCCTCATGGTGACCTGTAGCGCACGCGTGCTATCCACGATACCTCTGGAGAGCACACCTCAACGCATCTGCGTAAAATCGGGTTTGACTTCGGCGACGGGAGACGAAGTTGACTGTCGTGCATGGTCGGGATTTGATTGCAATAGTGTGCATGTGCGTATGCGCGAATCTTGAACGCGAAGGCTCGACGCTGATACAGATTGTCGACGGTAGTCCGAAAGGACATGCATGCGTCCGATGCAAATAGGCCGCTCGCGGAGAATATCACTATTCGGAGCGTGTATGACTCTCCCTTCATCCTTTCACGACTGTGCGGCACTGACCGCGACGGCGCTATCTAGCCAGTGGGAAACCAAGTTCGGCAGCACGAGCACCACCTGAAATGCAACTTGAGTACCCCGCACGTCCTTGCTCTGACCTCCAGGAAAGACGGCCCGTAGAACTGGTCGGAGCCCGCCTCCGAGACGATTGTCAGGAGCTCCACTCTGACTAGCTCGTGAATGGTCGTATTCAGACGCGATCTCGGGTGATATTCCGACGACGATGATGATGGTGACGACGACGAGCAACATATTCCTTGGCGACATCAGTCGCTCACGAGTACGAAGCATTAACCGAGATTTCACAGCGCTTTCTCAGGACCCTACTTATTTAGAAACCAAACACGACGCGGCTACACCTCCCGACGCAAGTACCTCTCATTCAGCGCGACGGCATTCAAGCGATGTCGACTCGTGCCAAGAAAGGTATAATTACTATGATTGACCTGTCTTCGTCGAAATGATACTGAGATTCTAGGAAGCAACGCACGAGTGTATGCCTAAGCGTTGGATTGATCGTGAGCTTGCAGAACAGTCAGCGGGAGCGTGGGTTCCTGTATATTACATGAGTTCGGCACGGCGTTGTGGCATGCTGCTTCCTCACTGACTGATCCGCAGAATGGTGCTCCCTGGCGGGAGTCTTACCTGTCAGTGCCGTCGGACATACAGAGATTTCAAGCTTTTTCAACTTGGATCAGGTACGTGCTGCGACGCAAATCAGCCAACGTGCACTGCTTATAGACTCCCCTCCAGAGATTGTTTCGGCAGTACCAATATCGTCGTTCCCCTTCTCGTATTGAAAGGGCACGAACGTTGGCATCTTCTGAAATCTGACTGCCATTCTCTGCTTGATCGCAGACAGCGACGGCACAAAAAAGTTTCGGATTCATACTTAGGTGGCACACACGCTTCCCCTCGGCCTAGGATCGCTCCCGCCGTTCCCTGCGACCCAAGTCACCCACGCCCTCTCTTCGATTGCCGCACACGGTATGACCGGCTATGATGGTGCGTTGCGCCAATTTCCAAATCCTCTGTTTAATGCTTGGACTACGATACCGCGGCGACCTCGCCACCTGCTGCACGGCGGTTTGACTCTCCCGAATATTCCAGCGCTCGATGGGAGTTTCGGCCCATTTTCCAATCGCTCGTCAAGCCCAAGTACGACCGGCACGGTATAATCAATATTGCCGTACATTACTGCATGCTGGGGGAAGAGCTAGAAGAAAAGTGTTGATCAACAGACGGCTGCAGGGAGATTGGCATACTATCCGGGTGCGTCGCGTTGAAAAGCATTGTTGAATTCGAGCGTGCAAATGATATCTACCCAGGTCGCCATCCGGGTGTTCACCGTATTCGACGTGCAGAAATACCGAGGGTTTTGCGACTTAATTGAAGGGACCGAGTGAACGATACGCCATACCACTGGCACGTCTCCGTCGCCCACAGCGCCCATCTGACAGACTGCAGTTTGTCGCGACTCCAATTTCGCTCATTACGTCCTGTCGGTCCCTTCTCGTCCTCCTAGCCGTTGCCGCATCCATCATTGTCGTCGCCGTGGTCCGCCCACGAGAAGTGCATTATCTTTGCCGTATCGTGCACACTCAAGTTTCCGTCTGGTCCCGTGTATGTATCAGGGTACGTCCTTGTGAGCAGCAAAGTCCTGAACATTACCACTAGTGATGTGCGGGCCCGGCTTGGGCTCAAAGCCCGGGCTTGGGCTTGTGGCGACGCCAAGCCGAGCCCTGAGCCCGACCCGAGCCTGAGCCCGGCCCAAGCCGTGGGCTTAAGCCCGGGCTTGCAAAGCTTAGGACAAGTAATTATATGCTACGAAAGTGAGCATATTTGTATGTGATAGGCTGCTATTGCATGTACCCACCGTACTGCAGCCTCCAGAGGGCATGCGACCGCGCTACAAGCCATGTTATGACACGGTTCGCGAAGGGGCGCCTACGGCGAACGCCAGGCGGTGGCGCACAATTGCGCCTAGTCACACTAGCAGGGACCGCCCAGTCCGGCAAGTCAAAGTTTTGTCTCGTATGTGTATATAAAGTCGTTCTTACCATATTTTGAGCCCAGGGAACGGCAACACATTTGGTGCACCCAAGCCTGGGCTTTTGGGCCGTGCTTGGGCTTGACTACGCTCCGAGCCCGGCCTTGAGCCCGCTGCCAGGCTTAGCTCGGGTCAGGCTTTTTGGGCCGGGCTTGGCGGGCTCGCGGGCTTTGAGGCCCGGCCCACACATCACTAATTACCACTGTCGATGAGCTTTACACTTAGTACGCTGCAACATGCCGGCTGATCATGTTGATTTGCACAGAGATCGTTGCAGCCCCTGCCATCAAGTGGCACGCGGTCGTTTTTTACCACCGCAAAAGCCCGCCTTTTGAAGATGTTGTGTCCTGCTTTGATCCTGCTGTCTGCCCTTCCACGTGGGCCTTATCTAGCGGCGCACCTTGCTTATCGTATGTGGTCTATGCTTGTACTAGACACCTGCTCATATTGGACTATGTTTGTCGAATCCTCTCTACATATTTGCACTAATATTGTGCATTCAGTGAGGCGGGCAAGGGTACATTATTGCGTGCATGATATCCTGGATATTATACAGTCTAAGAAGTTCGTGCCGAGGCTGAGTCAGAAGAGTTTGGCTTCCAGGTACGAATTGAATATCTCTGAGATCGCCGACGGCATTGAACTTCGCAAGAATGTTCCAAACTTTGCGCCAAACACTTTCAGCCCATTATACACATTGGCAAGGATACCATCGTTTCTATCCGGAGGGTGCGCCGCGTGATATGCTGCATATGACAACTCGAAGGACAGCCCGTCTGCGGGTCGTAGACGACAGCGGCCTCGTATGCATCACAAGCCACCAGTACCTCAGCGCCGTCTGGGAAGAATGCCACAGGCGATGTAACCTCCCCCGGGTGGTAGACCATAAGAATCTCGTTGCCGGTCACTGCGCTCCGGATCCTCACTTGACCGCCCGATACAGTGACTATGGGATCTCTCTGTCCTGGCATTGTCATGCTATTCGCCCAAGTGAGGGTAACACATACCCAAGGAGTGCGCAGAGCAGGTCCACCGTCAGACTCAAAATCATGAAGCAGTCAGTCATGAGGACGACTATGGTACGCCGACGGTTGTGGTTCAAATATTTCGTTGGCCGTACGCTCTTTGTCCCGCCTTGATCTTTGTTATCTTATCAATATTTGATCCGAAGTACCTAATATATCTGGCTGACGTTGGCATAATCTCTCCCTTTGCCGCCTCCACCGCTCACACCTCTGACCTCGGGCAACTCCTCTACTCGGCCCACCCCGACTACTTCATTGGTGTTCTCATCCTCTCAGCGTCTATAATTTCTGCATAATCGACAACTTTCCCACCCAGTACACACTGAACGCCTTCGTCTCACCGTGTGGTTCTCTCAGTCGCCCACAAACAAACGGTGGCATATCAACACCTTCTAGTTGCAGATTAGAAACGGCTTCGCCATCTCCAAGGGGTGGGCCTGCATCCGCCAAGACCTCCCGCTCCCCACGATGGGATACTCACTTGTGTCGGCGCTGGTGCATGACCCGTTGCGCATGCTTTGCCTGTGGTCATCATACGCTTTGAAGTCCTACCGTGTGATGTGGACGGCACCGCTCTAATGTGAGGTGTGTAAGTTCGTCTACATATGGAGGATGATCCAGGACTCACTTGTTTGTTCAGTACGCAGCTTACAACGACTCCAGCAGCGAACATGAACATCTGCAGGTAGATGACCGCCCACCGTGGCTCCGGATACTCATTTGACATGTCGGTTAGGAGCGTTTGGAGGCAGCGCACAGATGTTATGAGGAACGTTGTGTATGTATGCGATTCAGCTTAGTCTCTTTTGTGGTTGCTGACCTGCCAGGCGGTGACCTGCCAGACCGCCTGGCAGTGTCTAGCTGCGTCATCGTTTCCCAGGTGATTCACGTACTCGACTCTTCCATCAACTATCATCAACCGCGGCATAAATCTGTGAAGAACTACTGTCAATCTTCCCCTTGTCATGGTCGGTAGCGCATGCAGGCTATTTTCGGCAACCCTGGATTGCGTATCTCGACGCATCCATGCAGAACCAGCAACACCGCTCAACTCCAGTAGGGGAGTTCAGAGTTCGATTCTGACCTTGCTTCTGGGTCGATTCTGAACTCGATGTGAACTTTCGGAATTGAGTGGTTCCGGGGTCCCGGAAGGTCGATTCTGCCTTGAAACACGGGAATCGATCTGCTGCGTTGAATCGCCTCCTGACACGATTCCGGTTCGGAATCGACCACATTAGAAACTGAATTTCTTATGTAGTAACAAAAGTCTTTACAAATGCTACTTATGTCTTTACACAACGCAAGTAAGAAATCATAACACTTATGTTTGAGTGGATTGGCAGTCTTCTCCATCTGCCATGGCAAAGCGCAAGTCCTCTATAGAAGAAGACAGCAACAAGGCAAAGAAGAGACACACCAAGGCCCAGGAAGAAGAAGCAGCTCCTGGCACAACTTTGACACAAGGTAGCGGAGGTCGTGGTTGCGGTACTGGACGAGGGCGCGGGCGCAGGCAGGCAAAAGGTGTCAACAGCAGAAGCAGTGGCAGAGAAAGCACTAGAAGTGGAACAACAAAGGCATCCACCTCGAAGACACGAAAGAACCCTGCTCCCAAGGGGCCAGATTTGAATGGAGACGACAAGGTGGAAACTTCAGATGAGGATGGGGCAGAAAAGTCCATGGAGGGGACAGAGAGCCTAGATAGCCTTGATGTCAAAGTGGAGTAAGTGCATTACATGGCCTGTGAGATAGACTGCTTCACAACTCATCTTTGTTCAGCTGGAGCAACCCTGAGAACACTTTGAAGATCATCCAGATCATCACCGACAACCCTGACTATAAGTGAGTCCTGTACCCACCTCCCAGTGCCCACATATCGACACAGCAAGGTGACGGCAAGACCAAGATTGAGTTCTTCTGCCTTGTTGCCAATGACTTCTTCTTGAGTCATTCCATCTATGGCCCAACATACCGTGCACTCAAGGAGAAGTGTGAGAAAGCGACATCTGCGAAAGAGAGGCGTGCTGCGCAGCAGGTCCTTAAGAAATGGGGCTTCAAGATTAAGAACAGAATGCGAGAGTACGTACCTAGCACTCAGTATTTATCTGAACAGACATTTAACGAGGACAGCCAGTGTCGGAGAAATCATCCAAGGCCACTGCAACGCACTTGGTGAGACTGGAGTAGGGATCAAATCTAGAGAGGAGATAGACATGTCACAGAAGAACCAGTTCACATCTTTGTGGGGTATGTACCTCCCTAAGATCGTTCAGATTATTTAAAAACTAACCATGCTATCACAATGATGTTCAGCCCAGATTGAGGCCAAGTGCCCATACTTTTTCGAGGCCCATGAGCTGATTGGAGAGTGTCCATCGTTCAAGCCAGTTGGTCTTGGAAATGCCCTCACCGAAGTCGACCTCGATGTCCTTGCCGCAGCATCATCTGAAGCAACAGAAGACTCCGAACCAGATGCCACCAATGCTGCAGTCAGCAACGCCCCTACCAAGTCATCAAGTCACCACTACTGGGCTGATTTCGACGACAGTTCTGAGGCAGTACATATTACACCGGAGCCTTCTGACGTTGGAGTAGGAGATGACAATCCTGCTGACAGCCGCAGCTCCTCGCCTTCTTTGCACCTGCCAGAGTCAGAGAAACCTGCTACCATGAAGGTGACCAAGGGTAACAGTCGGGCTGCGTCAGCCAAGGCTGAGATGAAGGAAGCGGCAGCAGCATTGAAAAGCAAGACGTCCAAGTCCAAGACAGCTAGTGCATCATCCTCCAAGCCAAAAAAGCTTGAAGACCATTTTCTAGAGGTGGCAACAGAAGAAGAGCATACTCAGCAGCAAGTGTACGCCGTGAAGCTTCAGCGTGCCAAGCTGTCAACAGCACGGGTTGAGGGCAAGACCAAGGAGAAGTTGGAGAAGCTCTGGCTGAAGGCGCACCTCCTGGAGCTAAAGGAGAAGCAGAGGCACGAAGAGCGCATGGCTGAGCTCCAGTTCCGCACAAGCCAGATGAGCCAGGCACAGCATTTTCCTGCTTTGCTCCCACCGTCTGCACCCACGGTGGGACATCAGGCAAGCACATCCTTCCATTTTGATGGCGGCGTTTCGCAGGAGTTCAACTTTTTGCTGGACGCAGATGCCGTAAGCAAAGTGCAGGGAACTCAAATGACTGGGCCATCTCTTCTGTAGATTCTGTTACAAAATACGCCGAACTTGGCTACTGAAAGTATATGTTGTCCCGACGATTGCGACATCTTTCACGTGACTCTAAAAGCGCAGCCTTAAGCTCCTCACGACGCCACTTGCCTGCTGCCAATCGAGCCCTGCCAGATTGTTCTGTGTTCCTTGCTGTGCCTGATGCCTGGTCAACTGAATGGTGTAATCGCTCATCCTCCCCCTCGGATAACCCGGCATAAATGAATGCATCGTCTATGTCTGAGTCCTCTGGGTCCCTCTCCTCTGCCTCACACTTCATAGCAAATGCATGGACACCAATACATGCGGCTATCCAATAGGTGGCGAACTTATGTGAGCGGGGTCCTGTGATCTTACGGCACAGCTTCTTCAGAGACTGGAAGCGACCCTTCAAAAACCCTATGGCATGCTCGGAACAAATCCGAATCATCGAGAGCTGATTGTTGAACTTCTCGTTGTCTGGAAGATCACGTTCTGGCTTCTTGTAAGGTGCAACAACCCACGATGCAATCTCAAGGGCATTGTGTAAGCATTTCATCATCAGCGGACAACAGACAGGATTAGATTGCTCACCGGATAAGCTGAATCTGCCCATACAAACTCCTGCCCTTCCAGAAGAGCGTCATGCTCCTGATAGATCCGTGTCTGCTCCCACGCAGTAGCGTCATGCGTGCTTCCAGTATGGCCGTATGCAAAGTCCACAATGCGTAGATTCAGCAGTGAGACAACCTAAAATTATGGTAAGCACCAGAACTGCTGCATTAGAGAAAAGAGAGCACCTGTATGTTCAAAAAATAGTTAGACTTCCGATCAAAGTAGCTTTCACTGTACCATTTTGGGCAGGTATACAAGCTGACAAGAGTCCCATCCACCATGAGTGATGTGGACTAGCGTCAACACACCACGAGGGATACTAAGTGGATCTAAACAGAAGGCGGCGCCGACGAGGTCTGGCGACTAGTGTGTTAGCTTATTCAGCTAGCCCAATTAACCAAGTTATATTAGTATCAGTACTACGATACAAAAGAAGGCTTACCTAGCCCAATTAACCAAGAGGTTGAGATGGGGCTAGGTAGCGACAAGGGGACCCTTTATATACTAGTCAGGCTGCGCACGGACCAGGCATTACATAAGCGGCTGGTGCTACGGCGACTGCTAGTGTCTAGGGGATTTAGGCGGAGAAACGAGGGCCGGTTTGTCATATCTGATGACGTTGTCGGGCCGACGGATGTCCGTTGCCGATCGGACTCGGGGATAGATGGGGCCGGCGTGTCCTGTCTGATGACATTGTTGGGCCGACGGGGATCGGATGTCCGATGGAGATCGGAGTGCGGCTGTTACCGAAGAAGCGTGATGCGGCGACGAGGCGGCGGCGATGTAGGCACGTTTGATGCGCTGATGCGTGCCTGTCGGTGATGCGTTCTCTGATGTTAGCGCGCGGCTAGGACTTGTAAACTGGCGCTAAATGCGCCGACGACGTTTGGAGGGTCGTACAAACGTGGAATAAATCGGAGAAAATGGGAATAAAATAGGAGGCCGGGGCTACGCCCACGACAATGAGCCAGCCATCTCGCCAGGCACGGCAGGAATGCTTTTCGACCCAGGCCTTCGCTTGTTCCTTCTCCTCTTGGCTTGGAAGAGAAACAGCGTCCTGCATGAATGCAGGGCGCAAGAGTGCTGTCATGACGCGACGAGTCACCAGAAGAACTGTTCCCACTGCTATGCCGCCCCAGCCGGCAACACCCTGCACGGAGACACCGTTCCCATCGTGTCCAAAGCGGTGCAGTGTAATAGCAAGCTGAAGGTCGATGGGGAGCTGACAGTTCTGAGATTTGTTGGTGAAGATCAGGTCATTCCCGATGGTTTCAACAAGGCGATCAAATGTGTATGGGGAGACTCGAAGATATCTGCGGAATTTGTCTGGCCGGCGGTGCTTGAGAACTTTGAGAACATGAGGGACATATGGTGGGCCACGCATATCCCTATTCCGGGGAGCTTGATAGCGTGTTGAATATGCGGCTGAGATAGCTTTTCGAACGATCCGCTTGACGGTGATGCTGTGGGCCATAGGAGGGGCTTCTTTAGTGGAGTCGGAGTCTGACAGCTCATCATCGGCTTCATCGCTGGTTTCATCGTGACTGCTCTCAGGCTCTTCCGAGGACATGTCAGAGAGCAGAAGCGAGTCTTGAGAACTGATCGCCATGCTGCTCAGCGTCTGCGCCAGAGACTCTGTGTTGCTAGACGACGAGATGGATTCTAGCCCTGCTTCAGATGAATCTTCTGTAGACGGGCTCACGACACTGACAGAACTGTCAGACTATGACGAAAAGGAGTTCATTGTGAGTGAGACTGAAGACGTCTCACTTGCAGAGAGCGATGCCCGTGCGCTGGGTCTGTGTACTACTGCTGCACGTCTCATGCTTTGACGCAGCTGTAGCATTTTAAGACGGAACTTCTTGTATCTCATATAGGCTTGCATGAGTCTCCGAGTGTACTGCTGCCATGGAGTGTAGCGAGCCATAGCGGGCTTGAGATGTTGGAGACGCGCAGACATAGGACTTAAGTGTGAATTAAACTTGTAACTACAGCCTGTGATGGCGGGCAGCAGAATCGAAGGCAAATCGCGCTGCGCAAAGGGGGTATTCAGAGTGCGACTCGATTCAGATCACAATTCTGGATCACATGTGATCTGGAATCGACTTCCGGAATCGAGCTGGAATCGAGCACTCTGAACACTATGAAGGTTGCTATTGGACAAAAAAAATGAATTTGGAGCTGGCGCAGTCTGTATGTACAGTTTGGCGGACAAAAGTGCGCGAACGTGAACGAACGAGCACGAACGCACACGAACGCGCATGAAAGCGCACAAAAGTGCACAAAAGCGGGCGAACGTGTGTGATTGTGCACGAAAGTGGACGAACGTACACAATCGTGCACGAAAGCGCACGAATGTACACGATCGTGCATGACGCTGAGCTTTGGTTTTCGTTGTGCCCTGCTTTGAGATTGGCGATGGCGCTAATGTGTGCGCGTTCGTGCGTGTTCGTGCGTGTTTGTTCGCATTTGTTCGCATTTGTGCATTCATTTTATTGTTCAGTTTGGTTGTAAGTTAGCAATTGGCTTTCATTTTCGTAATTATGCATCTCATTTGAATCATCGAGTGCACGAAGGTGCACGAAGATAAACACCTAGCCAAAATGAAACTGTGACAAAATGAATAGGTAGTTCATCAGATGCACACTTTCGCGCGCGAAAGTGCACGAAAGTGCACAAACGTGAGCTTTCGTGCACGATGGCGCACGTTAGTGACCAAACGCGCATCATCACGCACGAACATGCACGAAAGTGCACGAACACGCACGCAAAATCCTAGACGCACATCGAAAACAAAACTTTGCAGCCAGTGTGAAGGTGAGAATTTATTTCTGTCCAATAACACCCTTGATAGAACACCTCTAGTGACGGGAGGTGAATTTGACGATGTTAGATGGTTGGGATTTGATTTCGTGGGTACGTGCAGGTATTGAACGCAAGAGCGTATCGCTAACTCTGGCTGTCCTTGATAGCCTTGGCGCATATACGTGCAGACAATGTGGACACACAGCTCAAGAAGAAGATTGTCATGCGGAGCGTGTACGAATCTGGTCCCATCATATCACAGTTGCATAATACTGACTGCATGTTTGCAATTTGGATAGAAGAAGTATGCGTCCGCCGGCAAGGGTGCCACTTAGAGTACACCACCTCGACGACCGGGACAGGCTGAGCGCCAATCCATTCGACGCCCTCCCACAAATCGCGGCCAATATCTCCGGTACGAAGGGCTTATAGACAGCCGTGCCCAGACGTGGTCTCCAAGGTGACGACCGCGACGCTACTCCTCTGTCGCATTCGTCGCTCGCGGGTACGAAGCATTGACTACTGTTCTGCGGCGGCTCAGATCAACCGATGTATTTGGGAACAAGCAAGACGTGGCCATACCGCTCAGCGCGCCGCGCATTCGGCGCAACGACACTTCAGCCACGTTGGCCCATGTTCCGACGAGCACAACCGTCGCGGTCGATATCTACTCTTCAAGCTGCAGCATGGAGGATCCTGAATGGCTGCCCGAGCGGCAGATCAACTACGTGCTCTTAGAGCAGGTGACGGACGCGCGTATTCCTGTGGTACATTCCTCATGTAAGTTCGGTTCGGTTACATGGTTCATCCTCGCTGACTGGCTGGTGAGGGCAAGAGCACCGACATCCTCTGAGGCTGGACCGGCATCTTTTGCCCAACCATGGGCTTGGGAAGCAATGAATTATTTGGGTTCACATGTCAACGGTGTACATGATCTTCCTCAGTCTAATGTCTCTCCCACCGATAGCTACGCCTCGAGTCACCCGCGCCTTTTCTTCGACCCCTTCCCCCAGCATGCCCAATATGATGGTGTACTTCCACACTTCCCAGAGTCTCTACCAGACGCTTGGACTTCGGTGCCTCGGCGGCGTCACTTCCTACTTTATGGACAATAGTCAAGCACTCACGACTTCTTCCCCGCTCGCTGCTGGCTTCGGTTTCTTTCTCGGTCATTTTCTGCGCTCGAGCACGCTCAACAAAGTGCACTCGGGATCGCCGTACTGTTGTACGCTGGAGACAGGAACTGGAGAGGAGACGTTTATTGGTCGCTGGATCGGCGTGTTCTCTGGGTACGTCGCATTACAAGCGCTGCCGAATGTAGTTACGCTAATTATGTCAGCTCAGGTCGCTGTCGAGGGCAATCTCTGCTTTTGATGAACGAGAGTGCAGAAGGTCCTGCCGTCTGAGTGGAGGGACCAAGTGGACGGTACGTCGTACCACGTCTCCCCCATGCATAGCGCCTTTCTGATGGACTGCAGCCTGCTGCGACTGTGACTTCGCTCGGTACATCTTGTTCCTGATTGCCATGGGCTATACCTTCACCACTCTCTTAGTCGCCCCTCTCGTCGTTGCTGCCCCCATCATCGCCGCCGCCACCGCCGCCTACGAGAAGTGCAACATCGTTCTTTCCGCATCGCACGCGTTCAAGTTGCTGTCCAAGCACCTGCACGTGTCGAGGACCGTCCTCATGATTGGCAAGGTCAGAGGTGCGAGTCAGCTTTACACTTATCTGCAATGCACCAGCTGACCATACCCGGTTACACAGGGATCATCGCAGCCTTTCTCGTCATGCGGCCAACGTTGCGCACGGCGGCCTGTGGAGTCCGACATGGGTGGCAACGACGCCGACCGGTCTGCTGTCTTTTCTTCCGTGTGAATCATACCTGGTGATATCATCTGCTTGTTGCATGTGATCTACACTCGTAATATGGATTGGATTACACTGGTCAGATATTCCCATATCTCTGCACTAATATGGTATATTCGGCAAGACAGGTAATAGTACACTATCGCATACGCATTATGTCCTGGATATTACACAGTCTAAGAGGCCCGTCATGAAGCTGTATTAGAAGGGTCTGGGCGTCGGGTACAAATTGAATATCAGCGAGATCCCGGCCGGCCTCAAACTTTGCAAGGAATACCCCAGACTTTGCATCAAATACATGCAACTCAGCGTCCCGAACGTCGACGACAACATAGTCTCCATCAGGAGAGTACGCTGCGCAAAACGCTTTACGAGATAACTTGAGGGTGCGACGTAGTTGGCCTGTCCGCGAGTCATAGGTGACAGCGGCCTCGTCCGCATCACAGGCCGCTAGTACTTCGGTGCCGTCTGGAGAGAAGGCCACGGGCCCTGAGAGCCACCTTGGGTGGTCAACTGTGAGAATCTCGTCGCCTGTCACCGCACTCCAGATCGTCACTTTGCCACCCGATGAAGCGACTGTGCGGTCTCCTTGGCGGGATATCGACCAAGAGTCCGTGTGTGTCGCAACACTCTGTAGTGTCGCAGTATGTGCATATGCCGGGATGTTATAGATGAGGACAAAGGTGCCCACTTCAGCATAGAAATGCAGGCTATCCGGGGAAAAGGAGACCTTGTATATTGAACCATGAACATCGAGGGACTGTATACATGCCCCAGTCAAAGCGTCCCAAATTTTCACGGACTTGTCTTCGTCGCAAGCGGTGGCGATGAGTGCACCATCAGAGGAATATGCGACCTGGCATACTGGCCCGCTATGTCCTTCTAGACGTAGAAGAACACGGCCACTCGGAATGTCCCAGACGATCGCGCTCCTGTCGTTGGATCCCGATACAAGGGCGCGACTGATTGGGGAAAATGATAAGGATCTAACATAGTCTGTATGGCCCTGATGTTGTAGGTGTTGAACCAAGAGACCATCGGAGAGTCGCCATACAAGGATGTCGCTAGTGTCGAACGATGCTGCAAGAAGCTTGCCATCGGCCGACAGGGCAGAGCAACGGCAGCGTTTAGATCGGCTACGAGAATCGGCAAAGATGAGGTGTTTCAGCTTCAGGGGTCTACCCTCCTCTCGCGTCGGATCCGGAATGAAGACGAGCGTATCCTCCAAGTGACCAGCGCCCTCTGAGGTGATGTTCAACCACTTCGCCAGGTCGGGCGCGGTGACGGTGCGACACGCGAAGGCGCGTTCTCGCTCATGTAATATGACATCTTCCATCCGCAGCGATCCGACTGCCCGAAAGGTCGCTGTGGTTAAATATCATGTCTCGCGAGCAGACAAGACACTCACCAGTCCCGTCAACCTCCACCAGAGGCTGCACCTTGCGCAGGTAGCTCGCAAAGTCTACCACCTCATTGCTACCCTGGGTTGGCGTCAGCTCATGCGCTCTCGAAAGACTGGGTGTGGGAGCTACGCACGATGATGCTCTCGACATCTTGATTGCTTGCGACGGCGATCTCAACATCGGTGGTCTGTGGGCACAGGTATCTCGCGTTAGTATAGCCAACAAAACTGTAGGGTAGACTCACTTCAAGTATGTAGTCCAGGAGGATGTCTAGCGGACTCAGAGCTTGCTCCTGCAATGTCATCAGTTCGTGTGCCTCGAGATGCGTCATGATCAACACATACGTTGCCCTGGAGCCCCAAGACACCCATCTCATAGAAATCCTCCACCTCCCCTACCACGACTCCCCTCTCCCCTCGGCCATCTCCCCTGTCTCCTGGATCCGGAAGTCGATGGTAGCCTGCCCCCGCAACGATCTTCGGGAGTCCGATGAGCCGCCGTAGCACCTTGTAGTACTTCAGGAAGATGCATTGGTTCCTCTCTGCCTCTGTGGGGCTTGGGCTTAGTGTGGTCTCTGAGTAGTGCTTACCATGTCGGTGCATCTTCGGACCAGTCGTAGAGCGGCTATGCTCGCCGCCGGCCTGGACCCCTGCGATCCCGCCTACGCTAATCCCGGCCGAGCCGCCGGAGGCCGAACTCATGTTGCTAAACGCGGTCGCCGCACAATCGGCCTTGGTCTTCACCCAGCCACTAACGACGATAATATCCTCCTCCTTGACGTCCTGACCGAGGACGTCCTTGGCGTACGCGTGCCATTTGCTGCAGTTCTGCGCAATGTACGTCTTCAGAAGATGGTTATCGTATGTAGACTCGCTGTCGGCCTCGCTCCTTAGCTCTAGAGCTGCTCCTTGCTCTTCCCTGCACGTGTAGTGAATGGAGATGTTCGCGGATACGTTGGGCCCAGCATTTCTGCGAATTGTTAGCAGAAAGCACTTATCGGATAAATTAGCGTACTCACACGTCTGCCGAGGTATGAATATTCTTGCTTTCGACTCCATGACTGCAATGATGGCCGGGGAAGAGCACTCCAGGCGTACGGTAGGTCTTCAGTGTGCCTTCGGGCAAGGGCGGCTCGACCTTGAACGCAGGGCGGGGCTCCCAGTGCGTGACCGCTTTCTTAGTCACAGAGGGATCCAAGTTGAATAGTCTGACGAATGCGCCTTTGCGTATGAACCCGACATCCCCGACTTGCGGCTCTCCTGACTCGTGCGGTTCGGGGAACCACAGCGCGTGGCCCACGCTAAGCCTCTGGAGACCAGACGCGTAGATTTCGTGCGGAGCAGGCGTAGGACGAGGGCGGCGAAACATGCGCATGGTGACTGAGATGGAGGGTGTATTATGTGTCAGGTAGTACAGGCCAACAGAGTAAGGACGGCGCCGGTGCAAAGCGAACAAGCACGTCGGATCGATGGCGAGCATTCCAGCGCTATGGGTCTGGGGGCTTCGCACGAGGGATACGGACGCCCAAACTTTGAAAGAAGCCGTTAACGTGCTGCTCACGTCCAGCAGAGGCCATGCAGTCCTCGATAGGAGCTCGATTCAGACAAAATAATGTCTAATTACTGCAAGACCTTTGGCGCTGAAGGTACGCAAACATGACCATTATTCCCGTCTCCGAGTTTTAGCTGTGTCAGACATCACTCAGTCGGCGGCCGCACGATTGTGAGGCAGATCAAACGCCACAAACACGCTGATCCAAGCTGTCCTCTCTCGGCTGCCGCGACCCGCCTTCACTCGCGTCTAGCGCTTGCAGTACGGGCCCAGCAACGTCGCGCTAAGGTCATCAGCGCTGCAACTGGAACAGCCAAGTGACGGCCCCGTAAACCCATTTTCGTACGAAAACGACGCTGCGTTGAGCCCAGGGCGGTATATCGCCGGCGGACATTTGTTCTGGTCCGCGAGAGCCTGAGGCTGCGATGGAACCCTCTTGCGCGTGTGCGAGCTGCGCATGCCATTAAGAGAGACGAAGTGAAGGTAATAAGAGCATAAAGAGCGCGTCGAGCAGGCATACCAGGTTGAGAAACGTGAAGTGTTGGTCCGTCGTGAGGGCGATTGCAGCAGATCGTTAGGTGGCATGGAAGGGCAAGAAGCGTGCACTGGAGCCAACGTCGGGATTTGCATTGGGTGCCCAACTCGAAGGGCGATAGATAATGGTCGTCAGCGTAGTGTGTTAGCGAGAGAGGCAAAGCAAGACGGTGAAGACATCGAGGGCTCCCAGAGAGCCCGGGCGTTAGGGATTCTGTGATGCTGTCGGCGCTCTTTATGTTAAGTTAGGCGCCTTGCGCCGTTTGTCCCCGAGCTCCCCGCCACGACGTGCTGACGTAATATCTTCATTTTTAGATGCCGCGTCCTGTCGACGAGCCACCCCAAATGCATCCAAACAGCTTCACTGATGTTTACAGCCCCTCGGCGTCCATAATCGCTGCATAACCGCCGATCCCTTAACCAGTACCGATCGAACATCTTCGTTATACGCCATGCAGTCCTCCGAGTCGCCTGTAAACAAACCGCGGCACAATAACGCCTTCTAGCTGCAGGTTAGAAACGGCTGCGACATCTTCCGGAGGTTTGTCTGCATCTGCTAAGACCTCCCGCTTCGCCGACAGCATGCTCGCTTCCGCCGGCGCGCTGGTGCATTGTGCATGCTTTGCTTATGGCCGCCATGCACTTTAATGGCTTACTGTGCGCATGGTGTTAATGATTCCCCTCTGATGTAGAACTTCTATTTTCGCCTGCATATAGAGGATGACCTAGGACTTATGTGTTTGTTTAGCACGCAGTTCAAGACGACTCCAGCAGCGAAGGCAAACGTCCGCAGCCAGGTGGGCTGCACACGGCTTCAGATACTCATCGGACATGTCGGTTGAGAAAGTTCGGAGGCAGTGCATGGATGACATGAGAGATGCTACGTACGTACGTGATTCAGTTTGGTCTCTTCTGTGATTGTTGACCGGCCAGACAGCCTGACGTTGTCTCGTCTCGTCTTCGTCTCAAATGATCCACGTACCTAGCCTTCTATCAACTGTTATCAACCGCGGCATAGAATTGTCAAGAACTATTGTCAACTTGGCTCCCGTGGTGGCTTGTGGCGCATGCAGGCTATCCTCGGAGTCATTGGATAACGTCTGTCGACGCATCTACGCAGAACCGGCAACATCGCTCGAGTTCAGTGACGGAAGGTGGATAAGACCGTCTTTAATGGTCGGGAGTCGATTTCGTGGGTACGTGCTGGTATTGAACACAAGAGCCTGACGCTAACTCAGATCAAACTCGACAGCCTAAGCGCGTATGTATGCAGACGGTGCGGGCATACAGCCTGAGAAGAAGATTGTCATGAGGACTATGTACGAATCTACGCGACCATATTATAGTTGCGTAATGCTGACTGCATGCTTGCAGTCTGAACAGACAGACATACGCGTTCGCTGGCACGGGCGTCGTCTGGAATATTACTGGTGCGCCCTATACGTCTCCACGTCAACGACCGGGGCAGGCTGCGCGTAAATCCACTCAAGTTTCTCTCACAAAACCACGGCCAAGACTTTCGACGAAAAGAGCTTATAGGTAGCTGTCTCTAGACACGATCCCAGGGCGGCGACCAGCGACGCTACCCATCCATCTGATTCTTCGTTTGCAGATACGAAGCACCGACTATTTCTCTACAGCCGCTTGGATCAACAGACGCATATGGGAACAAGCAAGGCATGACCATGCCGCTCAGCGCGTTCTGCGCGACGGCACTTCGGCCACGTTGGCCCATGTCCCGGCGAGCACAACCGTCGCGATCAATACGTACTCGTCAAAATACGATATAGAGGATCCTGAATGGCTGCCCGTGGGAGTGGGCGCCCGTGCGGTAGATTGATTGCGTGCTCTTGGAGCAGGTGGCGGACGCACGGATTCCTGCGGTACATTCCTCATGTAAGCTCGGTTCGGTTCGATGATCCGTCCTTGCTGACTGGCTCACAAGATGGCGTTCCCGGCAGAAGTTTGACGCATCGACACAGTCAAACATACAGCGGCTTCAAGGTCGAGATGGGTACGTGCTACGACGGGATACTGCTAATGCGCAGCGCTGAATAACCCCGTTCAGACACTGTTCTGACGGTGCCGATGTCACCTCCCTGTTCCTTGGACCAGGAAGACAAGAGCACCGATATCGTCTGAGGCCGGACCGGCATCTTCTGCCTGATCATGGGCCCGGAAAGCAAGGAACTTTTGGATTCACACCTCGATGGCGTACATGGTCTCCCTCAACCTAGCGCCGCTCCTACCAATAGCTACATCTTAAGTCACCTGCGCCTTCTCTTCAATCCTTTTCTCTAGCATGCCCAATGCGGTAACGTTCTTCTCCACTTCGCAAAATCTCTACCTGACGCTTAGACCACGGTACTCTGGCGGTCTCGCTATGTACGGTAATGGTCAAGCACTCGTGACTTCTTCGTCACTCGCTGTAAGTTTCGGCCCATTTCCCGGCCATTCTCTATGCTAGAACGCGATCAAAAAAGTACACTCGGGATCGCCGTGCTGCGGTAGGCTGAAGATGAAATCTCTATTAGTCGATGGCTGCAGAAGATCAGCATGTTCTTGGGGTGCGTTGCATTACAATCACTGTCAAATGTAATCGCACTAACCTGTCAGTTCAGGTCTCTGCCTAGGACGATCGCTGCTCTGACGAACGGGTGTGCAAGAGGTTCTACCGTCCAAGTGAAGGGACCGAGTAGACAGTACGTTGTGCCGCGTCTCCCCCATGCATAGAGCCCTTCTGATGGACTGCAGCCTGCCGCGACTGCGACTTTGCTCGATTCATCTTGTTCCTGGTCGCCATGTGCCATACCGTCGCCACTCTCTTAGTCGCCCCTCTCGTCGTTGCTGCCCCTATCATCATCGCCGCCGCCACCATCGCCTACGAGAAGTGCAACATCGTTCTTTCCGCATTGCACACGTTCAAGCTGCTGTCCAATGACCCGCACGTGTCGAGGGCCGTCCTCACGATCAGCAAGGTCCAGGGTGCGAGTCAGCTTTACAATTATCTGCGGTACACCGGCCGACCATACCCAGTTGCGCAGGGATCGTTGCAGCCTTTCTCGTCATGCGGCCAACGTTGCGCACGGCGGCCTGTGGAGTCCGACATGGGTGGCAATGACGCCGGCCGGTCTGCTGTCTTTTCTTCCGTGTGAATCATGCCTGGTGATACCCTCTGCTCGTTGCATGTAATTTCACACTCGTAATATGGATTAGATCGCACTGGTCAGATATTCCCATATCTTTGCATTAATATGGTATATTCGGCAAGGCAGGGAATAGTACACTATCGCATACGCATTATGTCCTGGATATTACACAGTCTAAGAGGTCCGTCATCAAGCTGTATTAGAAGGGTCTGGGCATTGGGTACAAATTGAATATCAGTGTGATCCCCGCCGGCCTCGAACTTTGCAAGGAATACTCCAGACTTTGCATCAAATATTCGCAACTCGTCGCCCATATCTCCGACAACGACATAGTCTCCATCAGGAGAGTACGCTGCGCGATGCGCACTATGAGATAACTTGAGGGTGCGACGTAATTGGCCCGTCCGCGAGTCGTAGGTGACAGCGGCCTCGTCCGCATTACAGCCCGCTAGTACTTCGGTGCCGTCTGGAGAGAAGGCCACGGGCCCTGAGAGCTTTCGTGGGTGGACAACTGTGAGAATCTCATCGCCGGTCACCGCACTCCGGATCGTCACTTTATCACCCGATGCACCGACTATGCGGTCCCCTTGGCAGGATATAGACCAGTCGTCCGCGTCTTCCGCAACAATTTCTAGTGTCGCAGTATGTGCATATGCCGGGATGTTATAGATGAGGACGGAGGTGCCCACTTCAGCATGTAAATGCAGGCTATCCGGGGAAAAGGCGACCTTGTATATTGAATCATGAACATCGAGGGACTGTATACATGCCCCAGTCAAAGCGTCCCAAAGTTTCACGGACTTGTCGTTGTCGCAAGCGGTGGCGATGAGTGCGCCATTAGAGGAATATGCGACCTGGTGTACTCGCCCGCTGTGTCCTTCTAGACGTAAAAGAACACGGCCACTCAGAATGTCCCAGACGATCGCGCTCCTGTCGTGGGATCCCGATACAAGGGTGCGACTAATCGGGGAAAATGATAAGGATCTAACATAGTCTGTATGGCCCTGATGTTGTAGGTGTTGAACCAAGAGACCATCGGAGAGTCGCCATACAATGATGTCGCTAGTGTCGAACGATGCTGCAAGAAGCTTGCCATCGGCCGACAGGGCAGAACAGAGGCTGCCTCCAGATTGGCTATGAGAATCGGCAAAGATGAGGTGTTTCAGCTTCAGGCGTCTACCCTCCTCTCGCATCGGATCCGGAATGAAGACGAGCGTATCCTCCAAGTGACCAGCGCTCTCGGAGGTGATGTTCAACCACTTCGCCAGGTCGGGCGCGGTGACGGTGCGACACGCGATAGCGCGTTCTCGCTCATGTGATATGACATGTTCCATCCGCAGCGATCCGACTGTCCAAAATGTTGCTGTGGTTAAATATCATGTCTCGCGAGGAGACGAGGGACTACTAACCAGTCTCATCAACCTCCACCGGGGGCTGCACCTTGCGCAGGTAGCTCGCAAAGTCTACCACCATATTGCCACCCTGGGCTTACGTCAGCTCATGCGCTCTCAAAAGACTAAATGTGGGAGCTACGTACAGTGATGCTCTCGACATCTTGATTGCTTGCGACGGCGATCCCAACATTGATGGTCTGTGGGTACAGGTGTCTCGCGTTAGTATAGCCAACAACGCTGCAGGGCAGACTTACTTCGAGTATGTAGTCCAGGAGGATGTCTAGCGGAATCAGAGCTTGTTCCTGCAATGTCATCAGCTCGCTTGCCTCATGACGCGCCATGATCAATACATACGTTGCCCTGGAGCTCCAGGATGTCCGCCTCATCGAGATCCTCCACTTCCCCCGCCACGCCTCCCTTCTCTCCTTGGCCACTTCTCCTGTCTCCTGGATCCGGAAGTCGATGGTAGCCTGCCCCCGCAACGATCTTCGGGAGCCCGATGAGCCGCCGTAGCACCTTGTAATACTTCAGGAAGATGCATTGGTTCCTCTCTGTCTCTGCGGGGCTTGAGCTCGATGCGACCTCCGAGTAGTGCTTGCCATGTCGGTGCATCTTCGGACCAGTCGTAGAGTAGCTATGCTCGCCGCCGGCCTGGACCCCCACGATCCCGCCTGCACTGACCCCGGCCGAGCCACCAGAGGCTGAACTCGTGTTGCTAAACGCGTTCGCCGCCCAATCCAGCTTTGTCTTCACCCAGCCGCTAACGACAATAATATCCTCCTCCTTGACGTCCTGACCGAGGACGTCCTTGGCGTACGCGTGCCATTTGCTGCAGTTCTGCGCAATGTACGTCTTCAGAAGATGGTTGTCATATGTGGACTCGCTGTCGGCCTCGCTCTTCAGCTCTAGAGCTGCTCCTTGCTCTTCCTTGCACGTGTAGTGGATGGAGATGTTCGCGGATACGTTGGGCCCAGCATTTCTGCGAATTGTTAGCAGAAAGCACTTATCGGATAAATTAGCGTACTCACACGTCTGCCGAGGTATGAATATTCTTGCTTTCGACTCCATGACTGCAATGATGGCCGGGGAAGAGCACTCCAGACGTGCGGTAGGTCTTCAGTGCGCCTTCGGGCAATGGCGGCTCGACCTTGAACGCCGGGCAGGGCTCCCAGTGCGTGACCGCTTTCTCAGTCGCAGAGGGATCCAAGTTGAATAGTCTGACGAATGCGCCTTCGCGTATGAACCCGACATCACCGACTTGCGGCTCTCCTGACTCGTGCGGCTCGGGGAACCACAGCGCGTGGCCCACGCTAAGCCTCTGGAGACCAGACGCGTAGATTTCGTGCGGCGCAGGCGCAGGACGAGGGCGGCGAAACATGCGCATGATGGCTGAGATGGAGGGTGTAGTATGGGTCAAGTATTACAGTCCAGGAGAGTAAGGATGGCGGTGCGAGGCGGACAAGCACGTCGGATCGATAACGAGCATTCCAGCGCTATGGGCGTGGTGGATTCGCACGAGGAACACGGACGCCCAAATCTTGAGCAAAGACTTTACCATGCTGCTCATGGTCCAGCAGAGGCCGTGCAGTTCTCAATAGGAGCTCGTGTCAAGCCAAATAATGTCTAATTACTGCAAGACCTCTGCCGCTGAAGGTACGCAAACATCACCACTGTTCTTGTGTCCGAGTCCTGACTGTGCCAGACGCCACTCAGCCGGCGGCCACAAAATTGTGAGGCAGATCAAACGCCACAAATACGCTGATGCAAGAGCGACGTGCTACGGGTGCTGCCAGGGCAGTCGCTCCGAACATTAACTAATATACTCGTGAGATTTGTAGAACTTGAACGCACCCTGGGTCTTGTCACAGTAATCCATACTCGCGCCTTTTCCCTCTCCTCTGCCAACTTCCATCCCCACTTTCTTCTTCTCCCGTCATTACGCTGCCTGCGCTATGTTGTGCACAGGTCCGGGAACTCCAAGCAGCCTGAGGCCATTTGCGGTGCCTCGGCGTGCCAGATGTCTGTCCTTCGTATCAAAACGCAGCGTTGTACAGCCTGAAACCTGTAGTGCAACACAACAGAGGATGACAGCAGCATCTCTACAAGTGGTCTAGGTTTTGCGTTGACCAGTGGTGAGCTGCGTTCCTATGCGGAGGATGGGATGTTCTTGCGCGTGCGCGAGCCGCACACATCACCAAGCGAGATGAAGTGAAGGTAGTAAGAGCACAAGGAGCGAGTCAAGCAGGCATGCTAGGTCGAGAAACGCGAAGTGTTGGTCCGTTGTGAGGGCGACTGCAGGAGACCATTAGGCGGCACAAAGATGGAAGTGCAGGAAGCATGCGCTGGAGGTGACGTTCGGGTTTTGCGTTGGGCGCGCCGAACCGGAGGACAATAGACAATGGTCGTTAATCTAGTGTCTCAACGAGAGAGGCGAGGAGGACAGGACATCGAGGACTCCCAGAGAGTCCGGGGGTTAGGAGTTCTGTGTCATCCATGTCGTCGGCGCTCTCTATGCTAGGTTAGGCGCCCTGTAACACTCGTCCCCGAGCTCTCCGCGGGGTCCCAACCGCCACGACGTGCTGACATAATCTCTCCATTTTTAGTTGCTGCGTCCTGTCGACCTCGGGCAATTCCTCTGCTCGAGCCACTCAGAATGGACCCGGACTGCTTCGTTGGTGTTCTCATCCGCTCATCATTTGTCGTCGCTGCATAACCGTCAACTCCTCGACCAGTACCGATCGAACGTCTTCGCTATGCACCACGCAGTCCTCCCGGTCGCCTGCAAACAGACCGCGGCACAACAACGCCCCCTAGCCACAGGTCAGAAACGGCTGCTCCATTTTCCAGATGTTTGTCTGCATCTGCTAAGACCTCCCGCTTCGCCGACAGCATGCTCGCTTCTGTCGGCGCGCTGGTGCATCGTGCATGCTTTGCTTATGGCCGCCGTGCGCTTTAATGGCTTACTGCATGGTGCTAACCACACCCCTCCGATGTAAGATGTCTATTTTCGTCTGCATATAGAAGATGGCCTACTAGAGGACTCACGTGTTCGTTCAGCACACAATCCAAGACGACTCCAGCAGTGAAGCCGAACATCCGCAGCTAGGTGGGCCGCACACGGCTTCGGGTACTCATTGGACATGTCGGCCGGGAAAGTTTAGAGGCAATGAATGGACGGTACGAACGATGCTACGCACGTGTGCGGTTCGGTTTGGTCTCTTCTATGGTTGTTGACCGGCCTGACAGCCTGACGTTGTCTCGTTGCGCCATCGTCTCAAATGATCCACGTACCCAACCTTCCATCAACTGTTATCAACCGCGGCATAGACTTGTCAAGAATTATTGTCACTTGTCTCCATGGTGACCTGTGGCACATGCAGGCTACCCTGGGAATTCCTGGATAGCGTCTCTCGACGCACCTACGCAGAGCCGGCAACATCGCTCGATTTCAGTGACGGAAGGTGGATAAGACCGCCTTTGATGGTTAGTATTTTGATTTTATGGGTACGTCCTGGTATTGAATGCAAGAGCCTGACGCTAACTCAAGTCATCCTCGATAGCCTAAGCACGCATGCATGTGGACGACGTGGGCGCACAGCCTGAGGAGAAGATTGGCATGCAGACCATGTACGAATCTATGCCATCATATCGCAGCTGGATAATGCTGTCTGCATGTCTGCAGTCTGGACAGAAGACGTCCACATTCGCCGGCACGGGCGTCATCTGGAATATTAGTCGTGCGCCCTGCACGTCATTACCTCAGCGACTGGGGCAGGCTGCGCGCCGATTCACTCGCTTTCCTCCTGCTAAACCGCGGCCAAGACCTTCAACACGAAGAAATTATGGAAAGCTGCGCCTAGACGCGATCTTGAAGGCGGCAACCAGCGACGCTACCCCTCGATCTCATTCGTCGCTCGCGGATACGAAGCATCGACTACCGTTCTGCAGCCGCTTGGACCAACCGACGCGTTCGGGAACGAGCAAGATGTGACTATACCGCTCAGCGTGCCGCGCATTGCGCGACGGCACATCGGCCTCGCTAGCCCATGTCCTAACGAACACAGCCGTCGCGGTCGATACCTACTCGTCAAACGCAACATGGAATATCCGGAATGGCTGCGTGTGGAAATGAACGCCCGAGCGGCGGGTCGATCGCGTGCTCTCGGTGGACGAATTCGTGCGGTACATTCGTCATGTAAGTTCGGTTCGGTTCGATAGTCTGTCCTTGCTGACTGGCTCACAAGACGGCATTTATTGGCAGAAGTTTGACGCATCGACACAGTCGGATCTACAGCGGCTTCAAGGTCTAGATGAGTACGTACTGCGACGGGATGCTGCTAATGTGTGGCGCTGATTAACTCTGTTCAGATACTGTTCTGGTGGTGCCGATGTCGTCGTCCTGTTCCTTGGACCAGGAGGACAAGAGCACCGATATCGTCTGAGGCCGGACCAGCATCTTCTGCCTGATCATGGGCCCGGAAAGCAAGGAATAGTTTGGATTCACACCTCGATGGCGTACGTGGTCTTCCTCGACCCAGTGTCACTCCTGCCAATAGCTACACCCTAAGTCACCTGCGCCTTCTCTTCAATTCTTCTCCCTAGCATGCTCAATGCGATAATGTTCTTCCCCGCTTCGCAAAACCTCTACCTGATGCTGAAACCACGGTACTCTGGCGGTCTCGCTATCTACGGTAATGGTCAAGTACTCACGACTTCTTCGTCGCTCGCTGTAAGTTTCGGCTCATCTCGCGGCCATTCTCTACGCTAGAACGCGATCAAAAAAGTACACTCGGGATCGCCGTGCTGCGGTAGGCTGGAGAGGGAATCTCTATTAGTCGAAGGCTGCAGAGGATTAGCGTGTTCTCGGGGTGCGTTGCATTACAATTACTGCCAAATGTAATTGCACCAGTGGTGTCAGTCCAGGTCTCTATCGAGGACGATCGTTGCTCTGATGAACGGGTGTGCAGGAGGTTGTGCCGTCCGAGCGAAAGAACCAAGTAGACAGTACGTTGTACCGCGTCTCCCCCATGCATAGCGCCCTTCTGATGGACTGCAGCCCGCTGCGACTCCGACTTCGCTCGACACATATTATTATTGATCGCCATGGTCCATACCGTCGCCACTCTATTAGTCGCCCCTGTCGTCATTGCTGCCCCCATCATCGCCGCCGCCAACGTTGCCTACGAGAAGTGCAACGTCGTTCTTTCCGCATTGCACGCGTTCAAGCACCCGTACGTGCCGAGGATCATCTTCGTGACCAGCAAGGTCAGGGTGCGAGTCAGCTTTACATTTATCTGCGATACACCAGTTGACCATACCCGGTTGCGCAGGGGTCGTTGCAGCTTTTTTTTTTCCTTTTTCGTCATGCAACCAATGTAGTGCACGGCTTGTGGAGTCTGACATGAGTGGCAATGATGCCGACCGGCCTGCCGTTTGTCCTTTCGTGGGAATCACACCTGGTTATACCTTCTACTTACTACGTGTAATCCGCACTCGTACTATGAATTGGATTACACTGGTTAGGTATTTCTATGTCTCTGCACCAATATGGTATATTTGTCAAGGCAGGTAATAGTACACTATCGCATACGCATTATATCCTGAATATAACACAGTCTAGGAGGCTTATCCTTGAGCTCCAGCAGAAGAGTCTGTGTGTCAGGTACAAATTGAATATCAGTAAGATGTCCGCCAGCCTTGAGCTTCGCAAGGAGTGCCCCAGACTTTGCATCGAATACTTCCAAATTACCGCCCCAAGTGCCGATGACCACGTATTCTCCATCAGGGGAGTACGCTGGACAACGTAGGCCGCTATCTGATAACTTGAAGGTGCGACGTAGCTTGCCCGTCCGCGAGTCGTAGGTGACAGCGGTCTTGTCTGCATGAAGGCTCACCAGTACTTCAGTGCCATCTGGGGAGAAGGCCATGGGCGAGGAGAGCGATTGTGGGTGGTGAAGTGTGAGATCCGAGCCGCCGGTCACCGTACTATAGATCCACACTTTTTTGGGACCATCCGAGCCATGATGGGCTATGCGATCTCCTTGGCGGGATATCGAAAATGAGTTATGAGCTTTGAGACTACCCTGTATTTTCATAGTACATGCACATGTCGAGATGTCATGGACGAAGATGGTCATGGTCGCTTCAACATAGAGACGCAGGCTATCCGGGGAAAAGGCGAGCTTGCATATTTGTCCCCAAGTATCGAAATCGAAGGACTGTATACATGTCCCGGTCAAAGCGTCCCAAAGTTTCACGGACTTGTCGCCACCGCTTGCGGCGGCGATGAGTGCGCCATTAGGGGCATACGCGACCTGGTCTACTGGCCCGCTATGTCCTTCTAGACGTAGAAGAGCACGGCCACTCGGAATGTCCCAGACGATCGCGCTCCCGTCGTCGAATCCTGATACAAGGGTGCGACTAATGGGGGAAAAGGACAAGGAATTAACTTTGTATGCATGTCCCTGATGTTGTAGACGTTGAACCAAGAGACCATCGCAGAGTCGCCATATGAGGACGTCGCTGATCTCGAACGACGCCGCGAGCAACTGACCGTCCACGGACGAGTCGTAGCAAAGAGGTCGTTTGGACAGATCTTGAGAATCGGCGAAGACAAAATGCTTCAATTTCAGGAGCCGAGCCTCTGATTCCGTAGGGCCGATGAAGACATTCCCGTCATCCAATCGACCGGCATTGTCAGTGGAGATTTTTGGCCAGTCCGCCAGGTCAGACTCGGTAATCATGGGACGTGCGACGGCGCGTTCTCGCTCGTTGGATATCACGTCTTCTATGCACAGCGACCCGACTGTGCGAAATGTTGCGGCGCTCAGATACAGCCATTGAGAGAAGATGAGAGGGACTCACTCGTGCCATCGATGTTCACTGGGGGTTGTATTTGGCGAAGGTAGATTCCAAAATCCACTACCTGCTTGCCGCCCTGAATATATATGAGTCTTCGCATCCATGTCAGATATTATGAACGACACATACGATGATGCTTTGCACGTCATCATCGCCCGCAATCGCCGTCTCGACACCAGACGTCTATTGCCAGGGGTATGATGGTCAGTGCGACATATGGCGTTCAGCTTGAGCTGGCCTACCTCAAGGATGTACTCAAGAAGGACATCTAGCGGATCGGAAATCTCGCCCTGCTATCTTGTCAGCCCATGCCCCCCGCAGCGAGACATTTCAATCGATTACGTACCTCGCCCTCAAACCCTGGCGCATTTGTGCCGTCTATATCCTCCACCGGCACTCCTCCCAAGTCGTCTCTCTCTTCTCTTCGATCCGGAAGTCGGTCGTAGCCTGCGCCGGCGACGACCTTCCACGGCAGTATCAGTCGCTTCAGCACTTTGAGTTGCTTCACGAACACGGACTGATCTGGTTTTGTGTTCTTCGACTTGCGTTTACCGTGCTGGCGCATGTCGCGTTTGCCGTGCCGGTGCATCTTCGGCCCGCTCACAGAGCTGGCGTATGTTCCGCCCACCTCGGCCCCCAGTGCGCCGCCGCCAGCACGACCTTTGAGCGAGCCACTGAAGCTCGAGCTCGAGTTGCTGAACGCCGCCGCCGCCCAATCCGCCTCCGTCTTCACCCATCCGCTGATCACGACGATATTCTCTTGCTTGATGTCCTGGTTCAGAACGCGCTTGACATATTCGTACCACTTGTCGTAGTTTCGAACGATGTAGGTCTTGAGTAGTGATGTGCGGGCCGGGCCTCAAAGCCTCCAAGCCCGCCAAGCCCGGCCCAAAAAGCCTGGCCCGAGTCAAGCCTGGCAGTGGGCTCAAGGCCGGGCTCGGAGCGTAGTCAAGCCCAAGCCCGGCCCGGAAGCCCAGGCTTGGGTGTGCTGGCTCCGTTACCGTTCCCTGAGTTCAGAATGAGGAGAGAGCGACCTAATATGCACATAGAAGACAAAATGTAGATATTCTAGATGTAACGGCTCCCGCCGAGCACAATTGTGCGTCACCATCTGGTGCCTGCCGTAGGCGCACGCTCGTGGACTTCGCTGCGACTCGACTTGTTCCGCAGATGTAGATCTTCTGGAGGTTAAAATTTAGTGAGTACATGCAGTATTAATCTACTACGCCCAAATACATTCCCTTTTGATAGCACCGGAACACTCGTTGTATTGTGAGCAAGCCCGGGCTTAAGCCTGCAGCTTGGGCCGGGCTCGGGCTCGGCTCGGGCTCAGGGCTCGGCTCGACGTCGCCACCAGCCCAAGCCCGGGCTTTGAGCCCAAGCCAGGCCCGCAAATCACTAGTCTTGAGTGCATGGTTCTCGAATATAGTTTCCGCGTGCGCCTCGCTCTTGAGCGCGAGGACCGCACCCTGTGCTGCCTTGCATGTATACTCAGCACTGAGAGCTGCGGATATGTCTACACTAGTTGTTCTGTGCATTGTTAGTACGAGACGTTTCTCAGCCTAACCAGTCCACTCACACGTTTGCCGACGCATGCACACCCTTACTCTCGACTCCGTGACTGCTGTAATGGTCGGGTGCAAGTGGCCGTGATCTGGGATCGACTTGCAGTACGTTCGGGGGAAGGGGCTCTATGTCCTCGAATGGCGTCGGCCAGAACGTAACCTTCTTCTCGGGAGCAGACGTGTCGAGGTTGAACAATCTGATGAATGCGCCCTCGCGGATAAACCCCACATCGCCGATCTGGGGCTCGCCTGACTTGTGTGGCTCTGGGTACCAGAGGGCGTACCCGAGATGGAGAGTTTGGAGGCTGGACGAATAGACCTTGTCCGGAGCCGGCGACTGACGGAAGAGGCGGAACATGGGAGCTGAGAGGTGAGAACGTATGGCCAGCGATTTGCGGCACGGCCTGGTAAGACGGCTATGGAAGTGCAGAGCGAGCCTGTAGCAAGCATGCCGTGAGATCGATGGGCTGGAGAATGCCAGCGCCACGACCGTGATGGCTTCGCACGAGGAAGTCCAGCGCCAGATCTTGTCCAGCTTGAAGAGCTGCCAGAACATGCTTCGCGCGAAAGCTGGCAGCCTGCTTCGCCAGAAACACGCCCACCGCACAGTTGGTCGTGCCAAAGTGCATGGCCGCGTAACCATACACCTGCGCCGCGCCGCGGCCTTAGTAGACATGGACGATCTTGGCAATTGTTCCCCCACGGTTTCATGTCTATCCAAAACTTGGGCTTTGACGTGGCACAAAATGGGGACTGTGCGCTCTTGGACCCGCCTTGTAGCGAGATTACGTGCGGCGAGCCGTTTGGTGGCTTCCCAGGATGGCCTTTGGCCCGCGCGCTGCTGCCATCGGCGACGGTGGGCTGTCCAGCTTGTGGCAATTGAAACATGCGTCGAAATCCGCTGAGCCAGGGCAGTGACGCGGGTGCATAGAACCCTGTGGCGGGACGAAGGGAGCGTTTGTGCAGAAAAGTACGCGCGGAGCAGGCAGAGGGCGCCGCGTTCAACGAAGGTCGGCGTTGAGTTCAGTGACAGACCGATACTGTGACGTTCTAGGGCGAATTGAGGCCACAAGATGTATGCCCACGTCTCAGTACAGACAGTGACATGAATAGCATGAAAGTGTCTCCTGCAGCAGCGCTGCACAGCGCGAAAAGCCATTGATGTGCCTGGGCATATCAATGTCGTCAGAAGTTAAGGGAGGGCAGCATGCTGCTGACAGGGGAGACTAGATTGATGAGCGCGGAGATGTGCGGGTCGTTGTGTGTGAGTGAGATCATGCGTTTGGCGATGGGGAGTGGGGAGGGCTGTGGGGCATGAGATGAAGGGGGAGATCTCAACGCGTGAGGTGTCGTGCAACTAATGGCTCTGTAGATTCAGCTCTCGCGACAGCAGTATACATGTCTTCGTGAGACCCGGCAAACGATGATCGTCTTCAGGTATCCGGAGCTCGACAAGCTTGAACGAAGGCTCTTAGCAGTATGTCGTCCGGCGACGGCAGAAGGGGTGCATTGCCCAAGTTCACGTTTCAACTTCTTGTGCTTGTGTCTTTTGTAAACCGCCTTGAGACCGAGCAGATGTGGTTTTCTCCAGATTTGAAAATACACCTTGTGTTAGTGCTTTATGAAGGCCTTGAATAATTCGAGCAATATTCATTATAATCTGTATGTGAACTGCGTCTAATTCAACATGCAAGCAAGCAAGTCTGAGGGCCACATACCAACGCCCCTGGGAAAAAATCGGAAAAGGTAACGAATATGAGATGGTCGGAACAAGCATGTCGCTAGGAACAGGCTTGAACGAGACGTGACAGTGGTGTTTTTGCCACATCGCCCACAGATGACTGGCAAGGTCATGAGTATTGTACGTGTCGGCACACGAGCACACACCTGGCGCCCAGACTCGCGATATGGGTGTCCACCATGAGGACGACAACTGTGGGAGATCGTTGGACTGGAGTGGACGACGCGGCTTGGGCTCAGAGCGCCTGAGGGCAAGGACGATGTTGGGCGGGGGTGCCACAGCGCGCTGACGTAATATCACTGTTTCAGCTGCCGCGTCCGGCCTTGGCGACGCGTTGCGAGCTGCTCTCACTGGTCTCCGCATCTGCTCAGTGGCCATCACTACCGCATGACTATCGGTATCCCAGCCAGTGCTGGCTGAACGTCTTCGTGATGCACCGTGCAGCCCCCCGAGTCGCCTCCACCAACGACTTCCACATCTCCCAGAGATTCGCGCGCATCTACCAGAACCCCTCGTTTCGCCGCACCATCCTCTCTCGCACTAATGTTAGTCGCTGCGTACACCTTGTTAATTTTGGCTGCGCAGTTAGACGCGTGTCGACCTATCGCATGGTATTGGCGACACCACTCTAAGTCGAGGTGGGTGACTACATTCACAACTAGATGGGTCGCGCACCGCAGCACTGGACACTCATTGGACATGTTGGACATGTTGAATGGAACGTTTGGAGCTACTGGGTAGATGGCGCATGGATGCTATGTACGCAGGTCTTTTAGCTTGGTCTCCTCTGGATTTGCTGACTAGTCAAACAATCCGACGTTGTCTTACCCTGTCTTCGCAGTCTCCCAAACAATTCAAGTTTCCAACTCTTCCGTCGGCATATATATCCGCGGGGTCATAGCAATCGTCACGAAGCACCACCATACTATTCGGTGGGGTTATTTGCGGCGAATTAGGGCTGTCCTCGGTGTCACTAGACACTGTAAGTCAACGTATATATACAGGGCCGCCAACAACGCATGATTTTCGATGACGAGAAGCGAGGCTGATGGTCTCGGATGGTCGGGATATAATTTTGTGAGTACGTGCTCGTGTCAAACACGAAGTCCTGACGCTAACCCAGGTTGCTTTCGGTAGCCTGAGAGCAGGCGCATGCGGACGGTACAAACAGGCCGCCCGAGGGGAATATGACAATACAGATCATGTACAAAATCTGTGCCATCATATCGTGGCTGCGCAATGCTGGCTGCGTGCTTACGATCTGTGCAGAAGGCATTCGTTCTCCGGCACGGACGTCACCCGGGTCGCAACACATACTCCCTATGTGTCTCCGCCTCGAAGTCTAGGGAAGGGTGCGCACAGAACCACCGACGTCCTCCTCCCGAACTGCCATTAAGACCTCCAGCACGAAGAGCCCAGCTTATGGGCGACCGTGCCCGGACGTAATCTCCAAGACGAAGACCAGCGACGCTACTCCTCCGTTGCATTCGCCGCTCGCGAGTACGAAACATCAATTACTATTCTGTAGCGCCTTCTGATGAACCCGAAGCGTTTAGAAATAAGCAAGACGTGGCGATGCCGCTCAGCATGCCGCGCATTTTGCGCGACGGCACTTCGATCATCTCGGCCATGTTCCGACGAGCACGGCCGTCGCGGTCGACATGTACTCGTCAAAGCGCAGCAGGGAGATCCTGAGTAACGATGCGTGCAGGCGGACGCCCGGACGGTAGGTTGATCTCGTGCTCCTGAAGTGACGGGTGCGTGAGTTTCTAGCAGATATTATACATGTAAGTCTGGTTCTATTCGGTAATCTACTATGTCCTTTCTGACTGGCCCGCGGGACAAGTCTGGGTACGTGCTGCGGCGTAATGCTGCCGGTGCGCGCTAGTGACAGACCCGTCCAGGCGGTGTTCTGGTAGTGCCGATACCGTCGTTCCGCTCCTTGGACCCGGAAAGCAGAAACGCCGGTATCGGAATAGTACCTTCTGCCTGGTCGTAGGCTTGGACGGCGAGAAATTTATATTTCGATCGCGTGCACGCCATTTCTCAGTCTAGCATCACCCCCGCCAGTCGTTACTCCCCAGGCCACCCCGCGCTTTCTCTTCGATCCTACGCTCGGCATACCGAATTCCTATGGTCCACCTCTCCATTCTCAACGCTTTTGTCCTGCGTCTGAACACGATACAGGAGCGGTCTCGCTGTCTACTATAAGAGACGGCGCCAGTCAAATCCCCGTGCGCGCTTCGTCGCTCACCTCGAGTATTGGTTCATCTTCCGGTCCTTTCTGTACTCAAGTGCGATCGACCGCGCTTGGGATTGTCGTGCACTGCGGTACGCTGGAGAAGGGGCCATGGAGACAAATGTTGATCGGCCGACGGTTGCGGAATATTGGGCTGTTCTTGGGGTGCGTTGCGTTGCGATTATACTCAAACCTGTACCAGTATAGATCGCTGCCGAAAATATTCGCCGCTTTTGACGGAGGCTCTGCGGTCCAACTGCAGGGACCGAGCGAATCATTGATAGGCACGTCGTACCGCGTCTCCGCCGTGCATAGCGCCCTTCTGACGGACTGCAGCCCGCTGCGGCTCCATATTGCCTCAGAATATTCTACGTCTGACCGCGGCGGACCCATACGGCTGTCGCTCCTTTCGTCGTCCTTCTCGCCGTGACAGCCCGCACCGTCACTGCCGGTGCCGACGCCCGCCAACGAGAAGTAAGAGATTGTGCCGCGTCGTACGCGCCCGACCTACCGCCTAAGCCCCATGTACGCACAAGGGAATGTACCTACGCTTGGTGAGGCTTGTAGTATGGGCATCGCCGATGAACCTCATGCCTTTGCTGCGATACGCCGGCTGACCACGTCGGACTTCACAGATATCCCTACAGCTCTCGCCATTATGCGACACGTCGACGTACATGCCTGTGGAGCTTGGCGTGGGTGAGACATTGCACTAGCTGGCCGATATGGTATTTGAAGTACTATTGTCTGTCTTCCCATGACAGACATACCCGGCAACACCTGCTCATCCCATGTAGTTCATGTTCATGCTGTATACCCGTGCAAATTGTTTAGTACATGTCAGATTTCCCCTACACACGCGCACTAGCGTGGCACATTCGGCCAGGCAGGAAATGATATTCTATCGCATGCGCACTACATCTTGAATATCATATAGTCTAGGAGGTTTTCCGATTCCCTTTAGAGAATTGGTTAACACACTGACTCAGAAGCTTTAGCCGCTGGTTCCCCCCCCCCCCCTATCGGACTCGTAGGTCCGATCCGAGTGATCCGAAGTGCACAGCGCCGTCGTTCTCAGCCTGGCGAGGACGTCTGCGAACGATTAGTACGAAACACCATCGTCTCGCAAGTCTATTCACGGTCGCCGCTCTGGTGCCGTACGGTGTGCTTTCAGCATCTCGACAAGCAGTCGTCTTACCACCAGGAACTGCTAGCCACCCACAGCGCTAGACCGGGTACACACGATGGTTTCACGCTGAGCGCAACCTACTCGGCACTCCACACCTCGATGAGTTCACCCACCCGACGAATGTGCTGACCACGAAACGTAGTGAGATGAACAGTGGGTGCGGCTGATCCAAGTTGTCTACGCTGCCAGTGCACGAAGGGGCCAGGTCACAGCGCCAGCGCCACTCACTTTCCATCGCAGAGTCTGACAATTCCTTGGTTCGCTCACGCTCAGTCCCAAGCCGCACATGCCGATCTACCCTCTGTGCATGCTCTCGAACCATGTGCTTAGCACCAACGGACATGTGAGCAACATCTGGGCTGAACCCCGCACATCATGGCATGTGGTGGCCCAATATCAAATTCCCGCCCGAGAGGGAACAAATTCGCCTGTCGGGGCCAGCGGTCATCCAATGATCCAAGTGCATGTTTGCTTGGTGCTTGTGTCCCAGATTTGATATATAACGTTGATAGCCTGGCCCATTTGTTTGAGCTCTCTCGCCACCTGCAGCACATCAGCCTCGGCTGCTACGTCAACTGCGCTTTTGCTGCCAGTGCCGTCGGCCTATTGCCTGCATAGCACTCTTGCACGCAGCTCAATCTCCGCATGCAGTACCAGCAGCTCCTTGAGGCCGACATACTTCCGCTTACAAGAAGTCGATCTTGGTTGCAGCTACGACTTGTACCACTGGCACTCTGCGGGGCTGTTTCCTTCAGTGGCGTCTCATTGCTTGGCCATCATCAGAAGCTTCCGAGGTCTCAGGCTGATTGATTCAATGCCCATTATGCACACTCCATTGTCATGCCTGCTGCCACCATTGTGAGGGCATTATCCAAAAGTATGAGAATACCATTGCTAATGTTGAAAATGAATAAGTTTGTGTTGGAAAATCCAACGGCGGGAAAGTCAAACGCTCTCAGGTGGGCTCTTACAGAAGGGTGCATTTCGGGCCTTCTGGCTGTCTACAACTGACATTATAGTCCAATATTCCTGGTAAAGGTGATTTCTTTGGGTATGACTGTGTGAAATGTGGGTATTTTGTGCAGAGGATGCACCCAGAGGCTACCGGCAGACGCTCGAATAAATCCTTTTTAAGATTAGAATTGAGGGAATTTTGGACCTTTTAATGACCTGAGGGACACTTTATGGACTAATGTGCCCTCGACAAAATACTCCATTTGGGAATAAGCAGGCACTCTTTGTGTGTATTATGGTGAAGTCACACTGGCACTCTTATTGCCATATGCACATCTGCACGAAATTATTTTGCTCCGGCAAGCTATGATACTATTCAATGTACACAATTGATTCTGTATTGCATACATACCTCTCATGATATAATATATACATACGGGCTTCCTTGGGGAATTGGCTGACACGGCGCTAGCTGATACCCCTCGAGTTGTGCTGCAGTCCACAAAAAGGTGCTGGCTGCCAGGTATACATTTGACACTACCGATTCCCCCGTCAGCTTCAAACTTTGCAAGAAATGACTGGAATCTTGTATCGAACACTTTCAATTCGCCTTTCTCATTGCCCAGAACAACATAGTCTCCGTCTTGGGAGTGTACCGCGAGAAATGCTCGCTCTGACAGCTCGAAGGCGTGACGGAGTTGGCCCGTCCGCGAGTCAAATGCGGCAACAGTCTTGTCCACGTCACAGCCCACCAGTACCTCGACGCCGTCTGGGGAGAAGGCCACAGGCCACGAGAGCTCTTGCGGGTGGTTGATCGTGAGAATCTCGCTGCCGGTCACCACGCTCCAGATCTTCACCTGACCGCGCAACGCAGTGGCTATGCGCTCTCCCTGAGGAGACACCCACCAAAAGTTCCCGCCCCGTATACCAGCGTGCAGTGTCGCGATATGTGACCATGTTTGGGCATCATAAATGATGACGGAGGGGCCTACTTGAGCATAAAAATACAAGCTGTTCGGAGGAAAGGCGAGCTTGTGTATGTCTTCACTAACGCCGATCGAGCGCACGCATGACCCAGTCGAGGCGTCCCAAATCTTTATGCAATTGTGGCCATGGGAAGCGGTGGCGATGAGTGCGCCATGAGGAGCATATGTAATGTCGATCACTGTCCCAGGGTGTCCTTCGAGGCACACAAGTGCATGGCCACTTTGAATGTCCCAGATAATCGCGCTCCCGTCGCTGAATCCGATACAAGGGTCCGGCTATTAGGAGAAAACGATAGCGAACTGGCCCCGCTTAGATAACCGTGATCTTGTAGGCGTTGAACTAAGAGGCTATCGGAGAGTCGCCATACGAGGATGTCGCTAGCACTGCCAGCGAACGATGCCGCAAGCAGCTTGCCGTCATAGGATGTGGCATAACATATGCTAGGCACGGATGGATCTTGAGAATCGGCGAAGACAAGATGCTTCGCTTTCAGGGAATGAGCCGCCGCTTCCGTGGGGCCGATGAAAACATGCCCGTCAATCGGCTGACCGGCACTGTCGGTGGTGATGTACGGCCAGTTCGCCATGTCGGACCTGGTAATCTTACGGCGTGCGACGGCACGTTCGCGCTCGTGATATATCACATCTTCCATGCACAGCGACCCAACTGCGCGTAAGAGTGCGGTGCTTAATAACAACTATCGCAAGACGATATGAGAGACTCACGCGTGCCATCAATGTTCACTGAAGGCTGCATTTGGCGAAGATAGCTCGCAAAATCCACTATCTGCTTGCCGCTCTGTGCACGTATGAATTTTCGCACTTATGGTGGATTCTGTGCACGACACGTACGATGATGCTTTCAACATCGTCATCACTTGCAACTGCAGTCTCGACACCAGACGTCTGTCATCATGAGTGCGACGTTTAGCGTAACAAATGCCACAGAGAGTCAGCATACATACCTCGAGTATGTAGGCAAGGAGGATATCCAGAGGATCAAGAACCTCATCCTACCATCTTGTCAGGTGGTGGTCCCTTAGAACACTGTGATTGATCACGTACATCGCCCTCAGCATTGACTATATTTGCGTCGCCCATATTCTCCGCCTCCGCCTCCAGCACAATGACACCCTCTCCTCCCAAACCATCTCTCGCGGCCCATGGATCAGGAAGTTGGTGGTAGCCTGCGCCGGCGACAACCTTCCGCGGCAGCATGAACCGCCTCCGCACCTTGAGCCGCTTCACGAGCACACACTGGTCTCTCCTTGTACTCCCCGCCTCGCGTTGTCCGTGTCGATGCATCTCTGGTCCGCTCACAGAACTCGAGTGCGACCCACCCATCTCGGCCCCTGCAATGCTGCCGGCACTAGCTTTGAGAGAGCCACTGAAGCTCGTGCTCGTGTTACTGAACGCCGCCGCCGCCCAGTCCGCCTCCGTCTTCACCCAGACATACACGACGACGATCTTCTCCTACTTAATGTCCTGACCCAAGTTGTGCTTCACGTACGCGCACCATTTGTTGTGGTTTCGGACGATGTATGCCTTGAAAACGTGACTTTCGAACAATGTCTCTGCGTGCGCCTCGCTTCGGAGCGCAAGAACCGCGCCCTGAGCTGCCTTACATGTGTAATCTGCACTGAGCCCCACGGACACGTCCACACCGGCCGTTCTGGAGACTGTCAGCGCAAAGATGCTTTCGAAGGTAGCCGGTCCACTTGCAAATTTGCTGATGCATTCACGCCCCTGCTTTCGACTCCGTGACTTCAGTAGTGGCGGAGTGCGAGCAGGCGGGGTCTTGGGTCGACCTGGAGCACATTTGGAGGCAGTAGCTCTATGTCCTCGAAAAGCGTCGGCCAGAACGTAACCTTCTTCTCGGGCGTAGACGTGTCGAGGTTGAAGAGCCGAATGAATGCCCCGTCGCGTATGTAGCCCACGTCGCCAATCTGTGGCTCGCCTGACCTGTGTGGCTCTGGGTACCAGAGGGCGTATCCGAGATGGAGCGTCTGGAGGCTGGACGCATAGATCTTGTCCGGGGCCGGCGACTGACGAAAGAGGCGGAACATATGAAATGAGAGGTGCTGGGGAGAGTCGAGACCGGTGACTCAGGTGTGGCGCAAGCTGGCAGGTCAGCGCAGTGGCGTGCATGCCATGGGATCGATGGAAAACTGGCGCCAAACCTCAAGCAGATCAAGAGCTCGCGTGGCTGCCGGAATAATGCTCCCTTTTAGTTGTCGCATCCGGCCCTGACCTCCGGACAACTCCAGCTGCGCCAGAGCCCAGGAATTGGGTCACTCTGTGCCTCTGTGTCTGTACCGATCACGGTGCATATCGGTGTTTAGTCACGTGGTCTAAGCGGAATGCCTCAATTAGGTACTCGTGGATATGGGTGCCAAGCGCCCATTGCCGATTCCCTTGTATAGTGCCATTGAGGACAACCATAGCACTGAAAATCAATATGATTTTGAACTGGTATACGCGGGTGCAAAAGATTCCCCTGCATAGTGCCATTGAGGACAATCATAGCACTCAAAATATCATAGCACTCAAAATATATATGATTTTGAACTTGAGACAACAGATGTCACATGCAGGCACAATATCAGCCAAACAGGAACCCTTCACCTCACCCAAGTCCAGGCTGACGCGATGACGGCTGTGGCCTCAGGATGGTTGGCAGCGCAGATGTCACGCAGCTCCAAATAAAGTGGTCGCCCTCACAATCAAATAGTTGTCTGGGTTAAGCAAAAATTGTTACGTACACTTGGTCAAGACAACTAGTTTATGATCAATGTAGAGTATGTCAAAGGGTGGATGGCACCTTGGCAACTGAAAGAGCCACAGCCTAGACCTCCACACCTCCAACCAATGGTGTCGGGATGTGGACCGTGTTCGTAGACAGGGCTGCCTTGTCCTTCGCGTTCAAAGGAGAACCTGAGAGAGAAGCGGTCACCAAAGCGACGCATGGACTGCGCGCAGTAACTGTCGTTCAAGCAGGTGGTGCTGGCAGCAGGTAAGATAGAAGCAGGAGGTCTGTCGAGCAGAATGTATCCATGTTTATGGTACTTGCAAAGGCTGCGCAAGTTGCTGGTGGTCAAGGGGCGAGAGGCTTTGACACTGACACCAGAGAATAACATGTAAGGGTACGCAACATCGAAGCTGTCCGCAGAGACATAGTTCATGACAGTTATGGAGTGGAAGAGTGCAATGGGCAAGGCAGCTTGTTTTCAGATGTTTGCAACATCAATGGTAGCAGGAGACATCGCACCTACTGCGATTGTCTGTGCGGTCAGAAGTCTACCATGGTATATAATTTTCAATGTTGTTTTTGCAGCCCACATCAAACAGGTGTGGCTTGCACTTGCTGTAAACTGTGGCAAGCAACGCTTCAGATGGTCTTCAGAGATATGGCAAGCGATAACACAATTCTTAGATTCCTTCATTGCAGGTTTGTTTACAGAGCACTACATGGTCAATATTTTAACAGCATATTCAGGAGCTGTTACCATCACTTTCGAGGACAAGAGCATGCTGGAAGTAGCCAACAAACCAGGTTTATTGTAGTGCAGCTACGAACAATTTTAAGCACTTGTACCAATGACAGCAACCAACTTACAGTCAATGCAATGTTTTGCACAGTGGAGATTGCCCAGCTGACACGCTAACAGGCTGGACCAAGAGCATGAACGGACCATATCTCGACATGCACTGTTTAGGGCTGACTGCCGGCAGATCTGTAACCAGAGCTCAGGGGAATCAGAACATGGGTCTTTCATTGGGCGGCTCATCTTTTTCCATGCAGTGGAGCGATTGTGCTCGCACCACCAATGCCTATAAGCTGGAGGCAGAGTGCACAGTCCTTTTTACTCCCCTTTTGCTCCGCACAAGGTCAGGTCTCCAGTTGTGATCTGCTAGTTCTGCAACGGCTAACAATACCTTGGTTAGTACAGTATACCACTCACGCACCATGCCTGTTGACACTATTCCCAATGACATGAAGGATATGGCAGCGCAAGCCATCTCTCATGAGTGTGGCATTCTGCTCTCTCTCGTGCGGTGAGGCCCTGACCATGTCACTCACAATTTTGATATCTGCTCACCAATTAATTTTTGGACCTTCATTTAGCTCTGAGGCACCTACACTTGTCCAATCATGGCCGTTGTTGAAGTTAATCGGTCTCGCAAGTGACGGTTCATAGGATGTTGTGGAGGGTGGTGGCCTGAAAGGCTCGGGTGCAGTGGGCCGGGAGTAGTAGATGGCCAGAAGCTTTGCTTACAAAGCCATGCCGTTTTCAGACAACCAAAAGCGCCCTAGGGACTGGAAGATTTTCCAGCAACATAAATGGTGAGGGGTATTTGTAAGCATTAAATTATGTATGGACATGTTTGATGCACCTTCGAGAGCAATAAATCTTTTAAATTTTGCGACACTCGTGGGATTCGAGTGAGCAACGGCGAGTTTGTTCATGCTTTGGAATTACACTCATAGGCACCAGTACGCAATATCAGGCTGGCGCTCGGGTGCCTGGTGCTGGTGAGGGGTAATTTTGTAAGCATTAAAATTTGTACTGACATGTTCTATACACCTTGAAGACCAATAAATCTTTTAAATCTCGCGACGCTCGTGGGTTTTGAGTGAGGAACGGCGAGTTTGCTTGTACCTTGGGAATTAGTCTCATAGGCGCCGGCTGGCACATTATTAGCGCAAGCTCGGGTTACGCAACATCAGGCTGGGGCACTAAGGCAAGCTCAGGTGCAATGGCTGATTGTCACGTGACTTTTGGGCATGCACGGTTCGGTCCATAATCTGATTCTAGGGGAATTGAAATATGGCGAGGTTCCATACCTGGAAGGCACCCCCCAATGGCTAAGCATTTGATCTGCCGGAAAATGCAGGTAGATGTATTCAGCTACTACAAGGCTATTACAATAGTGAGATGCAAGACAGACTACGAGCTGTGGGTTGGGTACAGATGTGAGCCGAGCGAACTAGCAAACAACACGCATATACTCCCATATCTGGCAATCATCCATGGCTGCGAGCAAGTTGCGCATCTTGAAATATGCCCACTCGGCATACTTGCAGTGGTCGAATCTGGTGAACACGTACCGAAGCGAATTGTTAGTGCGCTTGTCGCAGGCGCCTTAGCAGTTCATGATCCGGTTTCGGAGTGCGACAAGATCAGATTGTGGTAGAACTGTGCATATCGAATAGTGTATACCCACGTACTTGCAGCCAGGGCCTGTATGCCTTCCAAAATCCTTCAATTGCCTCGTTGTTGCAGGGCCCTTGAATCTGGCCTTCAATCCCAACAAGATTCGGGTTCAGACTAGTGTTTATACCAAACTGCCTCTTGTTAGTACCAATTTCATTCGGCCCTGGTGCAACTCACATCAGAAACTTCAGGATCTATGGCCATCTTGATGGCGGTAGTGGAATACTGGCAAGTGCTATGAGATGTCATGGACATTCAAGTTGGCCTATCTTCACGGCATTGAACAAACTGATTTTGTTGGGCGCCTCTGCGCCAGAACACAGCATTTGATTTTTGAAATTTCTGGGTCCTGGCCCACTCCATTGACCTCTGGGCAACTCCAGCTGTGCTCGCCAACCAGAGCGAGTCCGAACTGCTTCACTACAGTACTCTGCATTTATCATCGCTGTATAACTATTTTCACCCCAACCAGGCAGAATATTTTTGCTACGCGCCATGCGGTCCTTTGAGTTGTCTACAAACAAACCGCAGCTCAGCAATGTCTTCTGGTCACAATGTATGAGAAACTTTGCATTTTACAGGGATTCTTCTGCATTTCCTGGGACCTCCCACTTGGCCAGCAGCATTTTTGCTTGCGTCAGCGTGGGCGCGTCACATATATTTTGGCCATGGTGACTGTACGCTCTGCCCCTACCCCACGGCGTTGCTGGCTCCACTGTACCATAAGGCATGCACTCCATTTTTGTCTACATATCATGGGCGGCCTAAATCACCCTTTTGTCCAGCACTCAATCTAATATCTCTGTACTAGGGAATGTGAACATCCGCATCTAGATGGGCCTCACACCGCGGCTTCGGGCAGTCATCGGACAGTGTGGTTAGAAATGTTTGGAGCTTGCGTGAAGATGTGGGGGTTGTATTGTACGTACGTCGTTCAGTCTAGTCCTCTCTGCACTCGCTGACTGCTCAAATAGCCCGATGTTGTCTCTCGCATCTTTATCTCAGATGGTTCACGTCTTTGACTCTTCCATGAACATACATCCACGGCAGCAGGTCAGCTACCAAGAACTTGAAGCACTGCTGCTATCTCTCTCACGGTGGCCTGCATTGTATGTAGGCTGTCGTTGAGACCCTTGGATGGCGTGTCTTGATGCATCTGCACAGGACCAGTGACAATACTCGATTTCCCTGGCGAGACATGGAGCTGGCAGTCTTGGATGATTTGGGTTTGATTTCATGCGGACGTGCAGGTGTGAAATGCAAAAACCAAGTATTGACCCAGTCTGTCCTTAATAGCCTGAGAGCGCATGCATGCGGACAACACAAACAAAGCAAGCTTCCTGACAAGCAGAATCCAGACTATGTGCGAGACAGTGCACTAGGACTCATCGTACACTGCAGAACGCTGGAGAAGAGGCCATGGATAATTGCCAATGGTCGAGGTTGCGGAAAACCAGTGTTCTCCGGGTGCGTCACACTACAATCATCATCGATTCCCAGCGCACCGACCATGCCAGCACAGATCACTGCCGAGAACGTCCCTGCTTCCGATGAACAAAACTGCCGGAGGACTGAAGGGACTGGGTGGCAAATTACGTTTGTATTGTGTCTTGGTCATGGTTAGCACCCTTCTGACAAACTGCAGCTTGCTGCAGCTCTAATTTCGCTTAAAACGTCCAGTGCCCACCCACGGGTATGCATGCCGTCACCACTCTTTTCGTCACCCTTCTAGTCATTACGACCTGCATCATTGCCGCTGCCTCTGTTCGCCAACAAGAGATGCGACATTACGCCGCATCGTACACGCCTGACCTGCCGCCCAAGCTCACGTACGCAGAGGGGAACATTCCTATGATCGGCGAGGCCTAGAGTGCGGGCACTGAAGGTGAACTTTGTGTTTGTGCTGCGGCACGTTGATTGACCACATCAAGTTGCGCAGAGATTCTTGCAGCTCTCGCCATCGTGTGGCGCGTCAACCTGCACGACCTGGGGAACCTGATATGGGCAGATATTGTGCCGAACAGCCTGTGTGATCTCAATCACTTTATTCTACGTCAAGAGCCTGCTTCTCACAGGCGTCTGGGTTGATTATATTGTATATTCACGTATATTGGATTATATCAGTTTGCTTTCTCCATATATGTGTGTCAATAGTACATTCAGTGAGGCAGGCAATAATATACTACCGCATGCACATAATGTCATGAATATTACACAGTCTATGAGGTTTATCATGAAAGTTTATCAGGAGGTATGAGCTGCCAGGCGCAAATTGGACATCGTAGAGTTTCTCATCAGCCTCAAACTTGGCAAGGAATGCTCCAGACTTTGTGTCAAACATTTTCAGCTCACCACCGCAGTCGCAGAGGACAATGTGGTCTCCATGCAGAGAGTACACCATGGAATGTGCCCTATTTGACAACACAAAGACATGATGTAGCTGGCCCATCCGCAAGTCAAGTGTGACGACAGTCTCGTTTGCATCGCAGGCCGCCAGCACCTCAGCATTGTCTGGAGAGAAGGCCACTACGGTTGCCGAGCAGGCTCAGGTCAAATCCCCAAAACCCAAGTCCAGATCACAAAGCTAATGGCCAACCGCATAATGAGCGCCTGAGCACCTTTCCGCACACAAACATTAGTCTGGGTTATATATGGCATTTTTGGGCCTTTTGGATGTTACAAAAACATATAAGGTGCTGTATCTGTATACTCTGAGGTCAATAAAGGTAGTAGCGGGCCAAGGACCATTATCTGATCCAGACTTATTGAAGCGGTAATCAAGCGCCCAAAGCTTCGATTATCTTATCTAGAACCTAACCCTAAGTTGGTAGCACAATCTAGTGAGTACGGCATGACTTGTTCTCACTAGGTGATATTGATCATAACTAGGTTAGCAGCTGATAATATATATATTTAGTAAGATAGCTACACAGGAGGGCAAGGTCAAGCACACCTGCAACGACTCCAATGGCAAGGGGGGCCCAAGCCCCGATGCACTGCTTCTATGGAAAATGGGCGCCTAATGCCGCCATTGCTGTTCACCCCACTGCCTGCCCTGCAAACAATGATTGATATGCTTCATTTGACTTCTAACCTCGTATACATGCAATATTAATCGACTATTTATGCTGAAAATACTCAAATGTTCAGAGTAAGAGGTGCCAGTGCACTCGGAGGTTGGTGGTGTACAGCGGTTATCCAAGCGCTGATAGTATCAGATTTGGGTTTCTGACTTGGGTTTTGGGAATTTGACCTGAGCCTGCGCTAGGTGGTAAGTGCAGTTTTTTGGCTCGCATAACCAGCCAAAAGCTAGGCGAACAAGAACCTGTGTTTAACCGGTTTTCATTCGAGAAAACTTGGAGACAAAACTTCCTTTTCCACTAGTTTTGCGCGTTTCAGCCTCTTTTGGCCGATTTTGCACCAATTTATGCACCAATTTACCCCAATGTACAACCGGGGAACAATTGGTTCTTGTTTTCCCAATTTTGGCCGGGTTTCTTCAAGAAAAAAACCGTGCTTACCACCCTGTGCTGCTCGGCAACCGTAGCTACGGGCTCCGAGAACCCGATCTTTTGCGGGTGGTCGATCGTAAGAATCTGATTACCGGTCGCCTCACTGCGGATCTTCACTTGACCACGTGATGCGGCAACCATGCGGTCTCCTTGGAGAGACGTCGCCCAGGAACGCTGTTCGTCTGAACCTTGCTGTAGTGTAGTAACGTGTGTGTAGGTTCGGGTGTCATAGACGAGACAAGACCTGTGCAGCTCAATGTAGAGGCGCGAGCCGTCCGCAGAGAAGGCGAGCTCGGATTTTCGTCCACTGGCGCTGAACGAGTACAGATAAGCCCCGGTCGAGGCGTCCCAGATCTTCACAGATGTGCCGCCGTGTGAAGCGGTGGCGACGAATGTGCCATGAGGGGCATATGCGACAGTTGAAACTGAGCCAATGTGTCCTTCCAGACGTAGAAGTGCGCGACCGCTCCGAACGTCCCAGACGATTGCACTCTCATCTTCGGATCCCGAGATAAGGGTGCGATTATTGGGAGAAAATGACAAGGATACAACCTTGTCTGTATGACCCTGATGTTGTAGGCATTGAACCAAGAGACCGTCGGAGAGCCGCCACACGAGGATGTCGCCAGCATTGAACGATGCCGCGAGCAGCTTGCCGTCCACGGATAGGGAGTGGCAAAGACAGTGAACGGATGGTTCGCGAGAGTCGGAGAAGGTGAAGTGCTTCAGTGTCAGGGGTCGAGCCCCTGCTTCTGTGGTGCCGATGAAGACGTGCCCATCATCCAACCGACCGGCGCCGTTCATCGTGATGTACGGCCATTTCGCCCTGTCTGATTCGGAAATCATACGGTGTGCGACGGCGCGTTCGCGCTCACTGCTTATTACGTCTTCCATGCACAGCGAGCCGACTGCAAGAAACGTTGCGGCGCTTAGACCGTTTTCACGAAGCGATAAGAGAAAGACTCACGCGTGCCATCTACGTTCACCGGAGGCTGTACTTGGCGAAGGTAGCTCGCAAAATCAACCACCTGCTTGCCGCCCTTGAGTATATGTCAGTCTTCGAGTTCATGTTGGACGTTGCGTATAATATGTACGATGATGCTCTGCACGTCGTCATCACCTGCAATTGCAGTCTCGACGCCAGACGTCTGTCATCACAGGTTCGATGATTAGCGTGAGGAATAGCGCTCAGCGAGAGCTGGCTTACCTCGAGGATGTAGTCAAGAAGGATGTCTAGCGGATCAGGAATCTCGTTCTATGATCTCGTTAGCTCATGTCTCTCGCAAGTCATCGTCGTAAGCCACGTACCTCGTCCTCGACTTCTACTACGGTCGCTTCGTCCAAATCTCCCGCGTCCCGTGCCATGGCTCCTTCCCCTACTGATTCGCCTCCACCGTCTCCTGGATCCGGAAGTTGGTGATACCCTGCACCCGCGACGACCTTCCGTGGGAGTCCCGGCCGCCTCTGCACCTTGAGTCGCTTCACGAACACGGACTGATCCCTGCTCGCATCCGCCCCCGCGCCTTCGGACGTCTTCGTCGAGTGGCTCTTGCCTCGACGCTCCATCCTCGGACCCGTCACGGTCCTCGTACGCGATCCCCCCCCCCCCCCGCCTCGATCCCCACAACGCCGCCGATACGCGCTCTGAGTGAGGCTCCAAATCTCATGCTCGTGTTGCTGAAGGCCGTTGCCGCCCAGTCAGCTGCGGTCTTGACCCATCCGGTGACGAAGACGATGTCCTCTTGCTGGACGTCCTGGCCAAGATCGTTCCTGGCATATTCGAACCACTGGTCATGGCTTCGGATGATGAAAGTCTTGAGGTTGTGGTTCTCGAATAGTGTCTCCTCGTACGCCTCGCTCTGCAGTACTAACACTGCCCCTTGCGCTGCCTTGCACGAGTATTCCACACTGACGCTCGCGGACGCGCCTCCACCAGTCGTTCTGCGAATTGTCAGAGAATGGGTCTCCCGGGTGAGCAGATGCACTCACGCGTCCGCCGAGGTATGTATCTCCTTGATCTCAACTCCATGACTGCAATAATGCTTGGGAACGAGCGGGCTACTTCTCAAGTCGATGTCTAGTGCGCCTGGCGGTAAAGGCTCTATGTCCTCGTATTATTTCTTGAACCATTTGTACGTGACCTTCTTCTCGGGCGCGGAGGTGTCCAGGTTGAACAGCCTGACGAATGCGCCACGACGAGCGAAGCCCACATCGCCAATCTGCGGCTCGCCGGTGACATGCGGCTCGGGGTACCAGAGGGCGTGACCAAGATAAAGAGTGTCGAGACTGGATGAATAGATCTCGTATGGAGCGGACGGTAGGCGACGGAAGCGGAACATGGTGGGTGAGCGAGTATGCGGAGGGAGCTGTTAGAACGGGGAAAGCAAATCAGGTACACGGATCGATGGCGGAGAGCATGCCAGCGCCATGAGCATGATGGTTTCGCACGAGGAAGTTGGGCGGTCAAAACTTGGGTCATATACCAGTGGAAATTATTGAGTATACTGCCGAGCTGAATGAGCTGTGAGGAACTCGAAGCGATGCGTTGATGTCTCGATCCTAGTCATTCGGATTGTCTGGCCCCGGCTCAAACGAATGAGATGACGCAGAGCGAAGAGGTCGCGTTATGCGTGCAGGGGTCAGGTGTCCGAGCAAGTGGAGGCGGCAAGCTCGAGCAGCGCGAGTCCGGAATCCGGATATGGAGGCGGCGGGGTCACGTGTCCGTGCGGAGTCCTCGGTCCGACTCCGACCCGTGCCAGTACTGGCGCTTTCGACCTAAGAGCAACATCTCTGCTTAGCCTACGCCGGCCAAGCGATATTCGAAGAGTCTTTCCAGGCTGCTTGACTAGCATCCCCGTGTGCTAGTGATCATTGTTACCCCACAGCCATTTGCGCCTTAGCTAAACAAGCGTCTTCACTGCGCGTCGTCGACAGCAAAGCCGCACCTCCCAGTCACAGCGTACCTGTGACTCATTTCCCGAGGTTCGCCATGTGCTAACAAATCTTTCCATACCAAAAACATGCCCATATGCGTTAACTACGTCCGTACATGAATGCAGCTTTCACCCATGATATTCGTGTAGTATAGTCGGCTATCGCATCCGCATTACATCTTGGATATTACACAGTCTAGGAGGCTTGCCGTCGACATCTATCAGAATGGTCTGGCTGTCCGGCAGGAACTGAGTAGAAATGAGTGCCATATCAACCTCAAGCTTCGCAAGGAACGTCCCAGCCTTCGCGTCAAATACCTTGAGCTCTCCGCCGACATCGCCGAGAGCAAGGTAGGCGCCATCCGGGGAGTACGCCACGCAGCGTGCTTTACCGGTCAAGCTGAAGACACGGCGCTGCTGGCCTGTCCGCGAGTCGTAGGCGACGGCAATCCTGTCCGAACCACGGGCCGCCAACACCTCATTCCCGTCGGGAGAGAATGCCGCGGTGGGGGATGAGAGCTCCCCGGCGTGACTTTTGGCGTGATTAATCTTGAGTAGCTTTTCGCCCGTCGCCGCGTTCCAAATGTTCACTTGATCGTCCGATATGGTGACTATGCGATCCCCTTGCTGAGACATCGACGAGTATATCATCTCCCCGGTATCATGCTGTAGCGTAGTAATGTGCGCATATGTTTGGGGATCGTAGATGGGGCAGGAGCGTCCCACTTGAGCGTAGAGACACGAGTTGTTCGGGGTAAAGGCAAGGCTATACATGCCTTCGTATGCGAAGTTTTGCAGATCGTCGTCAATATTGAAAGAATGTAGGGATGTTCCGGTCGAGACGTCCCAAATCGTCACGGATGTGTCTATGTCATAGCATGTGGCGATGAGCGCGCCGTGGGGAGCATATGCGACCTTGGTCACTGGTCGATTGGGTCCCTCCAGACGTAGAATTACGCTACCGCTCCGAGTGTCCCAGACAATAGCGCTCTTGTCGTTGGATCCCGAGACAAGAGTATGATCTTTGGGGGAAAACGAGAGGGAGTATACGTTGTCTGTATGACCATGAGAGTGCAGGCGTTGAACCAAGAGGCCGTCGGAGAGTCGCCACACGAGGACGTCACGACTTCTGAACGACGCTGCCAGAAGCTTGCCATCGGTCGACAGGGTAAAACATTGACAAACGCGGGATGGATTTCCAGGATCTGAGAGAACGAGTTGCTTCAGCTTCAGAGGCCTGACCTCCGCTTCCGTGGGACCGACGAAGGCACGCCCATCCTCCACGTGACCAGAACCGTGAGGAGTGATGTGTGGCCAATCGACCAAATCAGACGCGGTGATCGTGCGACGCGAGAAAATGCGTTCTCGCTCATGGCATATGACATCTTCTATGCGCAGCGATCCCACTGCGCGAAAAGTTGTTGCTTAGATTTAAAGCGCCGCGAGTAAATATGAGACCCACGCGTGCCTTCAACCTCCACGGGAGGCTGCATCTTGCGTAAATAGCTTGCAAAATCTACTACACAATTGTCGCCCTGAGTAGAGATTAGCCTTCGCTTCATTAGAGGATGTGTAGCGCACATACAACGATGCTTTCGACGTCTTGATTACTTGCGATAGCAACATCGGCATCGGTAGTCTGTTGGCGAAATTATCGGGCTTAGTATGGTCAACAGAACTGCTGGGGAAACTCACTTCGAGTATGTAGTCGAGGATTATATCGAGCGGGTCGAAAGGCTTTTCCTAATATTTTATTGGCTAATGCGTCTCGTAATACGCCGCAATCAACACGTACCTGCCCGAGGTTCAGGATGTCTACCTCATCCAAATCCTCCAACTCTTCCAACGCAACCCCCTCCCCTTTCGAGGCACCTCTCCCGTCTCCTAGATCTGGAAGCCGGTGGTAGCCCGCACCCGCGACAAGCTTCGGCGGAAGCAACAGTCGCCTCAGCACCTTGTAATACTTCAAGAAGATGCACTGATCTCTCCTGAACTCTGCAGAGTGGGAACCGAACGTCTTCGACGAGTAGTGTTCAGCGTGCCGATGCATTTTCGGACCCATCACAGAGCTTGTGTACGATCCACCCACTTCCACCCTGGCAACGCCGCCGACATGGCCTTCGAGCGAACCGCTGGAGCGCGTGCTTGTATTGCTGAATGCAGTCTCCGCCCAGTCTGCCGTGGTCTTGACCCAGCCGCTAACAACGACGAGATCTTCTTGCTTGATGTCAAGACCGAGGACGTCCTTTGCATATGCGTGCCAGGCGCGAATATTCCGAAAGATATACTTCTTGAAAATTTGGTTCTTGTATATCGTCTCGGCGTGAGCGTCGCTCTTCAGCGCAAGAACTGCGCCTCGTTCTTCCTTGCACGTGTAGCTTGCGCTGAGGCCCACAGATATGTCAACACTAGCCGTCCTGCACGCCGTCAACAGAAGGTGTGGCACAGATGAGCTAGTATACTCACACATCTACTGCAGCGTGAATATCCTTTCTCTGGACTCCGTGGCTGCAATAGTCTCCAGGAAGAAGAACTCGAGGCCTAGCGTCGGTCTTCAATACGCCTTCAGGCAAGGGTTCGGTGATCTTGAAGGGCGGGCGAGGCTCCCAGTACGTGACTTTCTTGTCAGGCGCGGAGGTGTCCAGATTGAACAACCTTACGAACGCTCCCTCAAGTATGAAGCCTACATCTCCGATCTGCGGCTGCCCAGACCCGTGCGGTTCGGGGAACCAAAGGGCGTGGCCTTGATTAAGTGTCTGAAGGCTAGAGGCATAGATCTCGTCCGGAGCCGTCGGTCGACGAGAATTGCGGAACATAATGTGCGGTGAAGAAAGCTGCGGTACAAGTTATGGGATTGGGGACGGCGATGGAAAGCGAGTGTGTGACATACACGGTGTGAGAATCAGTGAGATTGGTGATCACCAGTGGGAGAACTCTCATGGCTATACTAGGCTTGATAGCTTCGCACGAGAAACGCGAACGCTTGGACATTGAGTCGATGAATGGTTCAGTGCCCAGGAGCTATCCGAAGTTATGGCGACCGGTAACCGAGACGTAACGCACGCGGAATATACGCCGCACAAGCGGCACCTGTTTCGTCAAACACCCAAGTGCATGTTTGGCTAAACTGGCAGCCTCTTATGGGTTGACGTATTAGTGTTCGTGTATAATGTGGATGTGAACACAAGACGAGGGCATCCTTTTAGAGCAGCTAGCGCGCTTGCGTGCGACAAGCCATTGATGAGACCCCCAATGGCAGCCTTTAGTCGAGGGCCTGCGTAAAAGAATATGATAGCTGAGTGTTCGCAAATTCTTTATGCTACCTGCCTCGAGCAGCGAGAGGACGCGGCTGGATCAGAGAGAATGCAAGCAATGGGTAGACGACTCGACGGCGTTCATGGCCGGTAGGTCAGTAGACGCAAATACAGGCTAAACTGTGACAAGCGTCGACGCACGGGTGACGCGTTTTATTTCAAAGTATAAAGCATCAAGCATGAATGCATGATGCATGATGTCAGAAGAGACGATGTTGGAGGATACGTCGTGGGGTTTAGTGCACGCGCGACTAGGTGTAAATTCAACTTCAAATTCGGGCGTCCGCGACCTCGTGAGAAATCACAGATACATATAAGCGCCGAAGCTCATCGATACTCTCTCCAGCTCGCGCTGTGCTTCGCCCTTGGTCGACTGGTCTCAGACATTATGCGCTTCTTCCAATGGTTCCGTCCGCCTTCTGCTCCAGATGAGATCTATTCGTCCAGCCTCGAAACGCTTCACCTAGGTCGCGCCCTCTGGTACCCGGAGCCGCATGCAACGGGGGAGCCGCAGATTGGCGACGTAGGCTACATACGCGAGGGTGCGTTCATCAGACTATTCAACGTAGACACCTCTGCGCCCGAGAAGAAGGTTACATTTTGGCCAATATCGTTTGAAGACATAGAGCCTTTGCCCCCACATGTACTCCAGATTGATCCCAGGCGTCGTCCGCTCGCTCCCGACCATTATTGCAGCCACGGAGTTGAAGCTACGAGGGTCCATGCTTCGGTGGATCTGTGAGTGAATAAGCTCGCTCGGGAGCGCTTTTCACCAACAGCTAGCAGAACGGCCGGTGCAGGCGTATCTACGACTTTGGGCGCCAGCTACACGTGCAAGGCAACGCAGGGCGCAGTCCTTGTGCTCAAGAGCGAAGCGCACGCCGAGACAATATTCGAGAATCGAGTTCTGGAGAGTTATATCATCCGAAACCATGACAAGTGGTACGCATATGCCAGGGACGTCCTCGGCCATCGCGTCAAGCAGGAGAATCTCGTCATGGTTAGCGGCTGGGTCAAGACCGAGGCGGACTGGGCGGCAGCTGCCTTCAGCAACACGAGCACGAGCTCCGGCATATCAGTTGAAGGCCATGTGGGCGGCATTGCTGGACTCGGAGCGGGCGGTTCGCACACGAGCTCTGTGACAGGTCCGAAAATGCACCGACACGGCGAGCATTACGCGGCGGACACATCTGCTACGCGCCCTGCAGATACGAAAAGAGACCAATGCGTGTTCTTGAAGCGTTGCAAGGTGCTCAGGTTACTGTGGCTTCCGAGGAAGGTCATCGCGGGAGCGGGCTACCACCGGTCACCAGATTCGGGAGACACGAGGGGCGCTTCAGGAGAGGAAGGAGTCGTGACGCAGGAAGTGGACGATCTTGAAGTAGAAGGTGCTCAAGAATGGGAGGGCGAGGTATGTGCTTTGTGACCATATGCAACCAGATACGCGAGCTGATGAGTTGGCAGGGCGAGGTTCCTGATCCGCTGGACATCCTTCTGGCCTATATACTGGAGGCAAGTCTGCTAGGCAGTATCATTCACTACACTAAACAAAAGTGCCCTGAGGATAGACTACCGGTGTAGAGACGGCCATCGCATGCGACGAAGACGTCGAAAGTGTAGCTGTATGTATTCTTTGCATCTCCTGATTGACTGAAAGCTCACTGCCTCTCAGGGTGGCAATCGGGTAGTTGATTTCGCGAGCTACCTTCGCCGAGTGCAGCCTCCAGTAGAAGTTGACGGCACAGGTGAGCTTCTCATCTTCTCATGGAAGCAATGTCTAAGCATACCAACCTCTCGTGCAGTTGGATTTCTATGCATGGAACACACGATATCCCGCGAGCGAGATCGCGCTTTCGCGCCTCGCGCCATCACGTCTTTCGACTTAGCGGATTGGTCAAACCTCACCTTCGAAGGCGCTGGTTGCTTGAGCGACCGGGGCGTACTTATTGGGCCGACAGAAACGGGCGCCCGACACCTGAAGACGAAACAACTCACCTTCTCTGATCTTCGAAAGCCATCCAATGGATGCAATTGCTTTTCGCTATCAGCTGATGGGAAGCTCTTGGCGGCGTCGTTCGTCAGCACTGATATCCTTGTATGGCGACTCTCCGATGGCTTACTTGTTCAACGTCTACATCAGGGTCACACAGACACTGTTTGCTCCCTTTCGTTTTCGCCCAAAGATTACATCGTTGTCTCTGGATCAGATGATAAGAGCGCGATTGTCTGGGACGTTCGCAGCGGTCACGGACGACTACGTCTCGAAGGACACGGTGGACAAGTTAACGCGGTCGTATATGCTCCTCATGGCGAGCTCATCGCCACCGGTTCCCGCGACGACAATCCCGTGAAGATCTGGGATGCCTCGACAGGGGCGTGTCTACACTCCTTCAGCCTTGACGTACACATATACTACTTTGCCTTCTCCCCGGACAGCTCGCGTCTATTCGTGGAGCTGAACAACTCGTGCATCATCTACAATATGCAAACCTATACGCGCATCGCAACGCTAGAGCACGATGCGACGAAGATGCTCGACTGGTCAATGTCTCCCCAGGGAGATCGCATAATCACTGGATCCGAGGAGTTGGGCCAGGTGAACATTTGGAGTGCGGTCACCGGTGAACAACTTCTCACGATCCAACACCCTGAAAAGCTTGCATTCCCTGTCGCGTTCTCTCCAGACGGGTCTGAGGTGCTGGCGGCTTGTGACGCAGACAAGACAGCTGTCACCTACGACTCACGGACGGGCCAGCTACGCCGCGCCTTCAAGCTATCGGACACGCTGTATGACGTTTCGTACTCGCAAAACGGAGATTACGTCGCCTTAGGCACCATCAACGGGGATTTTCAGGTGCATGACGCAAAGCTGGGAACGTTCCTTGCGACGTTCAAGGGGAGTGGAGAGGGCGAAGAAGTTGAGGAGACACAGTTTCCGTCTGACAGTCGAGCTCTTCTCGCACGATTCTCGCGCGGACCTCTGGTCCTGTATAATATTCAGGATACGCTGCGGATGCGATAGCGTAGTATTTGTGTAGCCACCCCCGGCTCGCTCGATGGTTTATACACATGCGATGTGCCATGGACGGAGTAGGCGCGCGCTGTGCCCGCGGTGGGGAGCACGTGATAAGGCGCATCAGACGCTACAAAGCGCCGACGTGAGCTGTTTTTGGAAGCTTTCCCACACCAGTCGCATTCGCTTTGCACCATCTACTTTCGTATTTGAGCACGCTCTATTGGAGCCATTATGTTTCGCGTCCATCGCCCACAAGCTGCCCCCGACGAGATATACGCATCTAGTCTTGCGACATTTCATGAGGGGCACGCTCTATGGTACCCGGAGCCGCATGAGTCGGGAGAGCCGCAAATCGGCGACGTTGGCTTCGTACGCAAGGGTGCCTTCATCCGGCTCTTCAACTTAGACACATCTGTGTCTGAAAACAAGGTTACCTTTTGGGACCCACCATTCGAGATCGCAGAGCCCTTGCCTCCGGGAGTGCTCAAAATCGACCGCAGACGTCGCCCACTTGCTCCAGGCCATTATTGCAGCCATGGAGTAGAAGCCACGGGAGTGTATGCCTCGGCAGATGTGTGAGTGGATTCACTCTCCCAAGAAGTGACTTTCCGCTGATATCTTGCAGAACGACCGGCATGGGCGTTTCTGCGGCCCTTAGTGCCAGTTATACGTGCAAGACGGCGCAAGGTGCGGCTCTTGCTTTTAAAAGCGAGGCGCATGCAGAAGCGATATTCGAGAACCGAGTTCTGGAGAAGTATATCATCCGAAACCACGACAGTTGGTACGCGTACGCCAGAAACGTCCTCGGCCATCGAGTCAAGCGGGAGGATCTCATTGTGGTCATCGGCTGGGTGAAGACCGAGGCAGACTGGGCGGCGTCCGCATTCAGCAACGTGAGCACAAGCTCTAGTGGCTCGCTCAAAGGCCGCGCCGGTAGCGCCGCAGGGGCTGCGGTAGGCAGGTCGCACTCAAACTCTGTGACCGGTCCGAGGATGCACCGGCACGGCGAACATTATTCGGGCATCACACCTAGAGCTGTAGGGGAGAAGAAAGACCAGAGCATTTTTCTGAAGCGCTACAAGGTGCTCGTGCGGCTAATCCTCCCAAACAAGGTGGTTGCAGGTGCCGGCTACCATCGGTTTCCGGATGCAGATGATGCAGGAGATGGCTCGGGAGAGGAAAGAGTTGTGGTGCGAGAGGAAGATAATCTCGATGAAGTAAACATGCCTAAGCTCGAAGACGAGGTACGCGACTAGTGACAACGGATCATGGGCCGCGCGAACTAAGAGCATACCAGGACAAGATTCCCGATCCACTGGATGTCCTTCTGGACTATATACTGGAGGTAAATCTACCTATATCAGATACCGCTTGTCAAGCTGATTAATGTCCTCATAATAACAGACATCCAACGTTGAGACCGCAATTGCATGCGACGACGATGTTGAGAGCATTATTGTAAGTGTCAAGAACGTTTGAACAAAGTGCGAAGGCTCAATATTGAGCAGGGTGCCAATCACGTCATTGATTTCGCGAGCTATCTTCGTCGGGTGCAACCTCCTGTGAAAGTTGATGGCACGCGTGAGTTTCTCGCTTTCTCGTGATGCGCAAGATCTAAACGCAGTCCTCTCGTACAGTCGGATCGTTGTGCACGGAAGATTTGATTTCTCACGAGCAAGATCGCGCTTTCGTGTGTCGCACCATCACCGCTTCCGACTTGGCACAATGGCCGAAGATCACTTCTGAGGACCGCGCTCGCTTGCAGGATGGATACGTTTTCATTGGCGGACCCATGGAAGCGGATGCTCGACCCGTGAAATTCAAGCACCTTGTATTCGACGATTCTCGAAGCCCATCTCATTTCTGCCCATGTTTGGCCTCGTCGACAGATGGCAAGCTTCTAGCAGCATCGCTCTACACCAACGACGTCCTCGTATGGCGACTCTCCGATGGTCTTCTGGTTCAACGCCTACACCATCAAGGCCATACAAGCCCGATCAATTCCCTGTCGTTCTCCCCCAACGGTCGCAACCTTGTCTCAGGATCCGTCGACACGAGCGCGATTATCTGGGACGTCCGGAGCGGCCGTGTGCTGCAACGCCTGGAAGCACACAGCAATTCGGTGGTCGAAGTCGCATATGCTCCTAACGGCGTACTTGTCGCCACCGCCTCTGACCATGACGCATCCGTGAAAATTTGGGATGCTTCGACCGGGACATGTCTGCAGTCCCTCAGTATTGATGCAGGCATATCCAATCTCATCTTTTCCCCAGAGGGCCTGTATCTCTACATCGAACTGGGTAGATCCTGCCTCATCTACGATACCCAAACCTATACGCGCATCGCCACGCTACAGCACGACCCGGAGACACCGCTCTACTCTTCGCTTTCTCACCAAGGAGACCGCGCAGTCACCGCATCGGATGACCAACTGAAGATCTGGAACACGGTGACTGGTGAAGAGCTTCTCGTGATTAACCACCCAAAAGAGCTCTCAGGGCCCGTGGCCTTCTCGCCGGACGGTACCGAAGTGCTGGCGTCCTGCCGCGAGGACAAGGCCGCTGTCACCTACGACTCGCGGACGGGCCAGCTACGTCGTGTCTTCGCGCTATCGGATGAAGCATGCTGCGCGGCATACTCCCCGAACGGAGATTACCTTGTCCTTGGCGATGACAGCGGCGAACTCAGAGTAATTGACGCAAAGTCTGGAGCATTCCTCGCGAAGCTTGAGACTGATAATGAGCCCGGAGTTGCTCAGTTTCTACCTGACAGTCAAGGCTTCTCAGTATGCTTCTGGAATGGGCCTCCTATGCTGTGCAATGTCCGGGATATGATGCGGATGCGATAACGGACCGCTGTTTACTTCACCAAGTGCATGATATCAGGATAGATACATGGGGAATGTTTCGCAAGTGCAATGAAATATATCCTTGTATTTATGGGTTACGTACAATGAGCGAAGGGCGATGACATAAGACCAGACCAAAACATGAGATATGCGAACGGCAGAGACTTGCAACGAGAAGATACGATTGAATCCACAGGGGATGATTGACGCAATGGACGCGCATATCAGGCGCAATAGGCTTCATGTGATAGCCCGCCTCATAACGATAACACCCGTAAGAATCTTAGCGTAAGTTGACACCGTCAGCCGGCGTAGCACAGCGCAAGCGAAAGGCTCACAACTGCAATTGTATCCCAGGTTTTGCTAATGTCGAGGACGCTCTGTGACACGTCTGGAGCAATTTAGCAAGTAACTTGAGCATGCACAGTGTCGCAGCGATGTCGCGCCACTTATGAGCGAACGGCGGACACGACGGCGACGACGGGCGGGGTGTCGATGTGAGAGGCGACGGTGTGAGTGATGACGTTGAGGCCGAGATAGATGAGGGAGGGAGCGGCGCATTGGATGAGGTTGGCGTAGCGACAAGCTGCAGTCTGACAAAGATGGGCTCTACCCGGAGGAGACGGGGGGTGAAGTACCGTCCACGCGCCTTTTTCAGTTGGGCGGCGAGGCTCTCTGCGCTCTCGCGAATCAGGGGGAGTAAATATCCTCGAAGACGATCTGAATAGGCGTGGTTAGAACGCTCAAATCCGATGACGATCGCAATGTGACGTACCCTGAGAACATCCAAGCCTCCCGCACCCGCTGAGTTGTCGATGCCTTCCTCCGTACCGCAGAATACTGTAAGCACAAGACGGTCATCACACCGTCTACGTGAGAGCTCCCAGCTGGTGCATCGAAGACGTGTTAAACTATGCATAAACGTTGAACGTTGAACAAATAAGTCAGCGAAACCCGAGCAGGACTTTATATAGACGCATCCACGCACACCATGGTCGAATGGCATTGCCAACACCTTACAGTGGACCATTAAATCGAATGATCACCACGAACAAGGCGTACGCCGCGCTGGCACAGACGAACATACTATGAATATAGTACAACGTCCCGGCAGATGGCAGAGCTCAGGGAAATGAGCGACATGTAGGTTATAACTGGGAGGTATGACTTTGCTGCTGACAACACGCAACGAAGGCGTTCGTTCGGCTGGGAGCGAATGTTTGTGCGATGACGGTAGCCACTAGCAGACGGGAATGCGAGTCAAGCAGCCTCTAAAGACCCTTTGGATATCGCTTGGCTGGTGTGAGGAGAGGGGCGCGTTCGCGAGGCTGACTCGGCGGAGTAGGTCGGAGTCTCTTTGCGGCACGCCCACGTGACTCTGCCGCCTGTTCCATATTTCCTGGGGCTCACGACGCGCTCTCATCACCTTACTCGGATACTCGAGCCGATCCACGTGGTCCCTCCGGGGAGCCCAGCGGTCCGCTAAGACTACGGCATGTACCTAGTTCTGTGTCTCTAGGCGCAGTTAGAGCTGAGTCCCTTCCCAGTGCAGCGATATTGTATCACATCTCATAGCACGAAGCAATGTCCCGACAGTCTTTGGGATATATATATATATATATAAATAACACGAGCCGTTTATGCTCGAAGTTTGATGCCCGGCTTTCTTCATGCGAAACCATCACGCTCGTGGCGGTGGCATTCGCCAGCCTTCCATCGATACCACGGCATGCACGCCACAGGCTCGCTCTGCCCTTCCATAGCTGTCTCACCAGCTCGTGCTGCACCTCACAGGCCTTACCGTTCACCGGCATCTCTCATCTCTCGAGATCTCATGTTCCGCTTCTTTCGTCAGTCGGCGGCCCCGGACAAGATTTATTCGTCCAGCCTCCGGACACTCCACCTCGGGTATGCGCTCTGGTACCCAGAGCCACACAAGTCGGGCGAGCCGCAGATTGGCGACGTGGGCTACATACGCGAGGGGGCATTCATCCGGCTCTTCAACCTAGACACATCTACGCCCGAGAAGAAGGTCACGTTCTGGCCGACGCCGTTCGAGGACATAGAACCTTTGCCCCCGAATGTGCTCCAGGTCGATCCGAGACCTCGTCCACTTGCGCCCGATCGTTATTGCAGCCACGGAGTTGAGAGTAAAAGTATGAACGCCTCAGCAAACATGTAAGTAAATTGCTGAGCCAGAGAACTATATTCACGCTGACGACTTGCAGCGCGGTAGGCGCAGACATGTCTGCCGCGCTCAATGCCGAGTACACATGCAAGGCGACACAAGGAGCGGTTTTTGTGCTGAAGAGCGAAGCACACGCGGAGACAATATTCGAGAACTATGCACTCAAAACGTATATCGTCCGGAACTACGACAAGTGGTGCGCATATGTCAAGCACGGCCTAAAACAGGACATCAAGCAGGAGAAGATCGTCGTGGTCAGCGGGTGGGTGAAGACGGAGGCGGACTGGACTGCGGCTGCATTCAGCAACTCGAGCACGAGCTTCAGTGGCTCACTCAAAGGCCGCGCCGGCGGCGCTGCGGGGGCCGAGGTGGGCGGGTCGTACGCCAGCTCTGTGAGCGGACCGAAGATGCATCGTCACGGTAAACGCGAGGCGGGGAATACAAAGGCGGATCAGTCCGTGTTTGTGAAGCGGCTTAAGGTGTTGAAACGATTGGTCCTGCCGCGCAAGGTCGTCGCCGGCGCAGGCTATCATCGACCTCCGGATCCAGGGGACGCAAGAGGTAGTTTGGGAGGAGGAGGAGTCGTGGTGCTAGAGGCGGGGGACATGGACGGCGCAAACACAGTAGAACTCGAGGGAGAAGTGCGTGACTGATCACGGTGTTCTACGACAATTACGATCTGACAAGATAGCAGGATGAGGTCCTTGATTTACTGGATATCTTACTCCACTATATACTCGAGGTATGTTTACTCACTATGAACGTACGATTCACCGCGCTGACCGTCGTACCGTGATGCCAGATATCTAACGTCGAAGCTGCAATTGCAAGTGATGACGATGTCGAAAGCATCATCGTACGTGCCATGCGCACAACCTAACATAAATGCAAAGGCTCATGCACGCTCAGGGCGGCAAGCGGATAGTTGATTTCGCGAGCTATCTTCGTCAGTTACAGCCTCCGGTGAATGTAGATGGCACGCGTGAGTCTCTCTCATCGTCTCGCGATAGCTGTGCCTAAGGACTGCATCATTTTACGCAGTCGGCTCATTGTGCATGGAAGACGTGGTATGCAATGAGCGAGCTCGCACAATCGCACGTCGTACAATCACCACGTCAGACTTGGCGAAGTGGCCGTACATTACCACCGATGGCGCTGGTCAGTTGAATGACGGGCATGTCTTCATCGGTCCCACGGAAGCAGAGGCTCATCCCCTGAAGCTGAAGTATTTTGTCTTCGCCGATTCTCGAGATCCATCCGAACCTTGTCGGTGCTATGCCCTATCTGTGGATGGCAAGCTGCTCGCTGCATCGTTCAATTCTGGAGACATCCTCGTATGGCGACTCTCCGACGGTTTCTTGGTCCAACGCCTACAGCATCAGGGTCATACAAGAGATGGTAGCTCTCTATCGTTTTCTCCCAATAGCCAGACCCTTCTCTCAGGATCCGGCAATACGAGCACAATCATCTGGGATGTTCGAGATGGCCATATACTTCTGCGTTTGGAAGGACACACTGAGCCGGTCACCACAGTTGCATATGCTCCCCGCGGCTTACTCATCGTCACCGCTTCCAAGTGCGACAGGTCCATGAAAATTTGGGACGCTTTGACTGGGGCATGTATGCAGTCCGTCTGCGTTGATCTCAGCGTACACAAACTCGCCTTTTCCCCGGACGGCCTGCATCTGTATGCTGAACTGGGCCGCTCCGTCTTCGTCTATGATGTTCGAACATGTACTCGTATTGCGAAAGTACAGGCCGGTATAGAACACGAGAACGCCTGGTCGATATCCCGTCGAGGAGATCGCATAGTCACTGTATCGCGCGGTCAAGTGAAGATACGTACTGCGGTGACCGGCGACAAGCTTCTCACGATCAGCCACCCGCAAGAGCTCTCGCGACCGGTGACATTCTCCCCAGACGGAGCCGAGGTATTGGCGGCCTGCGATGCAACTAAGACTGTTGTCACCTACGACTCGCAAAGGGGCCAGCTTCGCTGCATTTTCAAGCTATCAGATCCAGCACGTCTCGCCGCATACTCTCCAGATGGGGAATATATGGTCATCGTTGACGATAGCGGTGAGCTGAAAGTATTTGACGTGAAGTCTGGATCATTCCTTGCAAAGTTCGAGGCTGAAAGGGGAATTGATGGTGTAGAATTTGTACCTGACAGCCAGTGCCTTCTTGTAGCCTTTCATGACAGACCTTCTAGAATGTATAATATCCGGGATGTAATGCGCATGCGATAGCCCACCAGATTCTGCTTCGAAAAATGTACATACTAGTGCACATACATTAGTAGGCAAAATATGACAAGTATAGCACAATATTCACGGGTCTACAGTATGATATCAAGCTACATTCAATGAGCAGGTGCACTAGTTGTGCTTCTCATGGAAAAACGGACAGCAGGATGAGAACATTGCACATGCTCTGCAAAAAGCATGTCAGACCGCGTCGATATATCGGACTTCAATCAAGGAGCGCCGTCCTGCGATCCAGCCAGCGAGGACGCATCGGGCTATCGAAGCAAATAGAGTTATATATATATGATATGCCCCAACGTCTAGCTTGTTATTATTGATGTGAATTATCAGAAGGCGCTGCTGATACGTACCCACAAGCGACAAATGCGACAAAGGAGTTGCATCATTGGTCGCTGCTAGAGTGCCGCCTTGGAGATAGCGTCTAGGCGCGGTCGCCCAAGAGCTAAGCTCGTAGTATTTGTGACCTTGACCGCGAATCAAGCGGAGGACATTCTTTCCCGAATGTCAACGAAGAAATATACAGAGCGCACGGGTAGCACGTCGGGTGGTGCATGTGCTGGCGAATTTTGTCGTCCACTGCAGAAGCCACACTTTTCTAATCGGAATTATGCAGCCGCAGAACGATGAAAAAAGCCGTACATGACCTACACAGCATTTCCTTCAAGTAACTGCTCTCTGGGGCTACCGAGAGCGCCCCAGTCAGCGTTGAGTTTTTGTGCTTGATGCTCCCATATGTGCATGACAACGACTAAACCCCGATCATACATGATCGTCAGCTACGTCTCCCGCTAATGAGATCGAGCATTGTTGCCGGTCCCGCGTCAATGCGTCGAGGTATACTGTCTGAGGGCGACAAGGATATCTTGCATGCACTGTAGGCTGATTGCGAGTAATAAAGTGGCAATGCTTCTTGAATACTGCTAGGACGCCGTGGATCCAAGTTAATGGAAGACTCGAGGACATCGATGGTTCGAATGGCGAAGATAGGACGAGACAACCTCGGTCTATTTGACCAGTCAACAAGCACAAGAGATACCGAGCTGAGTGACGCACGTACTGTCAGCAGGAATCTAGAGAGGACGCTCGGGCGACCGAGCGCGGGTAGGTAGAATCCTCCGGGGTTCACTGGTCTGCGTCCTGGGCCCTGGGGTCGAGCTATTCCCGGTGTTCGGTGAGTGGGAGAAAAGGTGCAGGCGAAGTGTTGGCAAGCTTGCTGAGCGACGGTGAAAGCCTACAGAGGCTTGATGAAGCGGTTGAGGTTGAAGGCGCCGGGCGTTGGATGTCGGTCTCTCGACGACGCGCAGTGAGTCTTACCACTTATTTGAGAACTTACTGAACTGCCCTGATCACACGCGAGGCGTCAAAAGACAGTAGTTTCATCAAAAGATGGCAAGGTAAGGTAGTATTTCTGGGCTGGGCTACTACAAGAAACCCGTTCAGATGGGAATTTCAGCAGAAAGAGAGGTACATCTGGCTACCGTCCTGGGTCTATTCTACGCTGTAATATACGTTTTCACTTGTTTTTGTCTATTTACACTCTCGATCATTGCCTCCGTCGATCGTGCTTGCGCACGGGCCAGCTACCTTCTCATCTCTTAGGTAAGCGTTCTGCTCGTGTCGTGAGGCCGGCCTTACCTAGCTATTAAACAGTATCAATGTCTGACAGTACATGATATCCCTCGCCCCATCTTCATACTGAATTGAAATTTTCACCTAAACCTACATGTCCAATAAGTGTCTGAAGCCGTGTCGCTCAGCTCATCTGGTCACGGATGCTCACCTTCCCTACTGGAGACGTCACGGATTGTGTGCTGAGTAAGCGAGTGAATCTTAAGCCTTCATAGATATGTACTAGGCAGGTATACGTACCTCACGTTGGAGTGGCGTCGTCAACACCACGCTGTAAGTCGTCAAGGCGCACGGTCGCCGTGAAGAAAGCGTGCGCAGTGCACCGGCGTCGAAAATGCTGCTGGTAATGCGGGAGATCCTGGCGTATGCGAATCAGATGGACTCCTAGGGGATATTGAATTTATTTATAACCTATAACTAGAAAGCGTTGCTGTCCCACGGTTTGTTTGTAGCTCGGAGGGGGGGCTGCATGGAGTGTAACGATGGCGTTCGGCTAGCACTGGTTGGGACGTTGCCGGTTATGTAGTGGTTATGGACGCTGAGCACGAACGAGGGCACTAGTAACGCAACTTGGATCTGCTCTGGCTGGCGTGCGCGAGGTCGAGAGCGCGGCATGGATTGCGCAGGCCGGACCGAGGCCGGACGCGGCAGCTAAAAAGGAGGTACTGTATTATGTCAGCACGTCGTGGCGGCATCCGCCTCCTCGGGGAGCTCGGAGATAGAGCTCCTCAGTCGGATGCAATCATCAGCACAAAGCCAAGCTGATCTGGTCCAGTAATGTCGAACAAATTAAGGCCAGGAACTGCTTTGGACATCCCCAGACAAAATATTCTGGATACTTTGTCCATGTGAGACAGCGGAGCCGAGGCGCGTACGCCATCTAGCTGCCGCGATCAGGTCGTCGGTCAGAGGTCTATGCAGCGGCAGATCGTCGGTGATCGCTGTCATCTTCTGTATGAAGACTAGGAATGGAAGCTCTCCGCCAGCTGAATTAAGAAGGCGTGGCAAACTGCGCAGCTGGCCCCGTTCACTAGTCTCGTCCCCAGCCGATCTAGCGCGCCTGGACTTACAGTGCTTACACGTCAGAGCTGAGATCTAGATCTAAGAGCAGATGAGAACGAAACTACCCACGAAGGCTTCCCAAGTGAGCGATCTAGTGCAGAATTGTCCAGGGAATGACCGTTGACGGATACCATAGTGCGACGCGATAGCATGCGGCCGAACTCCGGCACCATTCCAGCGGCCAGCGTTAACACGAATCAAAGGCACATGCGCGATACGTGCTTCTTGCATGCCTGTACTCGTGTATTTCCTGTTGTCCTTGCTCGTGTTACCCCACTAAGGTCAGCTGGTGTGAGAGGGGTGCTGTAAATTGGTTATATGCTCAAGGAATGGGACTGCAGTGCTCGTCCAGAATAGCGCGTCATGCACACCGTGACTGCACACCGTCATATCAAGCACCGCGCCCAAGCTAGCAACTATGTTATGATGTTGTGCTCATTAGAAATTACATACATGTCTAATTAATTTGTCTACTGTGCTATGCATGTCCTGCTTCGCGAGGGGCGGGCGTCAGTCTACTGCACGCAAGTATCTTGTCCTGGGACCGTGCTTTTGCTGAAGCGCTGATATGCTACAATCACCAAGCTCTTGGGGTCTGCTCGACCCACCCTACAACCCCGGCTTTCACTGGTGCACCCATCCTGTCCCTTCATGCACTATCATAATCTTCTCGCAATCATCCTCGCGACGGGCCACCTTGCGATCTTGAACTTAGCAAGCCTGATCGACACGCCCTTCGCACCCTGATTGCCTGAGATTCCAAGTTATAGGGTTCAGGGCGTCCGCACACACCCGCCAGCGCCTAGATAGGTCGTCCCCCAGCCCTTGGTCGCCACTTGCTCTCCCATCTCAACAGTCCCATTGGCGGTCTACTACCTGTGGTCTCAAGATGCTCACACACTTGTCTCAAGTCGCCCAAACCCAGCAAAATGAGGCGACGGTCAAGGTTGTGATTTACACGGACAACGCAGTAGGCAAACCCGACCGACTTGTGCTTCACGACGTTCCGTTCCCGGTCTCGTTCGACTACCTTGCCGCACAAATGCGTACGAACGGTCAGTATATCACGTCATATGACGATGCTACATACTCACATATCCGGGCTTAGAATTTCCGGAGCCAAGAGAATTCAGTGCACGTACACGGGTCAGCCTCAAAGTTGTAGAAGAACCGTCATCTTTCGACCCTAATACGCTCAGCGGATACATTAACGCGTAAGAGTGTTTATATACACATTAATCATATCTTACCGAGCTACAGAGACGAGCCCTTATGCCAGTATTACTACAATCATCTGCGCGATATTGTTAATGTGTCCCAGTACAACACTCAAGCCAATGCAGAGGGTGATGCTGCATCGCCCGGGCTTAGCTGTGCCAAAATTGGCGAATGTGGTGACACAGTGAAAGTCGGAGGTGTTTCGATAGCTTTCATGAGGTGCGTATGTTCGACGCAATGCTGGTCCGTTCTTATCCACGATGTTTATAGAACTCTGAGGGTGCCTGGTACGTTATAGCACGATTTACACCTGTATATGCTTGTGTAAATTTATTGTCGGTGTTAGACGATGGGAAGACCTACGTTTTACCTGCCAGGCTCGATAAATTCCCTCTGTAGTAAGTATACTACCTTTTTAGAGAGCGTCTTTACTGACATATTTCCCAAGCAATGCTGCAGACTTTGCTTCTCAGCTTCCTCAATCTATTGCGCGCAAAGGCGGCCTTCTCATGGTCGGGTTTGAATGTACATGATATCCATTTGAAAGCTCATTATGAGATATGTAGGCTATGCACCAATGCGAAGCGATGTGGATTAGTTTCGCGGAGACCGAAGTGCACAGTCCTTACGCCGTCAAAGTATCCACTGGAGGAGTCAACGCCATCACAGGCATGCCAAAAAACATTACGAATAAAGGCAGGCAAGACTATTTGACAGTAGGGCCGGGTGATAATACCCAAGCGTGAGTAATAATCAGAACCAAGGTCCTTTGGCACATGCTCACTGATTCCGCCATTCGACTTGCAGGTGGCTGGTGAGAATGTTCATCAAAGGATGGTATCTATCTACTGATACTTGTGTCAGGATGGATTCAGTACAGAAAGAGGTGTTGTGCGACGTATGTAATGATAATGCCAACTCCTGAGAGTCTCTGTGTTCACGACATTCGCTTGCAGAGTTTGTTGCTATACCCACAGGACACAAACTCTCTATAGAGGCTCAGATCACTGGAAAGGAGGTGCGCCAGCTTCTTTCAGCTCGCCATGCTGTTCTTGATATTAAATATCAACTAGAATGTAGGCGGGATACAGATTGATGTTTTCCCTCTCTATAACGCACCTCCTTTCTTCTATTATGGCCCAGGGCAAATCCCACTATACAAGAACTATTCGGCTCATAGAGCAAATCTCCGCACTGGTGAAAGTATTGTCTTTATAGATGAGAACTAGTGCGAAAATATAGATAGAATTTAATGATCGATCCTGATTCTCTTCTTAGTTCTAGGCCTTTGATCCAGGGGAGCACCTACGGGCTGTCAAAAGCCGGTTTGACGATATACCTATGCGCCGTTGGCGGAGTATACAATGTTGAGAGTATGCAAGTTTTTCCTTTATCCATCTTCGTCTAACCATTACTCAAACAATAGTGCAAATCATAATCAAGGCATGGCATAGGACCATCTGCCTGCAGGTCCATCTGTTTGATTCCATCTCAAGTGTCAAATATAAAATTCAGCATAAGCTATCCATGCATACAGACTTGCTGCAATTACAATTCGGCGGCCGACGGCTCGAAGATGACAAGACTCTTGCGGGTACGTCGATTATTTTGTTTGTCAAATGAGCAAGATGTAGTTAACTGCAGCTGGCACACATTAGAGTGCCGCATCACTAACGAGAGTACACTGCACGTGATGTTACCACTTCGAGGTGGAGGAGAAGGTCCAGATGCCTCGGACAGAGCAGGCGGCGCAGGCTTTGCTGCGGGCGGCAAAATCTCGCAGAAAATCATCCGCGATCGGTTTTCTGCCGCTGCATACAACTTCGGTGCTGGCTGTCGTCTCCACGTCACGATCTTAAGTCCAGCCTTCCTCTCCCAACTCACTGGTCGAGCACCGATCCCCACCCCGATATCTATGAAGACATACCTCAAGGCTGGTTTGCCCTGGTTTGCCCTGTACGACAAGGGCACCCCCTCTGCAAACAATATCTCGTTCAATCATCCGCTCGCTTCAATTAAATCTCTGCTGGCGGGATTTCGCAAGCGACGGGACCGTGACGCGAACCCTTTGCAGTACGGGTGTTGTTACTGCGCCGCTGCCACGGCCTTCCAACTACAGCCTTGTGGACACCTGCTTTGCCAAGACTGTGCGGACGGCCTCCCTGAAGACGAGTGTCCGAAACGTTGTCGAGCTGTCATTGGTAGGACGATGATAATGGCGGAAGTTCTTGCAGAGAGCGAGGCAGATTGGGATTGCCCCGCCGCTGGCTCAGCTGACGAGCTGTCATGAATATTACGCATTCCGGATGGTTCTCCCGGATTCCATGGTATTCTTTAACTTTCTATACACCTCCGTATATTCGTAGGATATTCTAGATATTCAGTCTGACATGTATATAAGGAGCTCGTACTGCTCAATAACAAGCCAGACTCGAGCTGGTCTTTCCTCACTCACAATTCCTCTCGTCTGTCTCCTCAGCATTGTCGTAGCTCAGTCCAGTTGGATTGTTAGTTGCTGACATTAGCTCGAGTCTCCACCAACTGCCCTACGACGATCCTCGTCACTCCCACACCAACCATCACCCACCTCCACACGACGATCCACCCCATACGCACATCCGACTCTCACCCCAACTCCTAACCCTACCGCATTCTACCGCATCAAGACCCGGACCCCTGGAACCCTTTTCCGTGCACTTGCACAAAACTTTTACCATACCACATCCCCGAAGCCACCTCTGTAATCACTAGCTCTTAGGCAGCTAGACAGAGCTCCGTCCTATTAGAATCGTACACTGCCCTACCATAGGTGGTGTTAAACGCTTTGCGCAGCGCAAGCGGATATTCCTGAGTACGACGTGGCAACCGGTTGCGACCGGGCGTTGGAAAAGCGGTAGCAGTTAGATCGACGATCCCTTTGAGGGCGTCGGACCGAAGAGACATAATTGCTCTTTGGGCTGCTACAGTATCTCTAGAACTGTATTACAATTAGCGTTTCGGTTCTTATTCGAAAGTTCCCATCTTTGGCAAATTCTACCCCTGATCTGGTCGTTACAACACGATTAGTCCCAGGGTTTGCTGCAACCAGCTTCACGGACCCGACACCCTATGACCACGCCCTCTTGTGATTGTAGAGGACACGTACACCGAGAACTAGAAGGAACATCCATCTATCTACACGGCGATAACGTAAGATACTGCGTGCAACAACCGTGTCCACACTCTTCAGATAATAGTACTCGTTGTCCCCGGTGTAAAGAAGGATTACGCGGAGAATTACTACAAAGAGTTCCCACAGGAGCACCTTCTGAGTCCCTCGCAGTCTCACAACCCGTAGCATCCGGTTCAGAACCCAGAACCAGACGGGATACTCTCGAATCGGTCACTGACCACCTCCGCTCAATTGCCCTCGGAGAATCCGAAGCTCCACCAGAGGGCCCGCCAAACCCCGTAGAAGAAGCGGTGGAAGATTCAGAACCACCTTCCCGACGCTCTCCCACTCCACCTTCGTCCCCATCCGATCCCGGCGCAATGGCCGAGAACCAAGATAGCGCCGCGCTCCTCAATGGAAGCGCGATGAAGCCAGACGCCTTTGATGGCACGAAATCCAAGTACATTGCTTGGAAGACCCAGATGAAACTCTATGTAGTTACGCAGAGGAAGCGGCTACCAGAGCAATTCGACAGAGTCCTTATGATTCTGTCGTACATGAAAGGTGGACACGCGGGCGAATATGTCGCCACGTTCATGAAGAAATACGACGCGGACGAAGACTCCGTGATACAGACTACCAAGACACTATGGGAAGACCTAGACAGGCACTTCCTGATCGACGAGCAAGCCGAAGCCTATGACCGGTTACAGGCGATGCAGATGGGAGCGCTGTCAACGCAGGAGTTCTTCTCAAAGTTTGAGTTATGCGCCTTCCAGGCGAACATTCATGACTTTGAGGCACATTTCCAGGAGTTGAAATCACTTCTAGAAAAGGCACTCAGGGCCGATATCATTCGGCTTCTGTACAATTCATCGGAAGAACTCCCTGCCACATACGCGCTCTACAAACAACGGGTCGCGCGCATCGACCTAAATCAGCAGCAATATCGTCGGCGAAACCCACAGTCCCAGCGGCAAGGACAATTCCAACCTCGGCAGCAGCAGACACAAGGTGCACCACGAGCACAGACTAGCGTAGCCGCGCCTACTGCAAATGCTCCGGTCCAGACACGTCGCGACGGGACAGGTGTCACATTCGGTGGAAGGGGACAACCGATGGATTTGGATCAAGCACGACGCCAGGGTCTTTGTTTCCGATGTGGCCAACAGGGTCACATATCACGGAATTGCCCTAATCGGCAACAAGCTCAACAAGTGCGAGCTACGGAAACCCCGGCAGTTCCCACCACCAACACGTTCACACCCCTCGCATCACTAAACGAAGCTCCTGCCGCGACGGCAGAACCATTCGATTGGAAGAAGGCAATTCACGAAGAAATTCGTGCGGCCATGAAGGGTTTTGCAAGCGGTCAGCAGGGTGCGTAGCCGAGCTGACCGAGAAGAATTTCACGAACTATCTGTGTTCCTGGTTTAGTGTACCCATGTATATACCAGAAAAAGGGGCGTCCGCAGAGCGGCGCGGAGAGGCACAACCCTCTTGCTTAATTCCCCCGAATAAAAAATTATTACCTACACCAGAACATCAGACCGAACCTACGCAGTGGCAGCGCCACACACCCTGGACGGCGGCTTGGATTCGCCAATGGATAGTCAGCAAAGAGACTGCAGCACTTAGACTGTTGACTGAATGGGTGCACTCAAAGAAGAGTGTTGACGCCTCAGAAGCCTGTATGAACCAAATCAGGCAGATGAAAGAAGAAGAAGCTATAGACTTCTTGAATGAACTACGAAAGCAACCTCGTTTTATCCGAGGAAGGAAGGGGACCCAAATGGACGTTCCAATGATCATCACCACTCTAGACACGCAGCAGCGCTCATCAGTCAAAGCGTTATTGGACACAGGATGCACTGGATCTTCGATTGATGCGCAGTTTGTCCGCGATAACAACATTGCTACAAAGAAACTGCCATCACCAATCCCTGTCTATAACGCGGACGGCACGCATAATGCCGGCGGGGCGATCACCGACTTTGTTGAATTAAAGGTGGAAATCCAGGATTACGTTGAGCGACTTCCGTTCGCTGTTACAAATCTAGGGAAGACTCCAATCTTCCTTGGATACGAGTGGTTACAAATTCATAACCCATCTATCGATTGGCAAGAACAAGTCATTCAGTTTGATCGGTGCCCGATTACCTGCAAATATGCTACCCGATTAATTGATATTGACGCCGATCAGGAGGAGCCCAGCGATCCGGAGGCTCGCCTAGAAGAAGGGGATAGAATCTTTATTCTTGACCACGAAACCTACTTTGCTACGGGAGCAGCGCACATTCGCACTACGGCCACTGATCTAGCCATTAAGGAAAGTCTGAAACACGAGACTAAGACGTTTGAAAACACCGTCCCAAGTCACTATCATGACTACTCCGATGTGTTCAGCAAAGAAGACTTTGATTCCTTACCGCAAAGACGACCCTGGGACCACGCGATAGAACTCATACCAAGCGCACAACCAATCAGTTGCAAAGTTTACCCAATCTCTGTAAACGAACAGAAAGAACTTGATGAATTCATAGAAGAGAACCTTCGAACTGGGAGAATCAGACCATCAAAGTCCCCGTGGGCTTCTCCATTCTTCTTTGTCAAGAAAAAAGACGGACGACTTCGACCTGTACAAGACTATCGGAAGCTGAATGAGCTTACGATCAAGAACCGCTACCCACTTCCTTTGATACAAGAACTAGTGGACAAGCTAAAGCAGGCACGGTACTTTACGAAGTTAGACGTTCGATGGGGATACAACAACATCCGCATCAAAGAAGGAGACGAAGAGAAGGCGGCCTTCCTAACGAATCGAGGACTATTCGAACCCCTCGTCATGTTCTTCGGCCTTACCAATTCCCCGGCTACATTTCAAACCATGATGAATGATATATTTCGAGATCTCATCAGTCAAGGACACGTGGTAGTCTATCTAGACGACATCATGATCTTCACTCAAGATTTAAAAGAACATCGTCGGATCACGCGGCAAGTTCTTCAAATCCTGAGAGAACACAAACTTTATCTGAAACCAGAAAAGTGCGAGTTCGAGAAAGAAGAAATAGAATACCTCGGAATGATAGTAGGAAAAGGAGTTGTCCGCATGGACCCAGTCAAGATAGAAGGAATTGTCAATTGGCCTCGACCTGAGTGCAAACGAGACATCCAAGCATTCCTCGGATTCACCAACTTCTACCGAAGATTTATCCGAGATTACGGCAAGATAGCAAAGCCACTTAGTTCATTAACTGGAAACGCTACCTTTGAATGGACTATCGAACAAGAAGTAGCGTTCACAAGCTTGAAAGATGCACTCTGTTCCGCACCAGTATTGGCCATACCCAATGATGACGACCCCTATCGCGTAGAATGCGACGCTTCGGACTTTGCCGTAGGAGCTGAGTTAGCCCAGAAGCAAGATGGCAAATGGAAACCCGTCGCCTATCTATCCAAGGCTATGACAGCAGCCGAAAGAAATTACGAGATTTACGATAAGGAACTTCTCGCAATCATGACTAGCCTTGATGAGTGGCGTCAGTATCTCATGGGCGCCCTACATCCGTTTGAAATATGGACGGATCACAAGAACCTAGAATACTTCTGGAAGCCACAGAAGCTCAATCGACGACAGGCCCGATGGGTAACCGAGTTGGCTGAATATCAATACTCGTTGCATCACAAACCCGGTAAATCGAACGGCAAAGCTGACGGACTATCTCGTCAAAAGAGACACAATGCAGGAAAAGAAGACAATTCGGATATCGTGTTGCTAAAACCAGGACATTTTCGTGCACTGATTCGTAGTACTGTATTTAGTTTAGAAGGAATCGACCAGGACTGGGTCGCAGAAATTAAAAAACACAAAAAGAACCGAGATTCGCTAGTTACCGTAGCCTTACAGAACAAGGACAAAGATTGGAATGAAGATAGCACCGGACTTGTGACGTGGAAGAATCGTATCTATGTACCAGTAAATAGGAAACTCCGAGAACAGATCATTGTTCATCATCACGATACCCCATTGGCAGGACACCCTGGTCAATACAAAACACACGAAATGGTCACGCGTAACTACTGGTGGCCTAGAATTCGAGAAGACATCCGAAAATACGTTGCTGGATGCGAAAAATGCCAGAAGACCAAGGTGCACACAACACGACCTACCGGACTTCTCTTCCCCAACGAAATTCCTACGCGACCCTGGGAAATAATCTCGGTAGATAAGATAGGAGTACTACCCGAGTCCTTTGGATATAACGCTATTCTCGTAGTCGTCTGCATGTATTCCAAGCAGATAATAGCGATACCAAGTAACATCGAACTCAATGCCAAAGGATGGGGAAAAGCACTTCGCGATCATGTAGTAGCACATCACGGACTTCCCCGGAAGATCATCAGCGATAGGGGCACCGAATTCAAGAACAAGTTTATCTCCGAACTGTACCGATCACTTGGAATCGAAGCCAATCCCTCCACCGCGTATCACCCTCAAACTGATGGACAAACGGAGCGCATTAATCGCGAAATAGAACAATACCTCCGACTATTCATTAACTATCGACAAGCTGATTGGGCTGAATGGCTACCACTAGCGGCCTTTTCGTACAACAACAAAGTTCATTCGTCCACAGGATATACCCCCTTCTTTGTCAATAAAGGGTACCACCCTTATGAAGGAACCCAACCGGTACGAGAAGGACTAAGTGAAAACGTCCAACAATTTGTCGATAGAATGGGTCGAGTACGCGAAGATACTAGCGCGGCTATCAGTTTGGCGCAGGAGTCTATGAAGCGCTTCTATGACCGAAAGAGAAAGAGCGGACTGGAATACAAAGTTGGAGATAAAGTTTGGCTAGAAGGGATAAACATCCGAACCGACAGGCCAATGAAGAAGCTCGACGATAAGCGATATGGACCCTTCAAGGTCAAACGCAAAATCGGCGCTTCCGCCTATGAATTGGAACTCTCCCGTCAATGGAAACAACACCCCGTTTTCAATGAAAGCCTTCTCAGTCCCTTCCAAGAACCCACGTATCCCTCTCAGCGACGTGAACCGGTAGTCCCTGACCTCGTAAATGGCGAGGAAGAATGGGAAGTCGAGGAAATCCTTGACTCCCGTCGTGACCGAAACGGAAATCTAGAGTATCAGGTGCTCTGGAAGAACAGCCCCCACGGCGATCGCCGTTCCTGGGAATCACGAGCAAACTTGACTAATTGTCAGGAACTCCTTCAAGAATTCCATGCTAGACGTCCCGACAAACCCGCGCCTATGACGATTCGAATTCCCCCCCTGTTAACACGACCTGTTCACATACTCACGCGCGATACCACTCTTTTGGTACAACGGATGGGTGGGATTCTCCCGAAGCAAGGATCTGAAGAGTCGGCTGGACTTGATCTCTACTCGGCTGAAAGCGTTAAGATACCGGCACGAGATCGCAAGATTGTCGGCACCGGCATTGCAATGCGTGCCCCTCACGGAACTTATGCACGAATTGCACCACGGAGTGGGTTAGCAGTCAAAGGAATAGATGTCGGCGCTGGGGTGGTAGACCGAGATTACACCGGAGAAGTGCGTGTAGTGTTGATCAACTCCACCAATCAACCATTCCAGATACACGCCGGCGATCGAATCGCACAAGTCATTTTGGAACGTATTGCGTCATGCGATATCGAGGAGGTGTCCAGTTTAATAGAAACTCAACGAGGATCAGGAGGTTTTGGATCGACGGGTAAATAATCGTGAGGACACGATTCTAGACGGGGGGGTAATGTCATGAATATTACGCATTCCGGATGGTTCTCCCGGATTCCATGGTATTCTTTAACTTTCTATACACCTCCGTATATTCGTAGGATATTCTAGATATTCAGTCTGACATGTATATAAGGAGCTCGTACTGCTCAATAACAAGCCAGACTCGAGCTGGTCTTTCCTCACTCACAATTCCTCTCGTCTGTCTCCTCAGCATTGTCGTAGCTCAGTCCAGTTGGATTGTTAGTTGCTGACACGAGCGCGTTGTGGTGTTGTCGAGGTGTGCAAAGAAGGGCATCGTTGGGACGTTCATGCGTACTGCAGATAATGTCTCAATATTGTCTTCTGATCCTTCGGAGTTCTAACACTACCTGCTCTTCATCCTCTCATCCCCCGTCCGCAGTGTAAGTAGTACCAGAGAAAGGCTATCTGCAACGGCGACCTTGCTGGCATTGTGTCAGGACAGGGTTACCAAGACCAAGGAGGTCTTTAATGCCGCTTTCTAGTGCAGACGTTGTCGGTAATAGTGATGCACGCCTGGAATTAGACTCTGGTTGTATTCCGACTCGGACGCAGCATTCATACTTGTAATACTGAGCCCCGCCCCCTTTCATACTATTATATACTTCCTGTATCCTCGCTTTACTACAACATGTTGTTAAAAAACCAAAACTGAGCGTTAAGGATTGGAGACAAGATATAGGTGCTAGTAATACAGATGTCGATAATACAGATGTCGAGTAATCCGTAGCACTCATGTGTTAATATCCCACTTGTTCCGGCGTTGCACGCGTAGGAGGGTCTACTTCCGCTCTTGCTCCGCGAGCACGGCAGCGCCGTCCGCCTGCCTGAGCTGCGGAGCGGCGCCCATGCCGGCGGACATGGACGTCTTCTGTCCAGATTGCAAAAAATACAGTCAGCATTACGCAGCCGTGACATGAGCGACCAAGAGAGCGGCTACGGGATAGGTCATGGTAGTTAGGGACAGGACATATTGAGCGAAGTCGGAGCCGTCGCAAGCTGCAGCCCGTCAGATATGCACGGTAGAAACGATTTTTCCCCTCTGGTGCCGCCCCAAGCGTGCCACAGTACGGCAACTCCGAGTGTACTGCGTCGGTCACGGTCGAACACAGCGGATGGCCAGGAAATGGGCCGAAACCTGCGCCGAGCGATGGGGTGCGCGACCATCACCCTATATATTACGGTACGACACCGTAGTCCAAGCGCCAGACGGAGGTCTCGAGGAATGGAGAAATGGGCCATCGTGTACTGGGCGTAGGGATCGAAGGGAAGGCGCCGAGACCCAGTAGGAGCGGTACTAGGCCGAAGAAGCGCATGCACGCTGGAGAGATGTAAATCCGAAATTTTTCTTGTTGTTCGGGCCAATGATCAGGTCCGACTTCAGTCGGCGTCGGCATTCTTGCCCTACTGACCCAAAAAGCAAAACGACGACACCGTCCCCACCAGAACAGTGTCTAAATGGGGCTGGTCAGTGCCGTACATCGGCAGCATCGCGTCGCAGCAGTACGTACCCGTCTCGAGTCGAAAGAATTTGAAGCCGCCGCACGTCCGGATTGGTCGACATTTCTGACCGCCGCCAAAAACGCGGTCTTAAGAGCTAGTCAGCAAAGACGCATCGGGCTATCGATCCTGCCAGAACTCACATGTACCGCATATTCCGAGAATCCGTGTATTCATCACTCGCTTTGGGGATACGCGGTCGGCCTATTGCTCGTGCGTCTACTCCCACGCGCGGCCATTTAGAATCTCCTTGTTGTGTTTTGACGAGTACATATCGACCGCGACGGTTGCGCTCGTCGGGGCATGGGCCGACGTGGCTGAAATGCCATCACGCAGAACGAGTGGCGTGTTGAGCGGCATGGCCACGTCTTGCTTGTCCCTGAACGTGTCGATTTGTCAGAAAGAAGTCGTTGCAGAACAGTAGTCGGTGCTTCGTACTTGTGACAATCGCGATGGATGAAAAACGTCACCAATCGCAAGGGTGTCGCCTTAGAGATCGTAGCGGTCGCATTGGAGATCTTGATCGTGGTTCAAAGGGAGGACATCGAGCTGCCAGTGCTCTGCGCGCAGACCGCACTGGACGTCGGGGTGGAGACATGTGGGGTGCATAAACTGCATTTCAGGTGGCGCCCCGCACCAGCGGACATGAATGTCTTCTGTGCAGATCGCAAACATGCGGTCAGCATTGTACAGCTGTGGTATGATGAAAATAAACCTTTACATGGTCTGTATGCATGTGCTCTCGAGCTACCAAGAACGACTTGGGTTAGTGCCAAGCCTTTGCGTTCGAGAAAGACTGTAAGCTTCACCTCCAGTTGGTGATATCGAGTCTTGTTACCGGTCTTACGCGAATGCGCCGAGATACGCCATTCAGGGACGCCAGAGATAGACTGCATGCGCTACAGGCCACTATGAGTGACGAGTTGGCAGTGTTTCTAGAGGGACTCATGCTGCAGTTGATGATGGGTGAGGAAAGAATCAGGAATGTGGATCATCTGGAAGAGGAAAACGAGACGAAAGGACATTGGGCCATTTGGCCGGTCAGCAACCACAGAAAAAACCAAGCTGAACATCGCACGTACCCAATATCCCTCGCTCCATCCGCCCAGTATCTTCAAACAGTTTCAGTCGACATGTCCAATGAGTGTCCAAAGCCGTAATGCATGGCTTATCTAGCTGCATCTGGTCACCTTCCCTGCTGGAGAGGCCTTGAATTGCGTACTGAACGAGCGAATCCTGGTCCATCCTCCATGTGTTGGCTAGCCTACACACCTCACATTGGAGCAGTGTCATCAACACAAGTGCTGGTGTCATCGGGCGTGCCGTTAGAAAGACGGGAGGTCCCAACAGATGCGGGCGGACCCCTGGGAGAAGTAGAGGTCGTTTCTAACCTGTGATTGGGTAGCGTTGTTGTGCCACGGTTAGTTTGCAGGCGACTCGGTTGGGGGTTGCACGGTGCGTTACAAAGATGTTCGGTCAGGCGCGCGCGTTACGCGTTAATGACTCGGAGGGTTGCATGGCGCGTACGAAGACATCCCGCCAGTAGTACTGTACGAGCGCGGTGGAGTGTGCAGATCGGATCGGGGCCTGTGCGGTAACTAAAGAATATATTACGTCAGCAAGTTGTGATGGCTGATCCTCAAGCAACCACGTGACTCCTCTGCTGGGAAGGGGCTCCTTGTCGTCCTGCTCCTTGTCACCTCACTCGCTGACGCGTTGCAGTCACAAATATCTCATTGCATGCTAAATACAAGCTATTTAAGCGTCTACCTGGGTTCATATGTCCTATTTTTCTATCCGTGCGCCACCTAGCAATCTTTCACGGCCAGTCATCCCTATGCCAAACAGCCTTAAAATCTTGAACGTAGCAGGTCTGCTCGTTGTACTCTCCAGGCACTGGCTATCCATGATTTAGTTTGCTCAATGAACAGCGCGTAGAAACAGCGTGTGTGCAGCAGGATCCTGCTCTACCTACAGGGCCATGCGAAGCAGGGAGTCTTGGTGAAAGCGTCAAGTAAAAGACGCTAGGTGCGTGATCGTATACTGACATGTGCGACGTCCACGACCTTGACAGTTGCATATAGGCGTCATGGAAATAGCATGCGACTCTCAGAATGATATACCGTTAAGCTGAGCACTTTTCTCGTCAGGCGGGCCCCGATACTTCACGTTTAGATAACACCGGAGCTTTTCAACAATTCGTGCATCGTATAGCACCTTTGACACCACTCATTTGAGCCTATGGCAGATCATATAACGCATGACCACACAGGAGCAGCCGAACTACATAGTTATACAGGTGGTATGCCACAAAAACCTGTCATAGGACCGCACGCTTGTGCTGCCGATACTTACTCGCCTGCCGCTAGGCAATACTCCACCACGAGCCTTGATTTGAGGTTTGGTAAAAGTTACTGAGCTTCGAGTCAGGAATGTTTATCGGCTGCTCGAGTTTTTCGAAGTCGCATGACAGTCTCAAGCAAAAATTACCCTGCCCTCGTTCCATGCTCCTCGGCCTACTCGTTCATGGCCCGCCACCAAACGCGAAATATTTCTTACACTCGATAATCTGCATATTGTCGCGTCTGACGACCTGGTTTCCCTTTCTGACTCACCGCACTCGAACGGCATCAAACTGTCACTAGTCACTATAAAATTTGACGGCTGACACCGCGCACCAGCGGTGCACAATGCCACAACCTGTCCTGTGGCACATCACAGCGCAGACCAGCAGCTTAAAACATGTATAGCGCGTGAGCTACTCGCCCACTCGGAGTCTGTGCCGAGCTTCTCCGTGCGAAATCATCATGCTCATGGCGCTGGCATGCTCCCGCCATGGATTTTATAGCGCCCGGTCTGGCTCTGGCTTGCTTCATATCATGGCTATGGACTGGGCGTGTATTATTCTTTTTATATGCGCCTAAATAAGACGACTTTATCTCGCTGCTCGAGTCGATGACTGCTACGCAGACTACGGTGATGACGAGCAGGAGATCCGACCATGCAACGGCCAGAGGCTGGAGTATGTCTGCACTCCATCAGCGTTGATGGATTCGGAGGAATATACAGGCTTGCTTTCTCCTCGGATTGTTCCCGTCTCTGTGCCCCGCTTCTCACCTCCTGCTTCATTTATGACATCCAAACTTGAACGTGCACACATGTCGCAACACTACAGCATTGTTCAGGAGTAGGGACCTCCTGGTCCATGTCTTGTCAAGGAGATCACATAGTCGCCGCCTCGGACGGTCAAGTGAAAATCTGGAATGCAGTAACCGCCGAGGAAATTCTCACGATCAACCACCCGAAACAGCTCTCAGGGCCCATGGCCTTCTCCTCAGACTGTAACGAGGTGGTGGCCGCCTGTCATGCGGACCAGACCGCTGTCACCTATAACGTGCAGACGGGCCAGTTACGCCGGATCTTCAAGCTATCAGATCAAGCATATCACACGGCATATTCCCCGGATGGAGACTACGTTGTCTTCGGCAACAATAGCGGTGAGCTGGAAATATTTGACACAATCTCTGGATCACTCCTTGCGAAGTTTGAGGCTGGCGGGGATTTCAGTGATGTTCAATTTATACCTGGTACTTATTCCCTTCTCATAAAATTTGAGGATAGACCTCTTAAGCTATGTAATATTCAAGATATAAGGCATATGCGATAGTGTACAATTGCCTACCTCACCGAATATATCATATTAGTGCGAATACAGCATGTATGAAAGGAACGAGATCTGCGAAAAGTAGACCCTTGCACCTGAAAGGTGTGGTCGAGACCGTAGGGGCCGGCCGGCGCAATGGCCACCCACGTCAGACTCCACGGGCCGTGTGCAGCGATGTGTTGCAAGATGGCAAGGGCTATAACGACACCCGCGTAACCCAGCGCGGTCAGCCGTCGTATTACAGTGTAAGCGCAAAGCTCACCGATGGTGGTCATCCTCTGGGCTTTGTTGGTCGCAAGAACGTTCGCTAGTACGTAGGCGGGCTTGGACGGCAGCTTGGAACAGAACGTATTAGGTTAAGAGCCGTAATAACCTGCAGTCCGTCAGAAGGGCACTATGCACTGCGGAGACGTGGTGCAACGTACCGTCCACTCGGTCCCTTCAGATGGACTGCAGAGCCTTCCTCTACTCCCGCTCGTCGGAAGCAGTGACCATCCTGGACCGGGACTTGAACTAAAATGGTTGATGTGATCAAATTCGACGACAATTGACATGCAACGCACACCGAAAACACACTCGCACCGATCTCCCAGAGCCATCGGCTAGTCGGCATTCCCCTGTCTTCCCCTGGTCCGGCGTGTCGCAGCGCATGATAGCCTCAAGTGCACTGTATCGATCGCACTCGAGCATAACGAATCACTGAAAAATAGACCAAAAACTGCGGCAAGCAATGAAGTGCTCACGAGTGCTTGGCCGCCGCGGTACCGTGACCCAAGCACCAGACAGAGGCTTTGGGAAATGAGGAAATGTGCCGTCACAGTAGTGTACCATGGGTGCAGAAATGAGAGAGAAGGTGTGGACGACTTGGGGCGTAGCGATTGCTGGGAGCGATCCTAGACCGAGGAAGGGCGTGTATGCTACAGGTGTGAATTGAAGAATTTGCTTGCTGTCCAAGCCCGTGATCAGGCAGAAGAAGTTGGTCCGACCTCAGAAGATGCCGTTGTTCTTGCCTTCTTAGTACAAGAAGTGAGATGACGACATCCACACTACCACCACAGCATCTGAATGGTATCTGTCACCGGTGTGCACCAGCATCCCATCGCAGTACGTACTCATTTCGAACTAGGAGAACTTGAAGCTGCCGTTTTCGTCAGACTGTGTCGACATATCAGACTCCTGCAAGTGAGCGTTGTCCTGCAAGCCAGTCAGCCAGGACACGCTGGACTGTCAAACCAAACCGGACTTACATGTGTGATATACCTCAATAACTCGTGCATCTGTCACCCTGGAAGCACGCGATTGACTCATCGCTTGGGAGTCCACTCCTACACGTTATTACTCAGAATCTCCTTGCTGCACTTTGACAACATGTTGACCACGATGGCTGTGCTCGTCGAGACATGGGTCGACGTGGTCGAAGAGGCGGTGTGCTGAGCAGCATGGCCACATCCCAGGTACGTTGATCCATCAGAAGGCGCTGCATAACAGTAGTCGATGCTTCGTACTCGCGGGTGGTGAATATGACGGAGAAGAGTCGCAATATGTCGCCTCGGAGATCTTGTCTAGGCACGGCCGCTTGTAAGTTGAGCTCGCCGTATTGGAGATCTTGACCGCAGTTTAAGGGAGGGGGACACCAAGCGGCCTCGCGCCCAGCCCCCTTCGGAGGACAACCCGGGGCCACTGCGCCCGACACCCACACGCACCCACGACGTCGAAGAAATTCCGACCAATTAAGACCATCAGCTTCCCCCGTCGTTGAAATCAGGTGTTATTGCCAGACATGCATCGATGCGTTGAGATACGCTATCCAAGGGCGACGACAGCAGCCTGTGCACGCTGTAGACCTCTGTGATAAATAAGTTGGCAGTGCTCCTTGACAATCAATATATCGCCGTGGATATATAGGTTGATGGAGTAGTCAAGGACGTGAATTATCTTGGAGGCGAAGACAAGACGAGAAAGCTCGAACTGTTTGGCCGGGTAACAAACGTGGAGGAGACCAATCTTAATAGCGTACGTACACAACGTCCCTCATACAATCTGCGCAGTAGCTCCGAATGTTCCAACCGGCACGTCCAGCGAGTGTCCGAAGCCGCAGTGCACGGTCCATGTAGTCGCGGATATTCACTTTCCTTGCTGGGGATGTCCTGAGCCGCATGCTGAGCAAGGAGTGAGTTCTTTGTTGTCAATACCACGCGGTAGATCAGCAGGTCACCAAAGGCAAAGCGCGCGCAGTGCATTGGGGCTGACGCAAGCGAGGATAATGCTGGCGAAGCGGGAGCTCTTCGCAAATGTAGGCGGTCCCCTGGGAGATGTAGAAATTGCTTCTAGCCTGCGACTGAAAGGCGTTGTTGTGCCGCGGTTTGTTTGCAGGCGACTGGGAGGACTGCATGGTGTATAAAGAAGCTAGTGATGTGCGGGCCCGGCTTGAGCTCAAAGCCCGGGCTTGGGCTTGTGGCAACGTCGAGTCGAGCCCTGAGCCCGAGCCGAGCCTGAGCCCGGCCCAAGCCCGGGCTTGCCAAGCTTGGGATAAGTATATATATGTTACAAAAGTGAGCATATTTGTATGTGATAGGCTACTATTGCATGTACTCACCGTACTGCAGCCTCCAGAGGGCATGTGACCGCGCTACAAGCCATGTTATGACAAGGTTCGCGAAGGGGCGCCTACGGCGAACGCCAGGCGGCGGCGCACAATCGCGCTTAGTCACACTAGCAGGGACCGCCCAGTCTGGTAAGTCAACGTTTTGTCTCGTATGCGTATACAAAGTCGTTCTTACCATGTTTTGAGCCCAGGGAATGGCAACACATTTGGTGCACCCAAGCCTGGGCTTTCGAGCCGGGCTCAGGCTTGACTTCATCTCAAGCCCGGCCTTGAGCCCGCTGCCAGGCTCGGCTTAGGTCAGGCTTTTTTGGGCCAGGCTTGATGGGCTTGCGGGCTTTGAGCCGAGCCCGCACATCACTAGCCGCATAGTCTCTTCTGGAAATGAGCAGCATGTTATAGTCTCTGCTCAAGGTTTGGGCGTCTGTATTCTTTGTGCAGAGCCACCAGGCTCCGAGAGGATCGCTTCCAGTTATCTATTAAGTGCGCTTTATGATCTTCAGCTCAAGAAATTTCTCTTGACTGTCACCATTATGTGTATATCAGGTGCCACGCATATCTGTCCCAAGCGTGTAGAGCACAACAATCTCACTCTTCGCTTCTTCGCCCACTCAAAACCTCCCGCTTGGTATCCTCGCAGCCACCCGTCGAGTCATGCGCGTACCACTTTGGATCCTCCAGTCCGATCCTATCTTGCAGCTGCTCGACGAAGCCGCGATAACGACTAACTGGTCTCAAGGTAAACGTGGGCTGTGTAAATTCCCAAGCAGAAGTGGCCATCGAGTGCGCCATGTTCTCGCCATTTGCAGCGGAGTCTGGCAGCGATACGCCACGCCCAAGTTCCCCAAACGCGTTGATCCTTGATGCAGGAGCCCCTATGGCCTACGGTCGCGCCGCAGCGCAAAAAGGGACTGTTGGAGAGATCCGTGCGAGCATTCCGAAGAGCTCTGGCTAGCTCTGTGTGCTTGCGCAGAGTGCAACTCAGCCTACGGGAGAGGGCATAGCTTACTTGACTTGTGAATACCGTGGAAAATTCCTCTTTGATGCCACCTGACTCAAACCCTTGCGATTGCCGTTCCCTACCATGCGAATGCAAACTTTTAAGCCGAACTGTGATTAATCACCTGTGCCTCGAGGCTAAGCAATGGCCTATACCTCTAGCTCACAGCCAATAAAGCTCTTCAAATACCCCGTAAGCAGCGATGGCTCTTTTGCAAGACAGGACGAGGAGCTATAGGCAATGAATCGAAGGGTCAGCACCCGTAGACATTCTCCAATGGACGCGCTTTGATCATATTCTTCGCGAGTCCACCAATCAAACATGACCCGCGTCACTCTATATTCTTTTCCAGATGAACAACATCGGGTAGCTAGACCCGGTGCGTATACAACTACGAAACTTGATTGCCCTCGAGATCCGATGGGCTATGAGACATGCGATGTTGAGTGTCGATTGCTCTCGAAAGCTGCGCGCTCCCGTAACCTGCAGCGTTGGCATATCTGGTGAGCACAGACGAAGCAGCCCCGTTGTGTCTCACCTGACGGTTTCAGCGTAGATTGCGGACTTAGTGCATTGAGCACGACGAGTTCATAAAGATTTTGCATCTGTACGGAGAGGCCCCATCTGTAAGTAGTGATGTGCGGGCCGGGCCTCAAAGCCTGCAAGCCCACCAAGCCCAGCACAAAAAGCCTGGCCCAAGTCAAGCCTGGCAGCGGGCTCAAGGCCGGGCTCGGAGCGTAGTCAAGCCCAAGCCCGGCCCGGAAGCCCAGGCTTGGGTGTGCTGGCTCCGTTACCGTTCCCTGAGTTCAGAATAAGGAGAGAGCAACCTAATATGCAAATAGAAGACAAAATGTAGATATTCTAGATGTAACGGCTTCCGCTGAGCACAATTGTGCGTCACCATCTGGTGCCTGCTGTAGGCGCACACTCGTGGACTTTTCTGCGACTCGACTTATTCTGCAGGTGTAGATCTTCTGGAGGTTATAATTTAGTGAGTACATGCAGTATTAATCTACTACACCCAAATACATTCCCTTTTGATAGCACTGGAACACTCGTTGTATTGTGAGCAAGCCCGGGCTCAGGCTCGGCTCAGGCTCAGGGCTCGGCTCGACGTCGCCACAAGCCCAAGCCCGGGCTTTGAGCCCAAGCCGGGCCCGCACATCACTATCTGTGAGCCGCACCGGCGACTTCCACTGTGTGCACAGTAAAGCTCATAACTCACAGGAGACGAGTGTTTTTTTAGATGTTTGAAGATGCCGACACCCCTGCATGGCATCTGTCTCTTACGTGGACTTTGCATTGGCCATCCAGTGAACGGTGTGCCACTTCTCGTATCTTGAGCGTGTGTAACATCTTACTCATGGATTACAGTTCAATAAGACGCTGTCCTCGCCTCAATCCATTCTCCAACTCTTCACCTGCTTAGTGATGTGCGGGCCCGGCTTGGGCTCAAAGCCTGGGCTTGGGCTTGTGGCAGCATCGAGCCAAGCCCTGAGCCCGAGCCCGGCCCAAGCCCGGGCTTCCGGGCCGGGCTTGAGCTTGACTATGCTCCGAGCCCGGCCTTGAGCCCGCTGCCAGGCTTGGCTCGGGTCAGGCTTTTTGGGCTGGGCTTGGCGGGCTCGCGGGCTTTGAGGCCCGGCCTGCACATCACTACACCTGCTCAAGCACTCCCATGGGATATGCGATATCGTCGTTGCTCCTTAGACAGTTGCATACTCATCGAAGCCTGCGTACAATATACCTGTAGTTTTCTTGATGAATAGCGCGGCCCAGGGTCGGACCGCTGCTGGCGAGTCCTCTACTTGTCCAACTGCAATCCTCGCATTGGCCGATCATTTATGCAGGGATTTTTCACAGACTTTAACATCGTACGATTCATCGCTGTGCATGGCTTTGCAAGCTCAACATGCGAGGTCATTGTGCCAACCGGCCTCTGGAGTCTAAGCCGCGTTTTGCGGCTACATTTCTTTCGATAGACTATCCTTCTTTCGAAGAATGTCCGGCCTTTATACTAGCATACACCTTGTCATATTCAGTATAGGATTACTACAGTCATCAAGAGAATAGTACATTGAATGATACAAGCATCATTAGACTAACACTATGCTATCGCATCCGCAACGCGTCCTGAATGTCATAAAGAACTAAAGGTCCGTCCAAAAATCGTGTCACAACCGTCCGATTATCGGATACTACTTCAATCTTCTTAAGGTCCCTGCTCCCTTGGCCCTCTTCAAACATTGCTAGGAATGCCTCAGACTTCGGGTTGTACACATGAACCTTTTTGTCAGTGGTACCTAGGGCAACGTAGTTTCTGTTCGGGGAGTACGATATCTCGTATAATTTTTCTGACAACTTGAAGACACGACATAGTTGGCCGGTCCACGAATCGAAGGTGACGGCCGTCTTGTCTCTATCACATCCTAGCAACACCTCGGCGCCATCCGAGGAGAACGCCACGATACCTGAGAGCTGTTTCGGGTAATCGATTTTGAGGAGCTCTTCACCGGTTACCACGCTCCAAATTTTCACTCCTCCCTCCTTCGATTTGGTGACTGCGCAGTCTCCTTCGCGAGATATTGCCGAGAAAATCACAGAGTCCTTGTCCTAGCATAATGTAGCACTGTGCGTGTAGGTTTGGATGTCGTAGATGTGGCAGGAGCGGTTCATTTCAATATAGAGGCGAGAGGCATCCGAGGAGAAAATGAGCTTGTATATGCCTTCATCGAAGCTGAAGGAGTGCAGACAAGCTCCCGTAGAGGAGTCCCAAATCTTTGCAGATTTGCTGTCGTGAGAACCAGTGGCGATAAGCGCGCCATGAAGAGCATACGTGACCCTGTTCACCGGCCCACCATGACCCTCTAGACGAAGAAGTACATGGCAACTCTGAATTTCCCAGATGATTGTGCTCTTGTTATTGCACCCAGAGACAAGAGTGCAATCGTTGGGAGAAAATGACAGGGAAGAAACCTCGCCTGTGTCGTCCCAATGGCGCAGGCACTGAACCAGTAGACTGTCGGAGAGCCGCCATATGAGGATATTGCTAGCGTGGAACAATGCCGCCAGAAGCTTTCCATCAGTCGAAAGGGCAAAAGACTTGCAACCATTGGATGGCCTTCGAGGATCAGAGAAAGTGAGCCGTTTCGACTTCAGGGGTCGACACTTCGCCTGCGTGGGGCCAATGAAGATGCGCGAACCCTGTAAACAACCAGCGCCGTCAAAGGTGATGCCTGGCCATTGAGAAAGGCTGGAAGCAGTGATAATACAGCGCACAAGAGCACGCTCTCGTCTGTGGCATATGACATCTTCCATGCGCAACCATCCAACTGCGCAAGGGTTAGTTGCGCTTAGGTGCTGCTAGTAGCATAAGAGACTTACGTGCGCCGTTGACCTCCACGGGAGGCTGCACTTGGCGAAGATAGCTGGCAAAATCGACCACCCGATTGCTGTCCTGAGTGGCGATTAGGCTTAACACTGTTAAAAAAAGTGCAAGATACAACCACGATGCTTTGGACATCTTTGTCGCTCGCGATGGCTGTTTCAGTGCCAGAAGTCTACGATCGCAGATCTCTCCTTTAGCAAAATTAACATAATTACTCGATGCATTTACCTCTAGGATGTAGTCCAGAAGAATATCCAGCGGGTCAAGAATTTCGTCCTGGTCCTAGTTTCATATCAGTTTGTGCACCTCGCAATACAGCATAACCAATTGCATACCTCTTCCTCGAATTCTAGCACGTCCATTTTGCTGGCATCCCCCTCCTTTTGCACCGTAACGCCTTCCCCTCCTGAACCACCTCTCGCATCTCCTGGACTCAGCAGCTGGTGATAGCCTGCGCCCGCGATGACCTTCTTGGGGAACTCCGGCCACCTTCGTATCATGCAACGCTTCAGGAAGACACTCTGATCTCTCTTCGCGTCTGCAGTGGAGTGATCAGAGACCTTCTCCGAGTATTTCTTGCCCTGGCGCTGCATCCTTGGACCAGTCACAGAGTGCGTATGTGATCCACCGACTCTGATCCCCGCAAAGCCACCGACACTTCTGTTGTGGGCGTAGCCCCGGCCTCCTATTTTTATTCCCATTTTCTCTGATTTATTCCACGTTTATACGACTCTCCAAACGTCGTTGGCGCATAGGCGCCAGTTTACAAGTCCTAGCCGCGCGCTAACACCTTGAAAACGCATCACCGACGGGCACGCATCAGCGCATCAGACGCGCCTGCATCGCCGCTGCCTCCTCGCCGCATCACGCTTCCTCAGTAACAGCCGCACTCCGATCTCCATCAGACATCCGATCCCCGTCGGCCCGACAACGTCATACAACATGACACACCGGCCCCCGACTACCTCCGAGTTCGATTGGCAACGGACATCCTATCCCCGCCGGCCCGACAACCTCATCAGATATGACACGCCGGCCCTCGTTTCTCCGCCTAAAAGTCCCCTAGACACTAGCAGTCGCCGTAGCACCAGTTGCTTATGTAATGCCTGGTCCGTGCGCAGCCTGACTAGTATATAAAGGCCCCGTTCGTCACTACCTAGCCCCATCTCAACCTCTTGGTTTATTGGGCTAGGTAAGCCTTTATTCATACGTTAGAATAGTAACTAATACACTTGGTTTATTGGGCTAGCTGAATAAGCTAACGCACTAGTCGCCAGACCTCGTCAGCGCTGCCTTCTGATTAGATCCACGCAGTATCCCTCGTGGTGTGTCGACGCAAGTCCACATCAACTTCCTTTGAGCGAGGCACCAAATCTTGAGCTCGTATTGTTGAAAGCGGTTGCGGCCCAGTTCGCTTCGGTTTTGACCCATCCGCTGACCACGGTGATGTCCTCCTGCTGAACCGCTTGGCCCAGGTTGTTCCTGGCGTATGAGAACCATTTGTCGTGGTCCCGAATGATGTACGTCTTGAAATTATTGTTCTCGAATAACGCCTCGTCATAGGCCTTGCTCTGAAGCACGAGGACCGCACCTTGCGCCCCTTTACATATGTACTCCATGCTAAGGGTCGCGGACACACCTGCGCCAATCGTTCTGCAGACCGTCAGAGGAAAATGTTTCTGAGATGAGCCGATGCGCTCACGCGTCCGCAGAGGCTTGTATTTCCCTGCTCTCAACTCCATCACTGCAGTAATGATTGGGGACAAGCGGACTACTTCTGGTGTCGACTTGCAACACGTCTGGAGGCAAGGGCTCGAAGTTTTCGAAAGGCTTGGGCCAAAACTTGACCTTCTTTTCGGGCGCAGAGGTATCAAGGTTGAATAATCTGACAAATGCACCACAGCGAATGAAGCCCACATCGCCGATCTGTACCTCTCCTGTCACATGAGGCTCCGGGTACCAGAGAGCATGACCGAGGTAAAGGGTGTTGAGATTGGATGAATAGATCTCGTCTGGAGCGGACGGCAGGCGACGGAAGCAAAACATAGCGGGTGAACGAAATGATCTTGGCACGAGTTGGGAGTGCAAGGGATCGATGACAACAGTTTCGGCGCTATCTGTCTGATGGCTTCGCACGAGGAGGATGGATGCCCAAACTAAATATCAATAAGTTGTCCGGCACTTGAGGTATGTCGACCACGAGCCATTTCTCATAGCTTTATGCTACAAAAAACAAGGTGCTGTCCTTGTACGACGGTTACTGGCGCCAAATGAGATAAATTGCAGGTAATTAGAGGACAAGGAAGCATCGAGCAGGCCTACCAGTAGTATCAAGGGTGTTATTGGACAGAAATAAATTCTCACCTTCGCACTGGCTGCAAAGTTTTGTTTTCGATATGCGTCTAGGATTTTGCATGCGTGTTCATGCACTTTCGTGCATGTTCGTGCATGATGATGCGTGTTTGGTCACTAACATGTGCCATCGTGCACGAAAGCTCACGTTTGTGCACTTTTGTGCACTTCCGCACGCGAAAGTGTGCATCTGATGAACTACCTATTCATTTTGTCACAGTTTCATTTTGGCTAGGTGTTTATCTTTGTGCACCTTCGTGCACTCGACGATTCAAATGAGATGCATAATCACGAAAATGAAAGCCAATTGCTAACTTACACCAAACTAAACAATAAAATGAATCCACGAACACGAACAAATGCAAACAAACATGCACGAACACGCACGAACGCGCACACATTAGTGCCATCGCCAATCTCAAAGCAGGGCATAACGAAAACCAAAGCTCAGCGTCATGCACGATTGTGTACGTTTGTCCACTTTCATGCACAATCACACACGTTTGCCTGCTTTTGTGCACATTTGTGCTCGTTCGTTCACGTTCCTGCACTTTTGTCTGCCAAACTGTACATACAGACTGCGCCAGCTCCAAATTCATTTTTTTTGTCCAATAGCAACCTTCATACAGTAGGTTCAAGAACGCAAAGGGTCAATCCGTCATGAGGACGACTGCGGGATATCGTTAGTGTCAGCAACCAACAATCCAACTGGACTGGGCTACGACAAGGCTGAGGAGACAGATGAGAGGAATGGAGGTGAGTAAAGACCAGCTCGAGTCTGGCTTGTTATTGAGCAGTACGGGCTCCTTATATACATGTCAGACTCAATACCTAGATTATACTATGAATATACGGAGGTGTATAGAAAGTAAAAGAATACTGTAGAATCTGGGAGAACCATCCGGAATATGTAATATTCATGACATTACCCCCCCGTCTAGAATCGTGTCCTCATGATTATTTACCAGTAGAGCCAAAACCTCCTCGATATCGCATGATGCAATACGTTCCAGAATGACTTGTGCGATTCGATCGCTGGCGCGTACCTGGAAAGGTTGATCGGTGGTATTGATCATTACTACGTGTACTTCTCCGGTGTAGTCTCGGTCTACAACTCCTGCACCAATATCTATTCCTTTGACCGCTAACCCACTTCGCGGTGCAATCCGCGCATAGGTCCCGTGAGGGGCACGCATTGCTATACTGGTGCTGACAATTTTACGATCCTGTGCTGGTATTTCAACGCTTTCGGCGGAGTAAAGGTCAAGACCAGTGGCTTCTTCCAATCCTTGTTTGGAAAGAATTCTGCCCATCCATTGTACCAGAAGAGTGGCAATGCGCGTGAGTATGTGAACAGGTCGGGATCCTAATTGTCATAGGCGCGGGTTTGTCGGGACATCTCGCATGGAATTTCTGAAGGAGTTCTTGACAATTGGTCAAGTTCGCCCGTGATTCCCAAGAACGGCGATCGCCGTGGGGGCTGTTCTTCCAGAGAACCTGATACTCAAGGTTCCCATTTCGATCATGGCGGGAGTCAAGGATCTCTTCGACTTCCCATTCTTCCTCACCATTTACGAGGTCAGGGACTACCGGTTTACGTCGCTGCGAGAGATACGTAGGTTCTTTGAAAGGGCTAAGGAGACTTTCATTGAAAATAGGGTATTGTTTCCATTGACGTGGGAGTTCCAACTCATAGGCAGAAGCGCCGACTTTGCGTTTGACCTTGAAGGTTCCATATCACTTATCGTTGAGCTTCTTCATTGGCCTGTTCATTCAGATGTTTATCCCTTCTAACCAAACTTTATCTCCAGATTTGTATTCTGGTCTGTTCTTCCTCTTTCTATCATAAAAGCGCTTCATGGATTCCTGCGCTAGACTAATGGCTGTGCTAGTGTCTTCATGTACTCGATTCATTCTATCGACAAACTGTTGTACATTTTCACTTAGTCCTTCTTGTACCAGTTGAGTTCCCTCATAAGGGTGGTACCCTTTGTTCACAAAGAATGGGGTATATCTGGTAGACAAGCGAACTTTATTGTTGTACAAGAATGTTGCAAGTGGCAGCCATTCAGCCCAATCGGCTTGTCGATAGTTGATGAATAGTCGGAGATACTGTTCTATCTCACGATTGATATGCTCTGTTTGTCCATCTGTCTGGGGGTGATACGCGGTGGAAGGGTTGGCTTCAATTCTGAGCGATTGGTACAGTTCGGAAATGAACTTGTTCTTGAATTCAGTCCCCCTGTCGCTGATGATTTTTCGGGGTAGTCCATGATGTGCCACCACATGATCGCAAAGTGCTTTTCCCCATCCTTTGGCATTGAGTTCAATGTTGCTTGGTATCACGATTATCTGCTTGGAGTACATGCAGACGACTATGAGAATAGCATTGTATCCAAAGGATTCTGGTAGCACTCCTATCTTATCTACCGAGATTATTTCCCAGGGTCGCGTAGGGATTTCGTTGGGGAAGAGAAGTCCGGTAGGTCGTGTTGTGTGCACCTTGGTCTTCTGGCATTTCTCGCATCCAGCAACATACTTCCAGATGTCTTCTCAAATTCTAGGCCACCAGTAATTGTGCATGACCATTTCGTGTGTTTTATATTGACCAGGGTGTCCGGCCATCAGGGTATCATGGTGATGAGCAATGATCTGCTCACGGAGTTTCCTATTTACCAGTACGTAAATACGGTTCTTCTACGTCACGAGTCCGGTACTATCTTCATTCCAGTCTTTGTCCTTGTTCTGTAGAGCTACGGTGACTAGTGAATCTTGGTTCTTTTTGTATTTTTTTAATTTTCGCGACCCAGTTCTGGTCGATTCCTTCTAAACTAAATACAGTACTACAGATTAAAGCACAAAAATGTTCTGGTTTCAATAGCACAATATCAGAATTGTCCTCTTTCCCTGCATTGTGTTGCTTTTGACGAGATAGTCCGTCCACCTTGCCATTAGATTTCCCAGGCTTGTGATGCAACGAGTATCAATATTCAGCTAATTCAGTTACCCATCAGGCCTGACGCCGATTGAGCTTCTGCGGCTTTCGGAAGTATTCTAGATTCTTGTGATCTGTCCATATTTCAAACGGATGTACGGTGCCCATGAGGTACTGACGCCATTCATCAAGACTAGTCATGATTGCGAGAAGTTCCTTATCGTAAATCTCGTAATTTTTTTCGGCAGCTGTCATGGCTTTGAACAGATAAGCGACAGGCTTCCATTTGCCGTCTTGCTTCTGGGCTAGCTCTGCTCCTATGGCAAAGTCCGAGGCGTCACATTCTACTCGGTAGGGGTTGTTGTCATTGGATATGGCCAGTACTGGCGCTGTGCAGAGAGCGTTCTTCAGGCTTGTGAATGCTACTTCTTGTTCAACAGTCCATTCAAAGGTAGTGTTGCCCGTTAGTGAACTGAGTGGTTTTGCTATTTTGCCATAATCTCAGATGAACCTTTGGTAGAAATTGGTGAATCCAAGGAATGCTTGAATGTCTCGTTTGCACTCAGGTCGAGGCCAATTGACAACTCCTTCTATTTTGACTGGGTCCATGCAGACAACTCCTTTTCCTACTATCATCCCAAGGTATTCTATCTCTGATTTCTCAAACTTGCACTTTTCCGGTTTCAGATAAAGTTTGTGTTCTCTTAAAATCTGAAGAACTTGCCGTGTGATCCGACAGTGTTCTTTCAAATCTTGAGTGAAGATCATAATATTGTCTAGGTAGACTACCACGTGTCCTTGACTGATGAGATCTCAGAATATGTCGTTCATTATAGTCTGGAATGTAGCCGGGGAATTGGTAAGACTGAAGAACATGACTAATGGTTCGAATAGTCCTCGATTCGTTAGGAATGCTGCTTTCTCTTTGTCGCCTTCTTTGATGTGGATTTTGTTGTATCCCCATCGGATGTCTAGTTTCGTAAAGTACCGTGCCTGCTTCAGCTTGTCCACTGGTTCCTGTATCAAAGGAAGTGGGTAGCGATTTTTAATTGTCAACTCATTCAGCTTCCGATAATCTTGCACGGGTCGAAGTCATCCATCTTTCTTTTTGACAAAGAAGAACGGAGAAGCCCACAGGGATTTCGACGGTCGAATTCTCCTGGTTTGGAGGTTCTCTTCTATGAACTTATCAAGTTCTTTTTGTTCGTTTACAGAAATAGGATAAACTTTGCAACTGATTGGTTGCGTGCCTGGTGTGAGTTCGATTGCATGATCCCATGGTCGTCTTTGTGGTAGAGAGTCAAAATCTTCTTCGCTAAATATGTTGGCATAGTCGTGATAGTGGCTCGGAATGGTATTTTCAAAAGTTTTGGTTTCGTGTTTCAGACTCTCTTTGATCGCTAGATCAGTGGCCGTGGTGCGAATACATGCTGCTCCCGTAGCAAAGTAGGTTTTGTGGTCTAGAATAAGGATTCTATCCCCTTCTTCTAAGTGAGCCTCCGGATCGCTGGGCTCTTCTTGATCGGCATCAATATCAATTAATCGGGCTGCATATTTGCAGGTGATTGGGCACCAATTAAACTGAATGACTTGTTCCTGCCAATCAATAGATGGATTATGAATCTGGAGCCATTCATATCCTAGGAAGATCGGAGTTTTTCCTAGATTGGTAACGGTGAAAGGAAGCCATTCAATGTGGTCCTGAATTTCAACCCTTAACTCGACAAAGTCAGTGATAGCGCCGCCAGTATTATGCATGCCGTCCGCATTGTAGACAGGGATCGGTGATGGAAGTTTCTTTGTAGCGATGTTGTTATCGCGGACAAACTGCGCATTAATAGATGATCTGGTACATCCCGTGTCTAATAGTGCTTTGACTAATAAGCGCTGTTGTGTGTCCAAGGTGGTGATGATCATTGGGACGTCCATTTGTGTCCCCTTCCTTCCTCAGATGAATCGAGGCTGCTTTCGTAACTCGTTCAAGAAGTCTATTGCTTCTTCTTCTTTCATTTGCCTGATTTGATTCATACAGGCTTCTGAGGCATCGACACTCTTCTTTGAGTGTACCCATTTGGTCAACATTCTAAGCGCTGCTTCTTCTTTGTTGACTATCCATTGGCGGATCCAGGCCGCTGTTCATGGGGTGTGGCATTGCCACTGTGTAGGTTCAGTCTGGTTCGAAGTAGGAGATAATTTTTTATTTGGGGGAATTAAGCAAGAGGGTTGAGCCTCTCTGCGCTGTTCTACAGACGCCCCTTTCTTTTGTTGTATATACATTGGAACTCCAAACCAAGAACACAGATAGTTCGTAAAATTCTCTTTGGTCAACTCGGCTACGCGCCCAGCTGACCGCTTGCAAAACCCTTCATTACCGCATGAATCTCGTTGTGAATTGCCTTTTTCCAGTCAAATGGTTCCGCCATGGTGGCAGGTGCTTTGTTAAGTGACGTGAGTGGTGTGAATGTATTGGCAGTGGGAACTGCTGGGGTTTCCGCGGCCCATAGTTGTTGGGCTTGTTGCCAATTCGGGCAATTGCACGATAAGTGACCCTTTTCACCACATCAGAAACAGAGGCCTAGGCGTCGTGCCTGACCCAATTCCATTGGTTGACCTCTGCTGCCAAATGTCACACCGGTCCCATCGCGCCGTGTCTGAACTGGCGCAGTCGTGGCTACTGGCGCGGCTACGTTAGCCTGCGCTTGTGGTGTGTTCTGTGCCTGTTGTTGTCGAGGCTGGAATTGCCCTTGTTGTTGGGGCTGCGGATTCCGCCTACGGTACTGCTGTTGATTCAGATTGATGCGCGCAACCCATTGCTTGTAGAGAGCGTAGGTGGTTGGGAGTTCCTCTGACAAGTTGTACAGAAGCCAAATGATATCGGCCCGTAGCACTTTTTCTAGAAGCGACTTGAGTTCTTGGAAGTGTGCCTCAAAGTCATGGATTTCTGCCTGGAAGGCGCACAACTCGAACTTGGAGAAGAATTCTTTGGCGGTCAGTGTGCCCATCTGCATTGCTTGCAGTCGCTTGTACGCTTTGGCCTGTTCATCAATCAGAAAATGTCTATCGAGATCGGCTCAGAGTGCATTGGTCGTCTGGATCACGGTGCTTTCATCCGTGTCATATTTTTTCATGTATGTGGTGACGTATTTGCCAGCGTGTCCTCCCTTCATGTAGGACAGAATCATAAGGACTCTGTCAAACTGCTCTGGTAGCCGCTTCCTTTGCGTGACTACATACAGTTTCATCTGCGTCTTCCAAGCGATGTACTTGGATTTCGTGCCATCGAAGGCATCTGGCTTCATTGCACTTCCATTGAGAAACGTGGCACTGTCTTGGTTCTCGGCCATCATGCCGGGATCTGATGGAGAGGATGGTGGGGTGGGAGAGCGGCGAGGGTGTAGACTTGGTGGTTCAGAATCTTCCAAAGCTTCTTCCACAGAGTTTGGTGGTCCTTCTGGTGGTGCTTCGGTTTCTCCTAGGGCGATTGAGCGGAGATGGTCAGTGACCAATTCGAGAATGTCTCGTCTAGCTCTGGGTTCTGAGCCAAATGCTACGGGTTCGGGGACTGTGAGGGATTCCAAAGGTTCTCCGGTGGCTACTCTGGTTACTAATTCTCTGCGTAGTCCTTCTTCGCACCGTGGGCAATGAGTACTATTTTGTGGGAAGTGCGGACATGGCTGTTGCACACAGTACTGTACGCGATTGTCGCGTCTGTAGATGAATCTCCCTTCTAGTACCCAATGTAGGTATCCTCTGCAATCACAAGAAAGTGTGGTCATGTGCTATTGGGTCCGTGGAGCTGGTTGCAGCAAACCCTGGGACTAATCGTGTTGTAATGACCAGATCAGGGGTAGAGTTCGCCAGAGATGGAAATTTCTGACAAAGAACCAAAATGCTAATTGTGATACAGATCTAGAGATACTGTAGCAGCCCAAAGAGCAATTATGTCTCTTCAGTCCAACGCCCGGAACGGGATCGTCAATCTAACTGATATCACCTTTCCGATGCCCAGTCGCAACCGGTTGCCACGTCGTACTTGGGAATATCCACTTGCACTGTGCAAAGCGTGTAACTCTGCCTATGGTAGGGCAAAGTACAATTCTAATAGGACAGAGCTCTGTTTAGCCGCCTAAGGGCTAGTGATTACAGAGGTGACTTCGGGGGTGTGATGTGGTAAAAGTTGTGCAAGTGCACAAAGAAGGGTTCCAGGGGTTCGGGTCCTGATGCAGTAGAATTTGGTAGGGTTAGAATTTAGGGTGAGAGTCGGATGTGCATATAAGGTGGATCGTTGTGTGGAGATGGGTGATGGTTGGTGTGGGAGTGACGAGGATCGTTGTAGGGCAGTTGGTGGAGACTCGAGCTAATGTCAGCAACCAACAATCCAACTGGACTGGGCTACGACAAGGCTGAGGAGACAGACGAGAGGAATGGAGGTGAGTAAAGACCAGCTCGAGTCTGGCTTGTTATTGAGCAGTACGGGCTCCTTATATACATGTCAGACTCAATACCTAGATTATACTACAAATATACAGAGGTGTATAGAAAGTAAAAGAATACTGTAGAATCTGGGAGAACCATCCGGAATATGTAATATTCATGACAGTTAGGCGATGCAGAATTGAAATGACAGGGAGATAAATTAGGCACGCTCGAAGACAATATAAATGGTTGCGACTGCACATCCGAACTGCTTACTGTGCGGAACGGTAGTGAAGTACCTCGAACGCCTCAGTAGTCGCTGCACGTCTTTATCCCTTCTCCGTTCATTCATCGCGCTTGAGTTTGGTGGCCGTAATACATTCAGAGCCATAAATGATACGACACAGAGGAAGATGAAAATGGGATAGCAGTTGCTATAGATCGACGAATTCTGTAAGTGCGTCGTAGTGCGATCATGGTCAAATTTGAGCGAACTAACCACGTCATTTCAGGTCGCTGTCGAAGATTTTCATTAATTTAAGCGTGTCACGGTGAGAGCAAAGGGGCTTGCGCTGCCCAGATAGAGGAGCTGAATGAAGGGTATGTCGTCTCTCATGTTCTACGAGCGCTGCGCCGTTCTGGCAGACTACAGCTTTCCACGGTGCCATGAGCTACCTTCCGCGCACGCATTAAACATATCAGTGAATGTCTTTGGGATTAGCGTTGGTGAGCCTTACGCTTTGATGCGGCTCACCCGCTGACCGTGTAACCTGCCCAGACAGCTTTTCAGGCCTTGCCGTTATGCTATACCTTGTTGCGAGCGGCGTGTGAAGCCTGAGTGGCACGGACGTCGCACCGAACAGCCTGCAGAGCTTTCATCGCGTTTCGTAGTTGCATCATGTATCATACATTTAGCAAGGCAAAACTAATAATATACTATCGCATGCGCATTATATCCTGGATATTACACAGTCTAAGAGGTCCGTCCCCAAAGTTCATTAGAAGGGTTTTTCCGTCGGGTGCAAATTGTGTGGCTCTGAGGTCCCCGTCAATCTCAAACTGTGCAAGGAATATTCCAGATTTCGCGTCAAATACTTTCAGCTCGTGGCCCATGTCGCTGAAGACGGCATAATCTCCGCTCGGTGAGTACGCCGCGCGATACGCTGCATCTGATAACTTGTAAACGCGATTTGGCTCTCCTGTCCGTATGCTGTAGGCCATAACGATCTTGTCCACATCACAGGCCGCCAATATCTCGGTACCGTCTGCGGAGAATGTCACAGGATGTGAGAGTCCTCGCGGGTGGCTGACCCTGAGAATCTCTTCACCGGTAACCGCACTCCAGATCTTCACTCGGCCGCCCGATGCAGTGACTATGCGATCTCCTTGACGAGACATAGACCAGGAGGGATCCTCAGTTGAGTCATGCGGTAGTGTGGCAATGTATGTATCCGTTTGGAGGTCATAGAGGAGGCAAGAGTCGAGAAGCCCAATGCAGAGACGGAGGCCATCTGAGGAGAAGGCAAGCCCATGTATAACGTCGCCGACACTGAAGGACTGCAGACATGCTCCATTCGAAGCGTCCCAAATCTTCATAGCGTTGTCGTCTTCAGAAGCGGTGGCGATGAGTGCACCATGAGGAGCATATGCAACCTTGGTCACGAGCTGATCATGTCCTGGTTCCAGACGTAGCAGTATACGGCCGCTCCGGATGTCCCAGACAACAGTGCTCTCGTTGAGGGACCCGGAGACAAGGGTGCGGTTACTTGGGGAGAATGATAGGGAAACGACTTGGTATTTATGGTTCTGATGGTGTAGGCGCTGAACCAAAAGACCGTCAGAAAGTCGCCATACGAGGACATCGCTACTCCAGAATGATGCTGCCAGAAGCTTGCCATCGTTTGACAGTGCGAAGCACTGACACGTTTTGGATGTATCGCGAGAATCGGCAAAGACAAGGTATTGCAGCTTCAGGGGTATGCTCTCCTCTTCCGTCGGACCTGGAATGAAGACGAGCATGTCCTCCATGCGACCGGCATTTTCAAAGGTGATGCCTGACCACTTCGCCAAGTCGGGGGCGATGATGGTGCGACGCGTGAAAGCACGTTTTCGCTCGTGGGATACAACATCTTTCGCGCACAGCGAGCCGACTGCGTGAAAGGTCGCCGCGCTTAGACACAGCTATCGCAAAACGACGAAAGACTCACGCGCGCCATCGATGCGAACCGGAGGTTGTACTTGGCGAAGATAGCTCGCAAGATCAACTACCTGCTCGTCGCCCTAGGCATGAATGAGTCTTCATATATATATATATATATATATCGAGCATTTAAAAGACGTACAACAATGCTTTCAACATCACTATCGCATGCAATTGCAATCTTGACATCAGACGTCTATTGTGAAAGGTACGATGATTAGTATGACGGATAGCATCCAGCGTAACTAGACATGCCTCAAGTATGTAGTCCAGGAGAATATCCAACGGATCAAGAACCTCATCCCGCCGGCTCGTTAGCTCATAGTCCTCGCAAGACGTCGCAACGAGTCGCGTACCTCATCTTCGGGTTCCAACATAGTGTCTTCATCGAGGTCCTCCTCCCATGCCATAACCCCTTTCCCTCCCGAGCTACCTCTCGCATCTCCTGGGTCCGGAAGCCGATGGTAGCCCGCCCCCGCGACAACCTTTCGTGGAAGAAACAGTCGCCATCGTACCATGTACCGCTTCAGGAACACGCTCTGGTCTACCTTCGTATTCCCCGAGTTCCGTTTCGCATGCCGGTGCATCTTCGGTCCGGTTACTGAGCTCGCGTGCGACCAGCCCAGCTCGGCGCCTGCAGCGCCGCCGGCGCGACCTTTGAGCGAGCCACTGAAGCTCGTGCTCGTGTTGCTGAACGCCGCCGCCGCCCAATCCGCCTCCGTCTTCACCCATCCGCTGACCACGACAATCTTCTCCTGCTTGATGTCTTGACCCAGGCCGTGCTTCGCATATGCATACCATTTGTCGTAGTTCCGGACGATGTACGTCTTAAAATTATGGTTGTCGAAGATCGTCTCCGCATGCGCCTCGCTCTTCAATGCGAGAACGGCGCCTTGCTCGGCCTTGCATGAGTACTCGGCACTAAGAGCCGCAGATAGGTCTACACCGGCCGATCTGCTGGCTGTTAGCATGAAGGCATTTCTAAAGCTAACCAGTCCACTCACACGTTCGCTGACGCACGCATACCACTGCTCTCGACTCCGTGGCTACAGTAACGGTCGGGCGCAAGTGGACAAGATCTGGGGTCGACTTGCAGTACGTTTTCGGGAAGGGGCTCTATATCCTCGAATGGCGTCGGCCAGAACGTGACCTTCTTCTCGGGAGCAGAGGTGTCGAGATTGAACAGTCTGATGAATGCGCCCTCGCGTATGAATCCCACATCGCCAATCTGGGGCTCGCCTGACTTGTGAGGCTCTGGGTACCAGAGAGCATGGCCGAGGCAGAGTGTCTGGAGGCTGGATGAATAGATATCGTCCGGAGCCGGCGGCCGACGAAAGAGGCGGAACATGATAGATGAAAGGTGGGGCCTTGAGATGCAGTATGAGCTGGTAAGGTAGTTATGACGGTGAAAAGCAAGCCTGGGACACGTACGCTGTGGGATCGATTGACCAGAGAATGCCAGCGGCATAGGTGTGATAGCTTCGCACGAAGAAGCTCGAGGCTAAACTTAGAATCGATAAATAGCCAGCGATTCGTATAGTTCCCCAAGCTGACCTATGATTCGTGCTACAGGACACAGTGCGCTATGGAACGCAACGTGCCATCACTACAGCCACAAAGGGATCTAATCTGAGCCGCGCTTAGAGAGGCAGAGCCAGATATGCCGGACGTTACAAGCGCCGCCCTGTTGACCAGGACTGGGCATGCCCGAACCGTCCCGCTAAGTTCAAGCCAGGAGAACCTGGCGAAGTGACCTAATGAAGCCTGACGTCCGGCAGGCCTGCCGGACTCTGATACACTGAGTCACCTTTGCCGGCGATGTCTTCAAGTTCGAAGAGCAGTGGTAGCTGCAAGGGAGCCTGTGAGACTTTCGCTCTCTATATCTTCGACGAATCGATTGCTACTCACATTCAGTCGAGCGATCCTTACTACGCTGGGAGCGGCACAAGCCATCTGATGATGCCATTGCGGTGGAACACTAGAGTTCCCCGGCTCGTCGCACTCTAATGAACGTGCGACCAGTGAGAAGCGAGGCTGGAGCAGCCTGCTCCTCTAAGGATGCGTTCGCTGCGCGGCGCGGCGTTTCAAACGGGGAGGCGCATTAGCGGAGTTTGTCGTGAGGTGCCAATCTTGCCGGCATAGTGCGGCCACGAGCCTCACATTGGTGCAAATGCGACACTGCTGCCGCGTCGGGAGGGCTGTCGAAATATGGCGCTGCGGTTGGACGAGGCGCGATGCTTCGTCTGTGCTCGCCGGTCGTGCATCAAGCAGTGCAATACAAGAGCACGTGACCACGAGAGGACGGGAGAAGCTCCGCGGTCTTTTTCAGCGCGATGCGCATCTGCAGCCTGCGATGGCCCGAGAATAACAAAGCGCAGAACTGGATGGAGGCCAGGGGCAGATGTTATGCGTCGGACATGTGAGGTCCGCGGCGTGATAAGGTTGCGTTGACTATTATTTTGATCAGTAGATGGCGAACGGTCGCTTGTGCATTGCGAGCCTTCGTTGCGGACAGGGCCCTTGAAGACCAGCAAGCGAGCAGCTGCGAGCGAGATGTTGAAGAGCCGGAGTCACAGAGCTTCGAGGATTCACCACTAGCTTAGCGATCCAACCCAACACCATCGCGCTGATTGACTAGCATGGTCACGACTGTTGTAAGTATATCTGATTAGTAATGTTGAGTAATAGTCATTTAGAGGATCTGAACTCACCGTGAATCTTGCCGCGGCAAATTACACTCGCGCCTTCCTCTTTCCCTCTGCCGATCCCGCTCCCTTGTACTCACTATCCTTCTTTACACACCCCATGTAACGTCTTGCGCACGAGGAGCTCCAAGCAGCTAGAAGCCGTTTTGCACCTTTGTGATCGGTCGCGGATAGCTGATAGTTTGTCTTGCGCCTCGCATCAAGGCGCAACATCGTGCAGCCTATAACTGCGCTATGACGCCATAGCAGATGCAAACGACCTTTCCTGTGAGTACCTTAGTTTCTGCGTAGACCTCGGGCTCGCGATAGTTCCGAGGGAGCTTGTTAAAGGCGGTGAGGGCGTGGCTCTAGCCGCGTTGCGCTCCTGCACGACAAGCGGCGGGAGAGCATTTGGGGAGCATCTTTCGCCTAATAGCGTACGAGAGCGACATGACAGCTGAGTTTTCCGAACTTCTGCGCACCGCTCCTGTTGAGTAGCCATGGGATCATAATGGAAGGTGCGGGTTGCGGATAGCCCGTCGGTGAACTAGCGCTGATATGGGCTATGAGAATGCCTGGCAATTTCGAGCGAGTGATACGGTCTGAAATGCTGTATTATGGTCAAGACCAAATGGCGGTGGTGAGTTAAAGCAGAGCGCGTCGCGACTAGCGAATCTGGAACGCCGAGCAGGCCGCGGGCGTCAGGATCACCGATCACGTGGCTAATTTCCCTTTTCAGTTTTCGCGTCCCACTGCGCTCGCGCCCTCTTCAGACAGCTCTTCTGTCTACGCCAGATAAAGGAGACATAACCGCTTTACTGGTGTCTCCATTCTCTCAGCAGCCATAATCATCATACAACCATTAGCACCTGAACTAACGGAGCATCTTCGTTACTTACCATGCAGCCCTCCAGGTCGCCTGTAGACAAACCTGGCACAACAACTTTCTCTGGTCGCAGGTTAGAAATCATTTCCACATCTCCCGGGGGTCCGCGTGCGTCTTCCTAAGACTTCCCGCTTCGCCAGAAGCATCCTCGTCCGCGCTAGCACCGGTACGCTGCGCACGCTCTGTCCATGGCGACCGCGCACTATGATGACCAACCGTATAGTGTACGACACCGGTCTGGCATGAGGTATGTATGTTTGTTTACATATGGAGAGTGGCCCAGGATTCATTTGTTTGTTCAGCACGCAACTCAAAAACGTCTCCAGCAGGGAAGGTGAACGTTCGCGACTCGATGGGCCGCGCACCGTGACCCCGCCTTACTCGTATGGCATGTCCGGTCGGAACGTTTGGAGTTGGTGCGCAGATGGCGCGAGGGACGTTATGTACGTACATCTCTTGGATCGGTCTCTTCTGTGTTTTTGTAGACCGACTTGTCTCGTCTCGTCTTCGTCTCCCAGATGATCCACATCCGGGGCTCACCGACTCTTCCATCAACCTATACCATGGCGGCATAGTAATCGTCAAGAAGCACTGCAGTTCTATTTCCCGCGACGTCTTGCGGCACCTGCAAGCTTTTCTCAGCACCGCTGGACAGCGTGTCTCGATTCGAAGTATCGACGGAGGACCGGCAACATCGCTGAGTTTCAGTGACCGGGAGGGGGGGGAGGCGAAGCCGGCGGTCTTAGATGGTCAGGATCTTGTCAGCGTAATAGGTACGTGTGAGTATTGAACGCGAAGGCCTTACGCTGACAAACGTTGTTCTCGGTAGCTTGAAAGCACATGCGGATGACGCGAACAAGCTGCTTGAGTAGAAGATGACAGTGCAGGCCATGTACGAGCTTGGCGTCATCATATCGTGACTACACAATGTTGATTGCATGCTTGCAATCTGGACAGGAGTGTTCACATCTACCGGCACGGGGGCCACCTCAGATGCTATTCATGTACCCCATGTGTCTCCACCTCATTTTCCAGTAAAGGAAGGGCGCAGAGTTACTCGATATCCTCCCCTGCACCGCGTTCAAGACCTTGAATACGACGAGTCCAACTTCTCCGCGGCCGTGCTGCGACATGATCTTCAAAGCGACCACCACCGACGCTACTCCTCTGCCGCATCCGTTACTCGCAGGTACGATGCCTCGACCACTGTTCCGCAGCATCTTCTAACGAATCCACACGTTCAGAATCGAGCAAGACGTGACCATGCCGCTCAGAACGCCGCGCGTTCTGCGCCCGGCATTTCGGCCACGTCGACCCATGTCTCGACAAGCACGGCCATCGCGATTGGAGCGTACTCGTCGAAACGCGCCAGGGAAAGTTCTGAGCGGTAGTGCGTGAGAGTGGGCGTCCGAGCGATAGATCGACCGCGCGCTTTCAGAGCTTGTCGACGGCTGCGAAAGATTTTTGTGTTCCCAGGGTGCGTCGCATTGCAACCATCGTCGAGTGTGCCCATAATAAAAATTTTGGTCCAGGTCGCTGACGAGGATTTTCATCGCTTCCAATGTGTGGGAGTACACACTACAGAGGGCTTTGTTATTCAATTGAAGGGATCGGGTGGAGGCATTTTATTACATCTCCGCGGTGTAATATTACCTCTCTGACAGACTATAGCTTATCATGGCTCCACCGGCTTCGCTCAGTATGCCCTGTTCCTGAACATCATCCCCCATGCCGTTACCTCTCTCGTCGTCCAGCACCGTTTTCCACTGACGAGAAATGCGACGCTGTGCCGCTTAAGCCTAACACACGCGTGAAGGGACGTCCTTATGATTGGCGAGGCCCAGACTAGGAACGCTGTTGGTGAACTTCACGCTTATGCCTCAATACGCCAGCTGACCATGCCAGGTTGCGTAAGGATCATTTCAGCCCTTCTGTCGTGCGACCAATGTTGCGTACGGCAGTCTGGCATGGGTGATCAGATTATCCTATATATCTGCAATAATATGGTACATTCGGTAAGGCGGGTAATGGTACACTATCGCATGCGCATTATGTCCTGGATACTACACAATCTAAGAGGTCTGTCTTTGCATCGTATCAGGAGGGTCTGTGTGTCAGGTACGAATTGAAGATCGCCGATATCTCCGCCAGCCTTGAACTTTGCAAGGAGTGCTCTAGACTTTGTGTCGAACACCTCCAGCTCATTGTCCACGTTGCCGAAGACGGCATAGTCTCCGTCTGGGGAGTACAGCGCGTGATATGCTCGACTCTCTGATAACTTGAAGACACGACGCAGCTGGCCCGTCCGTGAGCTGTAGGTGACAGCAGTCTTGTACGCATCACAGCCCACCAGCACCTCGGCGCCATCTGGAGAGAAGGCCACGGGCGATGAGAGCTGTTTCGGGTGGTCGACCGCGAGGATCTCTTCACCGGTCACTGCGCTCCAGATCTTCACTTGATAGCCTGATGCAGTGACTATACGATCTCCCTGGCGAGACATTGACCAGGTAAGTGCCTCTCCTGAAACATGCCGAAGCGTAGCGATGTGTGCGTATGTTTGGACGTTATAGAGGAGGCAAGATTTGAACAGTTTGATGTAGAGACGGGTGCCGTCCGTGGAGAAAGCAAGCTCGTGTACTTCTTCGTCCGCGCGGAAGGAGTGCAGACATGCCCCAGTCAAAACGTCCCAAATCTTCACGGATTTGTCGCCATTGGAAGCGGTAAGGTGCGAAGGCGGCTATTACTCCCGTGGAAGGTCGTCGCAGGCGCGGGATACCACAGACCTCCAGGTCCAGGAGATGCGAGAGGTGGACTGGGAGATGAGGGAGTCATGGCGCGGGAGGCGGAGGATGTTAGCGAGGTTGATATGCTAGAACGCGAGAACGAGGTACGTAATTCATCACAGTAGATCATGCGGCACATCTAAGATCAAAACACGCCAGGGCGAAGATCCTGATCCACTGGACGTTCTTCTCGACTACATATTGGAGGTATGTCTGCTGACGAATTGAAGGTGCTGTCGATTATGCTAACCATGACATTCATGGCGACAGATATCCGCCGTCGAGACTGCAATTGCAAGCGATAGCGATGTGTTAAATATCGTCGTGCGTACTGTCAGGAACATTCGATGATAGCGCAGAGGCTGAACTCAGATCAGGGAGGCAGTTCTGTGATCGATTTTGCGAGCTACCTTCGGCAAGTCCAGCCTCCGGTAGATGTCGAGGGCACGGGTGAGTCTTTTATCTTCTCGCTATACGGGATATCTAAACACAGCAACCTCTCGGACAGTTGGATCTCTAAGCATGGAAGATGTCGTATCACATGAAAGAGAACGCGCTTTCGCTCGTCGCACTACTGGTATCGCAGCGTCTGACTTGAAGAAATGGTCAGGCATCACCTCTAAGGACGGCTGTCACTTGGAGGATTTGCACGTCCTCATCTCGGGTCCAATGGAAGACCAGGGTAGACCCCTGACCCGAAAGCTGAAGCATTTTGTCTTTGCCCACTCCCGCGATTCATATGAAGCGTGCAGTTGCTCTGCCCTGTCGGCTGATGGCAAATTTCTTGCTGCATCGTTTTTCACTAACGACGTCCTCGTATGGCGGCTCTCCGACGGTCTCTTGGTTCAACGTCTACAACGTCAGGGCCATACAAGCAATTTCAATTCCTTGTCATTTCCCTCAAACAATCACACCCTCATCTCGGGATCCCTCGACGGGAGCGCAATCATCTGGGATGTTCGGAGTGGCCATGTCCTTCTACATTCGAAAGGGCATAATAAATCACTCGCAACTGTCGCGTATTCTCCTCATGGCTCACTCATCGTCATATCGGCTCAAGAAGACGCTCTGGTCTCTCTTCACTTCCCTGGGGTGAATGTCGGATTCGTTTATCACGTAGTGCTCGCCGTGTCGGTGCATCTTCGGACCTGTAACAGAGCTTGTGTGCGACCCGCCCACCTCGACCCCTGCGATGCCGCCCACATGGCCTTCAAGCGAGGCACCGAAGCTCGTGCTTGTGTTGCTAAAGGCAGCCGCTACCCAATCGGCCTTGGTCTTGACCCAGCCGCTGACAACTACAATGTCGTCTTGCTTGATGTCCTGGGAGAGACCGTCCCTGGCATATGTGTACCACTTGGGGTGATTCCGGATGATGTACTTCTTGAACGTCCGATTCTCGTATATCGTCTTCTCATGAGCCTCGCTCTGGAGCACGAGGGCCGCACCATGTACCGCTTTGCATGCGTAGTTGCCGCTTAGCGTCGCGGACACGCCTGTACTGGTCGTTCTGCTAATCTGTCAGCGGAAAGCATTCTGACGCGGTTCGGGTCCACTTACACACCCGCCAAGGCGTGTATGTTTTTGCTCTCTACTCCATGGCTGCAATAGTGACCGGGACCGAGCGAACGACTTCTTTCGTCAATTTGGAGTACGTGAGGGGGTAGTGGTTCCATGTTGTCGAACTGTTTCGGCCAATAATCGGACGGGACTTTGTTCTCGGGCGTAGAGGTGTCGAGGTTGAAGAGCCTGATAAACGCGCCACGGCGAATGAAGCCCACGTCACCGATCTGCAGCTCCCCAGACTTGTGCGGCTCTGGGTACCAGAGGGCGCGACCGAGGTACAGTGTCTCGAGGCTGGACGAATAGATCTCGTCTGGGGCTGATTGCCGGTGACGGAGTCGGCGAAACATTGCGGCTAAAGCTAAGACTGTAGCGCAACTTAGCAGAGTAGAGTGAGGGCGTGAAGCGATCCTGGGACAGTTTGTACCGTGGGATAGATAGCGATGAGAGCTCCCGCACCCCCGTGCCGTGAGCGCGACGATCATTTCGCACGGAAAAACACGACTCGGGCCAGACCTTAAATGATTAGCGCACGAATGACGTGTGGTATCATTTCCTGCTTCGCAATTGAGAGCAGTATGTAGCGTCAGTGTAAGACACCATTGCTCCAAGTTTCATCACCTGTAGTCTGAACGTGAGTCACGTAAGTCAAATGACGAGATCTTTGTAGCGTGATGCTGCTCGAGTCGTATAAAAATTTGGTCTCATTGATGGTTAAGTTGTCTCAAAAATAAAACCACGGAGATATCTCCGATGCACACGCAGTGTCCGCAGACAGCTGAATGTCGTGTAGCGGCGACAGCAAGCCGGGTCGAAACAAATTAGCTCACATAATTGCATCGTGGCGTTTGATGTGCCCGATCGCACGGCTCCTCGCCGTCAAGCCGGTGGGCATGATGCATACTCTATTCTCATGATCGTTTCACAAGCATCATCTCTAAATCCTCTGGCTGCAGATTGATTCAGGTATCTCAGTTGTATACAGCTCACAACTCTCTGAAGCTAACAGGTACAGAGAGCCAGGATGCCTTCGTGAGCCGTTCGAGGATCTGCTGGTGTAGCATGCTGATGTCATGGACCATGGAGAGGAGCCTGTGGCAATTTGAAGTGCAAGGGAAGTATAAAGCCGGATAATACGGCGGCTGTGTTTCCGAGAGCGCGAGGAAAGGGCGCTTGCGCGGAAATGCTCGCACAGGGAAGACTGAGACGCGTTCTCTATGAAGGCCAGCATCCAGTCTGAAAGCGAGCTGAGATGTTCTGCGGTGGTCAAAGGCCAAACAAACAACATAATAGCTGTATGGTAGGCAGCACAGATGGTCTGAAGTGTTTCTACAAGCAGTGCTGCACACTGCGAAAAGCAGCTGGTATATCTGAGGGTACCAGTCTCTTGTTAGCCGCCAAGAAGATCCAACTGGTGGAAAGTGACATGCTGTACAAGTCAGGCTTGTCGCATTAAGAGGGCTGAAAAAGAAGACCAGGTTGGCAAACAGTGTTGTGTAGGTCATTAAGCATGAAGGAAATCATGCATTGGTGGCGAGGGCTGTAAGTTCCTGTGCTTTGCTTGATTTGCCTTGAGTACAAGCATGATTCTCAAGCTGCAAAAATATTATACACTTTGTAACTGGCTTGAACATCCCCGGGAGTGTCTGTTGTGCGATTGCGCAATTCCCGAGGCTATCTAATGAGAAACATGATCAGCACAACAGGTATTTCACCCTGAGATCCTCACAGCACCACTCATATGATGACGATATGCCAATGAGATGCTTCATGGGCAGACTTGAAAGAGTTGCAGAGGTGCTGTTGCTGTCATGGACCCTGTGTATGATGATATACGAACACGCACCCTGCTTTGCATCCTCTCCACATACTCCCTCCTTTTCAAGTTCGCACGAGGTTAGCGGCACCTCGTGTGCAAATAAAAACCACACGCACTGTTGAGCGGCATGAAGCGTAGTGGTCAGATGTGATGTTCGATCCAGAGAGCGCTTTGACCAAGCCTGTTAGCTGCGGCATCGTGAGGTGGACCAGAATGAGGACAACAACAAGAGGTCACTAGATGGCGCAAAGACAGAAGGGAGCGTTAGCAGAGCTAACGCTGTACTTTAGGTTGAGCATGCCCATGGTATCAGTGGCAATACCAGTATGTCAGAGCGACATAATGCACTGGGTTTGGCGCGCAAACAGTTCGGAGAGGATCACGCGATCGGCTTACGTAAGTAGACCTTTTTGGGCTACGCGTCGGCATGGGCGCATATCGCGCCAGGCGGGTTCGGCTGCAACGTTCCGATTTGTCCCCGCGAACCCTGTGTTTTGCTCATCTCGCTGTGGGTACACTGATGCGCCTCTCCTTCATTATACATAATACGAGCGTATGTCGCACACCATCATGCGTTACAGCACACTCAGTACCAGTGTTGTGCTAGTTAATGACTAGTAAATGACTAGTTAAATAGTCACTGACTTTACTGAATGACTTAACTAATGACTGTAACTGGGTGGTTCTCGGGTCCTGATCTCGGAAAATGCCGCCGTCCAATTGGAGTGCACGGATATCTGCCTAGGTGCGAGTGGGACGTCTGAGAGGCAATGTTGCAAAACTTTCGAGGTAGTGACTATTGTATATACGACCTAAGTACAAGCGCGAAGTTTCTCACAGTCCTCTTCCCCTTCTGCATCCAAATCAAACAACCCATGAACCTCCATCTCTTCTTCTAGCCCGCGCAACCCCAGCTTGTCCATAGTGTCAGTCCAATATGTGTTCCTAAAATCGAATACATCATCAAGGCGGCAATGTAATGGCCGCCCATGATGCTGAGACATGACAGCGGAGAGATGTTCTGCCTGAATCTCAGATTCTGCGGCCCGCACCATTGCAAGGGCGATATCCTGCATGGACGGCACATTGGGTGCGCGCTCATTGGGCTGCGTCTCTGATGAGGCTTGCCCTGTTGAGCCAATCGGGCTGGCCTCAGGCTGGCCGGTCATGAGGACTGTGATGGGGCCAGGTGAGCTAGCACCAGGCTGAAATACTAAGCTCGGGCCAGACACAGAGGCAGTGCCGGAGAGTGCAGAACCCGCTGCTAACGGCGGCGTGACAGATGCAGCAATCGGTACGTTTGCCATGGGCACACGTACAGTTGGGGTAATAGTAGGTGGCGGTGCTGCTGCGCAGTCGATGAAGTGTCGCTCGCGCCGCTGGAGGTGCGTTGCCAGAGTGCCGCCAGACTCGTATTCTTGCATAATGTGCAGACTGAGCTCTGCAGAGTTCATGAGATTCGTACAAGTGAGACGTGAGCGGGAGGGGGTCATAATTCGCTTCAACAGGCTGAAGAAGCGTTCGACAGGGGCAACATTAGGGCAAACAGAGAAAATGCGTTTGGCAAGCCGCTGCAGAGGAGAGACTGGGCTACTGGCTGTCATGAAGAGCTTCCAGACTTCAAGAGGTGCGGCAGAATGCTGATAATGCATGATTAGCATTTGTCAGAGTTGAGACAAGCACACTCACGTCTGGATCATCAGGGTTTCAGAGCGATGCAGCAAAGTTTGGCATGTCTGCGTAAGTGCCGGTGTCTGAGATGTACTCCTTCACCTCATTGTAGAACGCGGGCGGGACAGTATCTGATGAAAACAGACGCTTCCAAATGCGGGCAAGTAGCGTTATGATGTCTGCGTGCCGGAAGCTCTTAAGTGGCGCCGCTCGAGTATGTGGATTAAGGATGACCGCTGCTACAAGGATGTCTTGATCACTGTCCAGCCATCGCTTATTGAGACCTGTTGCATACAGCCCCGCAGATCTTTTCTTCATTGGCATCAGCGTCCTTGTCTTCAGCAAGGTTAGTAGATCGAAGAAACAATGTGCCGAACACCAGGGCAACGTGATCGAGTCGACTCGATGTGGACTGGAGAATGTTGGCAGCTAGCGCAAGCGGCGTGAGATGTACCTTGATGCTGCAGGTTACAAAGATTATTGCTACGCCATTGTTAGCAAAGCTCGATTGCAACATACCGTGCGAGTCGGTGCCAAAAAATAGCCTTATCAATGATCGCGAGAGTTTCGTTTGCCTTTTCCTTTGCTTCCCTATCGCCTGTGACCAGCTGACTCTCTTGTCCGGCCTCGACGCGCCCTCTATCCTGGGAGACAACCTGTGTGATCCAGTTCTTGAGGTCGAGAAGACGCCGATAAGCAAGGTAATGAGAGATCCAGCAAGTAAGAACAGTGCAAATAACAGTTAGAGGAGACAAAACGCCTTGCTCCTCCTGAACCTTGCGAAGTATTGCAAGGACTTGGGTCTTGCTGTGGAGCCACCTGATCACTTGGTCGGCCTCAGCGGATGCTTCGAGAAATTTCGCACCGGACTTCTTGAAATAGTCGCCAACTACAAGGTTGATCTGATGAGCGTAGCACTGCATGATGATAAGATCTGGCCTTTCAAGTTGCAAGGCCTTCCGCACCACTAGCGACTCGCCGCTGTTGTCCGAAACGAGGGCAACAAGTTTGATGTCCCATGTCTCCTCCATACGAGCAAACTCGGCCCGCACATGTGCAAGTAATTTTTTTGCAGTCTTCCTTTCGCACGATGTATTCTTGAGTCTAGCCGCAAAGACCTGAAATACATAGGAGATAATTGAGAATAAATTTCTGTAAGCCTGCACATGTCATACCTTCGATCCGGCGGTGAACATGAACCCTAGGAAGTGATGGTAATTGCCTCCTGTCCAGCCATCCAGTTGGAAAGTCCCTTCCGCAACCTTCAAGTCCTTCAAGTTCTTCTGTGCCAAGCTCCGAACTCGCTCGAGCTCTTGCGAAATGAGAGTCTTTGTCAGTTTATTTCGTGAGAAAAGCTTCGCGCCTGGAATAAATTCGGCAACAAGTGTCGCCCACTCAGAATTCTCAACCCAGTGGTGGGGAAGATTTGCTGAAGCCGTCAAGCGGGTGATGAGCATTTAAAAGTGCTCTTGGCGGCTGTCCGTCCAGTGTGAAGCTGTGAGTCTCGGCGGCATAGAAATGGGGCGTTGGCTAGCGCCACGCCTGAGCAGAAGAACGTAAGCATTTGGCAGGGATAAACCCTGGCCAAATGACAATGATGTTGTAGTTGGGCTGGGCAACGGAGAGTAAGAGGGGGGAGTCATGGTGGCCGGAAGCTGTTGGAATTCTAGAGGAATAGGTGACATAGTGCGATCTGCATGGGTCAGCTTAGACGGAAGGCACCAGATGCCATCATTCTCTTTCACTTACCTGCCGAGCTGCCTATCAGGGGTGAAGGAAGTGCCCTGTGAAAGCCCACAGGGAGCGAGAATAATTGCTGAAGTCCTGGTGCCATGGGATGGGCTGTAGGCTCAGGCTGGACTGGTGGCGGATAGTACTGTGGTGTGGCAGCAGTAGGATTGAAGCCGAAACTACTCGACGGACCTGCCATGGGAGCTTCCATGTACTCGTAAGCCTCCTCCCCTCTGTTGGCGGCTGAATCTTTCTTCGTCTTCTCTGTGATTGCTTGTTCTTTGACCTCAGGCAGCACCCCATGCTTGCAATGGATGAGGTGATTTATCATTGTTGGCTTTGCAGAGGAGATCCAGATACAATCTGCATCTGCCTTTGACTGACTCCATACTGGTGAGATATTAGCAGCTGCTTATCACAACAATCACGGCCAATAAATAGTACTCACGTTGATCGTTAAAGGCCAACTGATTGAGATGAGGATCAGTCCGCTTTGCCTGATTAAGGGCGGAAGTGTAGCAGGCACGACAGATGACCTTGAACTTGTCAGAGGTAGGTGCACCTGGATTTGCATATGCTGATGGGTGCTTCGTCGACCTTAGTGGATGGTCGAGAAAGTGCCTTCTCCACCAGCTGGACTTCCCTCTGACATTCTCGGTGTGGTTCATCGAGCTCGGAGTGGTGGGAGACGTTCAGAGCAAAGTGGGATTGTCAAAAACGATGTATTCCACCTCACAGGCTATGTACACAAGGACACGCACAAGTCTCGAGGGCCTGGTGAGGCTGCAGCAAGCATTCGGAAGGCAGACGCGCGGGCGGCGCGGCGCATTTGGTAAATCACGTGGAGAGACCCAGAGCACCGCCCAGTCATCGTCAGGTGATAACTATTTAACTAGTCATTAACTAGTCACAATAGTCCACCTTTAACTAGTAATCCTAGTGATTAACTGAGCAACACTGCTCAGTACTACGGCAGCCAGCTATCGCTACGCTAATACCTCGCTACCGCATTCGCATTACATCATGGATGTTACACAGAACTAAGGGTCCGCGTGAGAATCGTGTCAGGAGAGCTTGGCAGTCAGGTAGAAAGTGTGTTTCCTCGAGCATCCTGTCGTCTTCACCCCACTCGAACTCTGCGAGGAATGTTCCAGATTTCGCAGCATATACTTGAAGAGGCCTGCGGTTGGCGCGTAAGGCGAGATAACCTCCGTTCGGAGAGTACGTCACATGAGTTGGTTCCTCTGATAGCTCGAAGACGCGGCGTAGCTGGCCCGTCTGCGAGTCGTAGGTGAGAGCAGTCTTGTCTGCGTCACAAGCCGCCAATACCTCGGTTCCATCTGGGGAAAACGCCACGGGATATGAAAGCTTTACCGGGTGGCCAATTGCGAGAAGCTCTTTGCCGGTCACCGCATCCCAAATCTTCACTTGACCCGGCTCTCGCGATCCGGTGACTATGCGATCTCCTTGGCGAGACAGTGACCAGTTGAGCATCGACTCCACTTCGTGCTCTATTGTAGCGGTGTGGGTATAGGTGTCCATGTCATAGATGAGGCAGGAACTGCGCAGTTCGGCGTATAGACGCGAACTGTCCGGAGAGAAGACGAGCTTGAATATTCTCTGATCAGCGCTGAAGGAGTGTCGGAGTTGACCAGTCGAAGCGTCCCAGATTTTCAAAGATCTGTCATCGCTACAACTAGTCGCGATGAGCCTTCCATGAGGAGCATACTCGACCCTGCGCACTGTCCCACCATGGCCCTCGAGTCGTAGAAGTACATGGCCACTCCGCACATCCCAGATAATGGCAGTAGCATCCTCAGACCCAGAGACGATAGAGTACTCTGTGGGGGAAAAGGAGAGGCAGTAGACCTGCTCTGCGTGACCGCGATGATGAAGGCGCTGAACCAGTAAACCGTCGGAGACTCGCCATACGAGGACGTTATTGCTGTCGAATGATGCCGCCAGAATCTTGCCATTGTGGGAGAAGGTAGCGCATTTGCAGCTACTAGATGGGCGTTGAGAGTCTGCAAAGGTGATATGCTTTGATTTCAAAGCCCGAGCCTCTGATTTCGTGGGGCCGATGAAGACGCGCCCATTTTCCGGGCGACCGGCGCTATCTGAGGCGATGTGCGGCCACTCCGCCCAGTCGCGAGCGGTAATGGAGCGACAGGAAAAGACGCGGTCCTGTTCATGGGATATGACGTCTTCCATGCTCAGCAATCCAACTATGTAAGAGGTCATTGAACTCAGATGCATCTATTTCGAGAAGACAAAAAACCCACTCGTGCCGTCGACTTCTACCGGGGGTTGTACCCGACGAAGATAGCTTGCAAAATCAACTACGCGATTACCGCCCTGAGTAATGGTCAGTTTTCGCACTCTTACAAGCAGTGTAGGGCGCGCACGATGATGCTTTGCACCTGGTCATCGCTTGCAATGGCAATCTCGACACCGGAAACCTATTATCGTAAATTTCTTCGCTTAGCGTAATCGACAAAACCATCGAGCGGACTTACCTCGAGTATGTAGTCCAGAAGGATGTCCAATAAATCGGGAGCCGTTCCCTGTTAATTCGTCAGTTCGAACGTCTTGTAGTACACCGTAATATACACGAACGTCATCACTGGACCCCATAACCTCTGATACGTTGACGTCTTCCACCTCCTGTGCCATCACACCTTCCTCTCCCGAACCACCTCTCGTGTTTCCGGGGTCTGGAAGCTGATGGTAGCCCGCGCCCGCGACGACCTCCTGCAAGATCCCAAATCGCCTTTTCGTCTTGTAACGCTTCAGGAAGGTACTCTGATCCCTCTTGGCCTCTGCGGTAGAGGGGTCTGACACGTTCTTCGAGTAGTTCTTTCCCTGACGCTGCATCCGCGGGCCCGTCACAGAGCGCGTATGAGAGCCGCCAAATTCTACTCCCGCGGTCCCACCAGCATGCCCTTTGAATGAGGCCCCGAACCTGGTACTCGTGTTGCGGAAGGTAACTGCCGCCCAATCCGGCGTAGTCTTAACCCACCCACTGACAACAACGATGTTCTCCTGCTGGACGTCCTGGCCGAGGACGTCTTTGACATACGCGTGCCATTTGTCGTGGTGCCTGATGATGTAAGTCTTGAGAACGTGGCTTTCGAATATTGATTCTGCGTACGCCTCGCTCTTGAGGGCGAGGACCGCGCCTTGCGCTGCCTTGCACGTGTAGTTGGCACTAAGGGCCGCAGATGCGCCTGCGCCAGCCGTTCTGCAGAGCGTCAGAGAGAAGGCGGTTTTCGAACGAACCAGTGTACTCACACGTCCACGGAGGCATGTATCTCTTTGCCCTCCACCCCATGGCTGCAATAATGATCGGGGACGAGTGGGCTGCTTCTGGAGTCGATTTGCAGTACGCTCGGAGGCAAGGGCTCTATGTCCTCAAAAGGTATCGGCCAGAACTTGACCTTCTTCTCGGGCGCAGAGGTATCAAGATTGAACAGCCTGACAAATGCGCCGTCGCGAATGAAGCCCACGTCGCCGATTTGTACCTCCCCCGTCACATGCGGCTCCGGGTACCAGAGGGCGTGACCGAGGCAGAGGGTCTCGAGGCTGGATGAATAGATCCCGTCTGGAGCAGACGGTAGACGACGGAAGCGGAACATGACGTGTTAGAGCGAGAATACTATGCGATAGAGGAAGGCAGGGGAATGACGGCGATGTGAAGAGAGCGCACCGTAGATCGATAACGCCGGAAGGAGCCATCAGCTTGATGTATTCGCACGAGGGGAGGACGCTCAAACCTTAGTCAACCGATGGCCCGGCCCGGTGCGTTAGGGCGTGGTGCACGCCAGATTTTGGGGCACTGACGATGAAGCTGAAGGATGTGGATATTTACTGCGGCTATCATTCAGATGATAGTGGGAGGCTGGCAAAGCGCACGTCGTGAGTCGAGTCGCTCAGGAGGCTGCACGTGCTCACGGTGTTGCGCGGAGATCGGTCGCCACAAAGAGATTATATAAGCTGTTGTCTTTCAGCTGCCACGTCAGACCCGCAAAGTGCAAACAACCACACTCATCCCTGGAATTTGACTTGCGTGCAAGGTGGCTATGTTACGCAATAAACTTGTGATATTCTTTATGCTGAGCCAGGCAACCTTACTAGCACAAGCCATGCCGCGTCTTGGCTTGATACCCAGCCTTCGGTGCGGCAGAATCTCAAAATTGCTTGACTATTGGCCCCTTTACCGATCGTGAGAAAAACGCTTGCTCCTGCATCCACTGAACTGCATGACAACGAATGCCATCTATCAGGAAAATAACTTGGCTCCACAGTGCGACTGCGACATGGTGCTAGAGGAACATTATGGGGCACTATGGAGCCAAGTCCTACTTCCTGATGTCCTACCCGAATAATTCACCACAGATATTCCTGGCGCGTTGAGAGCAACACTGATACGTATTACCGTTGCCACATACACACAGGCTGCTCTCGGTGCTCAGCCATTTGTTAAGAATCCTCGCGCCCATCAGCCTCGATAGATCAGCTGACGTCATTAAGATTTGCCTACGGCCCGCGCTTCGCTCACGAGTCCCACGGGCGTGCTTTGACAATCAATGCGCAGTGCGAGGAGTGATATCAATAAGGGTCGGCACGGCAGGGGCAGCAATGTATAAAGCACTCCTCGGGATCCGCCAACGCACCGCTCGACTCCTACACGTTCTTATTGCACCCAAGATGTCTCTCCTCGGCTCCGCTATTCCATGGGCCGCATTGGCGGGGTTGCTTCTGCTACTGTGGAAACTGGCGAGAAACTATGTCCTCCGGTCCCCTTTGGATGCGATACCGGGGCCGATGCCGCCGTCAGTTCTGAAGGGTATGTATCTACGGCGTTCCAACCCGTGGCTTACGAACAGTAATCATCTATTCATTACAGGTAATATGGCTCAGCTGCAGAACCGTGGTGCCTGGCCATTCCTCGATCATCTTACAAACGACTATGGACAGGTCGTCAAATGCACTGGAATGTTAGGGGTGAGCAGCTTTTTTGATGACGAGCTGGAAGTCATCAGTAATACTTATGTCCCCGCTCGCAGAGACCCGTACTGTGGGTTTTCGACCCGAAAGCCATGCACCATGTTACCGTCAAAGATCAAGACGTCTATGAGGAGGCGCCATCTCAGATTGTGTTTGTAGTTTCGCACTTACGGTATGCTCCTTCGGCATTTACATTCTTGATTTGCAGCGGACGCAAGCTGGGCACTGGTCCAGGCTTATTTTCAACCCTTGGTACGAGCAAGGATTCTCCAGTATCTGCGTCGTCGAGCCAACTGCGCTACCCTCAGGCGAACATCACCGCAAGCAACGCAAGCTTCTGAACCCTGTATTCTCTATCGCGCACATGCGCAGATTGACGCCGATATTCTACGAGGTCGTGAACCGCGTACGTGCGCTGCATTGCGAATGATGTCCGAGTCTATCTGATCTCGTTGGCACAGTCCCGCACAGGCATCCAGATGCAACTCAAGGCGTCCCAGACCGAGGAGGTAGATGTCCTTGTCTGGATGAGCCGCACGGCACTCGAGCTCATGGGTCAGGGCGGCTTTGGACACTCCTTCGACCCGCTGGTGGAGGACGTCCAGAACGATTTCGCAGTTGCCGTCAAGGACTTCAGGTACGTCTGCCCTTTTCTGCGTCTTCTCTATCATGCCGACTATCGAGACAGCCCGACGCTATCCCGTCTCGCCCTCTTCCGTCTGGTAATACACGTACTCGACCCTCTCATCGACCTCTGTCAGCGGTACCCTGCCGTCGGCGCGTTCATTAAAAGGCACTTTTATCTCGTGCCGCATAGCGGCATGCAGCGTATGAAAGCTCTCCTCGATGTCCTGGACAGTACATCTCGGCAGATCTACGCGGAGAAGAAGATTGCGCTTGACAGCAATGACGAGGAGCTGAAAATTAAAGTCATGGAGGGCCGGGATTTGATGAGCGTCCTGCGTATGTGCGCGTATCCCAGGTTTAAGCATTCGATGCTAATCCAAGACGTCCTCGGTAGTGCGGGAGAACATGAACGCCGACTCCGCAGACAAGCTGCCTGAGGAAGAAATCATCGCACAGATCACGTATGGCTATTGCGTACCTCGTACGGGTCTGAGGACGCTGATCGCTGGTGTGACTTATGTGTAGGACATTCACGTTGGCTGGTACCGACACCACATCGGGCGCAATGGCGCGAATCTTGCATCTACTCTGTCTTAACCCCGACGTCCAAGAGAGGCTGCGTGCAGAGCTTCTCAAGGCTCGCTCCCAGAACGATGGGCAGGATCTGGAGTACGACGAGCTCGTGAGCCTGCCCTACCTAGATGCCATCTGCAGGGAGACGATGCGCCTGTAGGTAGCACTTTTTGATGACCAACGAGCATCTCTAACGGGAGCTGTGGCAGCTATCCCCCCGTTGCATTTGCATCTCGCGAGTACGTTGCACCGGTTGTATCACGGTACTTCAGCTGATTATGATACATTCGTAGGAGCATGCGCGATATTATCATGCCGCTCAGCACGCCGCTCACGCTACGCGACGGCACCTCCACCACGGCCATCCACGTCCCGAAGGGTACTGCCATCATGATCGGCATATACTCGTCGAACCGCAACAAGGCGATCTGGGGCAACGACGCGTGCGAGTGGAAGCCTGAGCGCTGGTTAGATAGCAAACTTCCCGAGTCGGTCACGGATGCGAAAATTCCTGGGGTATATTCCAACTTGCAAGTCCAGTCCAGAACCTACCGACGCTGCCCCTCGCTAACCAACTCACAGGATGACCTTCAATGGCGGAGGGCGGGCATGCATGTACGATCTAACCCGTCTCTAAAGCAAGTCTGCCCTAACTCACCTCTATATCTGCAGCGGCTTTAAATTCTCGCAGCTCGAAATGAGTGAGTACCCAGCACTTTCTGCGGTACACTGCTGACAGAACGCTCCAGAGGTCTTGCTTGCGATGCTGATCACGTCCTTCCGATTGTCGCTTTGCAAGGGCAAGAACGGCGACATTTTCTGGAATCGCGCCGGCATCGCGTATCCTACCGTGGGGCCGGACGGCAAGAAGCCCAGCCTGCCCCTCAGAGTCGAACCATTGGAGGCGTAACTGGATAGTGGTGTACATATCTATATTCGAACTTGTCATGGGAATTGCACATAACTCCCGCGCCGCCCTTGTTGAGCCACCGCAGCCTGGTATGACTGGACTGGATAGCAATCAATGCGTCCGACGGCATGTATGAGAATACCAAGCGGATTCCAGCAGATAGAGACGTAGAGGATAGAAATGTCATATTTTGCGCGCAAGAGACGATGTACATGGCGGCCGTTGTGCGAATGACGCTGACAAGCTAGAGTCACGAAGAATAGTAACAAGAGCGCTTTGCTTCTTTAGGGCGCTCCGCTCCGGGCCCTTTTAAGTCGCTACGTCCCGCGCACTCTCCTGGACATCCTCGTCTAAGCCTGGGCATCGTTGATTACCCTGGGGCCGACTATCTGTGGTAGCTCTCAGTTTTATCTTTATCACTACTAGCATCAACATTGGACATTTGCTTTTATGGCTTGCCGCAAAGCGTAGCAGTGCCACTTGAGCATGAATCGTGCAGGTGCGATTACACACAAAGTGTAACCTGGAGCCCTCTGACCAGAGTTGCTTAGAACGCAATACATGACACCTTTGAGGGGAGGGGTAGACATTATCAACCAGATGAGCTGCGCGGTGCTCGAACCTTGTACGCTCATCGGCGTGTCAATTGGAAATGCCTGGGATAGTTGCGCAGATACTGTGATAAATTTGATGTGCATGTCTTGTAAAATTCATATTTTTTTGTACTTAACAACAGCCTAACAATCCGCTCGCACTCGGGCCAGTCACTTCCATTAATCTCCTCCTAACAGCCTGCAGCACATGAAGACTATCCTCGACGCCCCGAACAGCGCGTTCCGACGCGTCTACCCTGAAGAGAGAGTGTGTCTAACAGCAATGGTCACTCAACCGGACAGCCTTGGGAAGCTGGAATGTAATTCGAGACATGCAGATACGCGGGTAATGAGCGTGAAGGGTTGGCATGGATTCAAGTTGCCCTCGTCAATTTGGGAGAAAAGGCATGCAGGCGCTGCAGATAAGTTGCCGGAGGAGAAGACGGCTATGCAGATTAGGTACGCCCTTGACCCAACATTTTACGACTACACAATGTTAGCTATACGATCTATACACAGGATGTCCACGTTTGTCTCCATAAATACGATCTGAAATGCATCAATGCGGACATACACTTACTACGTATCCGTCAGGAACCGCTGCGCGCAGAGCTGCTCGAGATCCGCCCCTGAAATGACGACCGAACTCCCTGGAATATAAGAAGCTCGTGGACATGTTTATACAGATGCGGTTCTCGGAGCAGTTCTCAGACGACGACTGACGCCGTTACTCTTCTATGGTACTCCGAGTGGCTTGCTAGTTACGTCGCGCTTGCCATTCCGCCGTAACTAAACAGACGATTGTTCATCTTCAGGAAAAAGCAAAGCGTGGTCATATCGCTTGACACGCCGCTCTCCGAGTCGTGCTCCCTGTTAGACGAGACTTCAACTACATCGCTTCATGTCCCCAAGGGCATAAGCATTATGGGAGAGCTGCCTGACTCGGTGACGGACACGAATATTTTAGAGTGATTTTAACCCGCCGTCCAACATAGTAGTCCTTTTCGACAGCGACAGCAAGGGTATCTGTGTTTTAGTCAATTTGAGCCAACGTATTGGGCGCAATTTGATATTTCTAGCCCTGTTTCGGCGGGGATTCTCTCTGGCTAAAAGCAGTCGTACCCAGACTAAGCTCGTACGCATGCGTATCGTTGCAGCAAATTAATATATCAATATTGTGGAATATGGATAAATCTCGGCGTGCTTCAAGAAGTCCTATGGCTCGATCAGGCTCGTCACTCGAGGCCAGAGCGAACTGTCGAAGTAGTCCACATGAAATGTGGGGCTCGAAGAGCTTACGCGTGCGTAGCTGTCGTGGTGGCCAACGTATTGGGTAAGTCGTGATGATAGAATTTTGCCTAACTATCGAAGACTCGGGTACATTCTGATAGACACGAGAAAATCATATACAACAGCGTCCATAGTGTGTCAACTGTAACCTCATGCAACTAGCTGCGCTCTGCACATCAAAGAACTGGTCTCAATTTGGTCTTTGAGCCTCAAAGCGCGAAACAGACAGGTTCATTGTAGCTGACCCGCTCCATACTAAGACTCAGTCAGATTTCGCACCTCGTAGAGTGCGTAGTGCAGCACGTACATTATTTTGAAGGTCCCGCATGCTTTGCTAGTGGTTGGTCCTAATCAATCGAGGCGACGTCTCGCACCACTCCAAACCTGCGTCGTACTTTGTAGCCGCTCACAAACAAACATTGGTGTCTCTTCGTCTCCCCGAGCGGGTCTCCTAAGTAGCCTTCGCCGTGTCGGCTTATCTCCGGGCTTCTTCTGCTGTGCGTGTTCGTGCCTTGAAAAATGGTTATCATCCAGTCCGCTGTGGTCTTAACCCAGCCGCTGACAAAGACGAGGTCCTCTCGCTCGACATCCTGGAGTGCAATATTCTTGACATATGCATACCAATTGTCGTGGTTTCTGAGGATGTACTTCTCGAGAAGATTATTACCAAATATCTTCTCGATGTATGCCTCACTCCTGAGCGTGAGGACCGCACCCTTCGCCGCCTTGCACGTGTACTCGGCACTTGGGTTGTAGGATATGCTTGCAACGCCGGCCGTCCTGCGAGGCGTCGGCATGAAGGTAAGTCTAGGATAATTCGATCCACTCACACGTCCGCTGAGGCATTAACTTCCCTTCTCTCAACTCCATGGCTGCAATAATGACCAGGAACAAATGGAAGACGCCTAGAATCGATGTGGAGCACGCCCGGAGGCAAGGGCTCTATGTTCTCGAACGGTGTCGGCCAGAATGTAACCTTCTTCTCGGGCGAAGAGGTATCTAGGTTGAAGAGCCTGACGAATGCTCCATGGTGGAAGAAGCCTACGTCGCCGATCTGCGGCTCTCCTGATTTGTGCGGCTCCGGATACAAGAGGGCGTGGCCCAAGTGAAGCGTCGCAAGACTGGATGAATAAACTTCCTCTGGAGAGGGTGACGGACGAGAGATGCGGAACATGTTCACCTGAGAAGGGTGGTGTGCAGCGGATTGGTGGAGCAGCTATGGCGGCGTAGAACAAGCCTGGACGTGCACGCGGCAAGATCGACGGCAGGGACAGTTCCAGCGCTATGAGCCTGATGATTTCGCACGCATAAAAGACAGATGCGCACCATATACTGGTTGATAGCTTCTAGGCAAGCTAATATAAGCTCGAGGTAAGCACTTCTTTTCTGCCATTCGTTGGGCTTTAGGAATTGTGATAGTCCGCATTGGTGATGCGCGTGCAAGAATAGTGAGAATGTCTGTTCCGACATAGCAGCGAAAGAGCTGCCGGAGAATGCAATAATAGCGCTAGCTATATGAGTCAATAAGCTGCAGACATCGCTGGCTACGTCCTAGATGTGCTGCCGCGAGAGTATTGGGGAAGCATCTGTCGCCAACGCTCGTGCCAGTTAGCCATAGATGGTCCTTGTATGCAATTTTGCGCGTATGCCATCTCTCTTTTCCGTAGGCACCTCTACGTTACGCTTATGGAGGAGTCGTGCAATGTAGCTGGACTCCAACTGGAAGATGTGACACGTCAAGCATACTGCATCGATGACTCAGCGGTGGTCAAGAGGCTGCGAATCGCTGTCGAGAGAAGGAGAACGTAAAATGTGTGTATTTTATATGATGTATACATGGGGAAGGTGTATCTGCGGCGTCGAGCAATATGGTGACCATGAATGTAAGAGTTTTCAGGAAATCAGACATCGCGACACGCTTATGTAAGAACCTCTTTTGGGCCTTCACGTGACCGTGGCTGACCGGCACGAAGGACCGCTCCGCTCGCGACTTCCCATTCACAGCCCCTATCAGGAGGCATCCACGACCAGCAATGCGGCAGGTCTTGCCAAGCGTCGCCTCGGCTGCTGCGACTGCGCGCGAGCGCCGAGTACTCAACATCGTCACCGTGGAGGAAGTAGACGCAACCGTCGGGTTCTCAGGGTGATGGCTGCACACCTCATTGGCAAATGTCGCCTTGCTGGCGAATGAGCTCGTCGTAGTGACAGCATCTACCGAATAAGACGCCGAGGTTCATGGGCAGACAACTGACGGCGCACCCGCAGTATCTTGAGTGTCGCACATAGATACTGTGAGGTTGATGCCACAAAGGTTTGGTAACTCTACTTAGTCTACTATCAGCTACTATGAGTTCATGCGTACCTATTCTAAGCCCGCTGCATAGCCATACAACTCTTGCTCACACTGCGCAACCTGACTCTACGCAGCTTGACAGAACCTATATTGAATCGGAAGAAAGCGAGGAGCCTCAGCTCTGTGAGTTCGAGTCGCTCCGGCTCGCTCGACGCGAGGTGGGCAGAAAGTGGGTGCTAAGTATGCCTTTTGATCGAATTACTGTATGCGGCAGTGTACCTGAGGACCCCGGGGGTGAGACCACCTAGAGGTAGCTAAGCGAATTGTTTCAATAAGATCTGAATCGTGGATGCCTCCTGGCCCCTATTCCCCTCTCGCCAACGAGCTGGTGACTAAAAGTTCAAAATCGCTTTGACTGTCTCTGCCGTTTTATGGGCGATCACCCGATTGCAGACTCAAGTATTCACGCCGGAGCTGCCAGCGCCAGACGAGTTTATTCGCGCGTCGGCCCTCGGATTCGACGACCCATCGGCCTGCAACAGATATCAATGTCGACACTCTTCCTAGACGTAGCTAGCGTACACTCTGTTGCTGAGATACTCACGGCTTGCCGGAGCCCGGCCTCTCGCCGTCACCAACAACACCCTTGCTTGTCTTAGCGCGGCGCACGCTTCTTGTCATGCGACCCAGGATTCCCCAGCGAAGCTTACTTGTGTCGGTACATGCGCTCAGCAAATATTCACGTTGAGAACTTTCTGCGTCACCTGCTGTACTTCGTCTCCGAACTCCGACTTCGACATGTCGAGCTTTTTACTCACCAAGTTAGAGCTACGGCCAAGGGCTATCAACTTTCTCGCACGTAATAATAATTTCCTCAGCTCTTCATCTTCCACCTTGAGTCGAGCCCGGAGCTGTCCTCCGAGGCTCTCGCCTCAGCTCTACACCGGCATGCAGCTGCGATTTACAACGCCAAACGGCCGTCATGCACACACAAATACCTCCAAAACAATCACCACGAACCTAAGTCTCTATCCCACCAATATGTTGCACTTGAGTTCGGCCGATGGTAACGACTTCTTTCAACGTGCCGTTCCGTTCCTTATGGGCCTTATACTGTTGCCATTGGTAGGTACTTTGATATAGCACTATGAATTTTTACGCATTGCGTGATCTATCTCGCACTTCATCTACAGTATATATTTGCTCCGACAAGCCACATGCGAGGCAAGTATTTCTACCCTCTCTCAACGCTATCGCATGCGCATTGCATCTTGGATGTTACATAATCTGAGAGGCCCGTGTAAGAAACGCATCAGAACAGTCTGGCTATCAGAAATAAATCGAATCTCCTGGAGGTATCTATCATTTTCACCCAGCACAAAGGTTGCGAGAAATGTTCCAGACTTCGCGTCGTATACCGCGAGATCTCCGCCGGTGTCTCCGAAGACAACGTAGTCTCCGTTCGAAGAGTACGCCGCGCAACGAGGTTTTTTTGATGGCCTATAGATACGGCATAGCTGACCCGTTCGTGAGTCGTAGGTGACAGCCGTGTTGTCTGCGTCGCAAACTGCCAGCACCTCGGCGTCATCCGGAGAAAATACGACAGGCCACGATAATAGCTTCGGGTGATCAATCGCCAGGAGCTCTTCTCCTGTTGCCATGCTCCAAATCTTCACCTGATTCTTGACCGATGCATCGACTATGCGATCTCCTTTATGGCACACTGACCAGCTGAGTGTTCGGTCCGTTTCGTGCCGCGGCCTAGCAATTTCAGCAAAGGTATTGGTGTCGTGGATATAGCAAAAGTAGGTCACCGCAACACAGAAATATGAGTTATCGGGTGAAAAGGCGAGGTCGTAGATGGAATTTTTTTCGCCGGTGAAGGAGTGGAGACATACTCCGGTGAAGGCGTCCCAAATCTTCACAGACGTGTAGACACCGGAACCGGTGGCGATAAGCGCGCCGTCGGGGGAGTATATAACCCTACGCATAGCCCCCTCGTCTCCTACCAGACGAAAAAGTACGTGACCGGTCTTAATGTCCCAGACAATCGCGATCTTATCAGCGGATCCCGAGACAAGGACGCAATCAGTGGGAGAGAATGATAGAGACCAGACGTCGTATTTGTGACCCTGCTGGTGTAGGCGTTGAACCAGCAGACCATCAGAGAGCCGCCATACAAGGATGTCATTATGCCTGAAGGACGCTGCCAAGAGCTGGCCATCGCTCGATACAGAAAAGCAGCTGCAGGGATGGGATGGATGCCTAGAGTCGATGAAGAGGAGCCGCTTCAATTTCAGCGGCCAAGCCTCTGCTTCCGTGGGCCCGATATGAACGCGTCCATCCTCTAAGCGACCAGCGTTGTCACGAATGACGTTCGGCCAATCGGCCAAGTCGGAAGCGGTAATGGTGCGCCTCGCGAAAGCGCGATCTCGCTCATGTGATATAACTTTCTCCATGCACAGCGATCCGACTGGGCGAGAAATAAAATCATACTTAGATGGTGCCATCATGAGACGATCACGAACATACCGGCGCCCTCGACCTCCACAGGTGGCTGCAGTTGGCGAAGGTAGCTTGCGAAATCAACTACGTGAATGCCACCCTGAGTGAATTCAAATTCAGTCATCGCCCATCTGGCAGATACATCTCAAAATACTTACGACGACGCTCTCCACGTCACCATCGCTTGCGATGGCGATCTCGACGCCAGAAGTCTATTATCAGAGGCTCCCGTCTTAGCGCGAGGACTCACGAACGGAAACGGGAAGAAGGCGTGCCTCCAAGATATAATCCAGCAGGATGTCCAGCGGATCGGAAACCTCGCTCTGGTGTCTTGTTGGTTGGTGCGCCTCGCAATGTACCGTGGGGGAGCACATACCTCGCTTACAAAACCGAGATCGCCCATACCGTCGACATCCTCCTCCCCTCTAGCGATGACCCCTTCTCCTGCCGAGGCACCTCTCGCATCTCCTGGATCTGGAAGCTGGTCGTAGCCCGCGCCCGCAACCACCTTTGGTAAGACCCCTAGTCGCCATAGGATCTTGTAACACCTCAGAAAGACGCATTGGTCCCTCTTTGCCGCCATTGGAGGGGCTATTGACGTGTTCGTTGTGTAGTGCTCGCCATTTCGATGCATCTTTGGGCCCGTTAAAGAGCTCGTGGACGATCCGCCCATTTCGGCTCCGGCAACACCAAAGACATTGCCTCCGAGTGATGCGCCAGATTTCACGCTAGTGTTGCAGAATGCAGTTGCTGCCCAGTCCGCTTCAGTTTTGACCCAGCCGCTGACCATGATGAGCTTCTCCCTCTTGACACGATGTCCAAGAACGTCCCTTGCGTATCTGTACCAACTGTCGTGGTTCCGAATGATATACTGCTCAAGTACCCGGCTCTCGAACATCATTTCGGAGTGGGCCTCGCTTTTGAGTACGAGAACTGCACCTTGGGCTCCTTTGCACGTGTACTCGGCATTGAGGGTTACGGAGACACCTATACCGGTCGTTCTGCTGACAGTCAGTGACCAAACATCTATCGGGTGAGTTATTCCGCTCACACATTGGCCGAAGCATGCATTTCTTTGGTCTCGACACCATGGCTACAATAGTGGTTGGGAGCCAGCGGGCGACGCCTGCTGTCAATCTTGAGCACACCCGGCGGTAAGGGTTCGGCGGCCTCGAAGGGTGTTTCCCAGAACGTAACTCGCTTTTCGGGTGCAGAGGTGTCCAGATTGAACAGCCTGACGAATGCACCTTCGCGTATGTAACCCACATCGCCGATCTGCGGCTCGCCCGTCACATGCGGTTCCGGGTACCAAAGGGCACGACCCAAGTGAAGCGACTCGAGACTAGATGAGTAGATTTTGTCCGGAGCTGGTGGCCGACGATGCAGACGGAACATGAGGTGTCAAGGGAGGGCGTTGTAATTCGTAGCCTGAGGAGTTGGGATGATGACGGCGTAAAGTGAGCCTGGGACGTACTACACGCTGCGAGTCAACCAGAGCAAGGCCAGCTCTAGCCCCATTAGCCGATGGCTTCGCACGAGAAATTGCCTAAAGCCTAGATGTTGTGTTGCTAAACAATTCGCGTCCCAGGAACACATACCATCGAGAGGCTACTTCTCAACATAAAAGTAAAGTGAGCAGTTGATGTTGTCATATTTTAGACAAACAACCGATTGCATCGAGTGGTGTATCACACAAATTCTCCGTCATAGGACGTGCGCCTTGCTCTGTCCAGCCGCTCTGTCCGGCCGCTCTGCCCTTCTTTTGACATTGACCCGTCTATCACGACCTTGCCAATGTTCTAGCCAACCGTATATGAAAGGGAGCGATTGAGCTGTTACCACGCTGAGCCTCCAGCTGTAGTATTAGAGTCAGGAAAGGCCGTCGCAAAAGGAGGTCACAACGTTCGCTCGGAGGCCTAGATAGCTGATTGACGGCTCCGCTTGTCTCTCTCTCTCCGTTGTCCTCAAAGGGTTCGACATTGCGCACATATCCATGCAAAACACAAATCCAAACTAGATAGCGAATGTAGCTTACGAAGAGGTCGATGACGCGTGGTGTTGTTGTCAAAAGGACAAGTCTGGAGCTGCGTCAATAATAATCGTGCGAAAAGATCGCCCCACGTTGGCGCCTATGTTGGGCATCGACTTGCCCTTCGTCATGCGACATTGCGCTGACGTCGTACGAAACCAAACTCCTCAATATTCCTGCCATGTTTGGACTCTATCGTCCGTCAAGTGCTTCCGATCCAACCTCGCCTCACGTTGTCTATCCCTCAAGCCTGTTCTCGTTAGACCTTGGGTATGCCTTGTGGTACCCAGAACCTCACGACTCGACAGGCGAGCCGCAAATCGGCGACGTAGGATACATTCGCAAGGGTGCGTTTATACGACTCTTCAACATCAATGCGTCCAAGCCCGAGCATCAAGTCAGGCGCTGGAAGCCATCATTCGAAGTTACCGACGCTCTCCCTTCTGACGTCTTCGACCTCGACAAACGACACAGGCCAATTCATCATGGGCACTATCCTAGCCATGGAGTGAGAAAGCGGGAGATAAGTGGGTCTCTTTCGTGCGTCCAACCCGTTCTGTATGAATGTCGCCTGTCTTGACTGCGCCTAGTCTCGGAGAAACGGGGGCTTTAGCGACCCTGAGCGCAGGCTACACATGCAAAGAGACCCAAGGCGCGCTGCTGGTGCTACAGAGTCAAGCGTACTCTGAAACTGTGTTTGAAAGTCGCCGATTGAAGATTTACATGGCTCGCCAGCACGAACACTGGTGCGCTTATGTTCGGGACGTTCTGGGACACGAGGTCAGCACGGAGGATATTGTCCTTGTGGGCGGATGGGTCAAGACATCCGCAGACTGGGCTGCGATGGCGTTCAGTAACTTGGTCACGAAGCGCCATGCCGCGCTTGGAGGCAAAGCTGGGCAATTCGTTGGCTTCAAAATCTTGGGGTCGCGTACCAGAGTACATTCAGGTCCGAAAAGCCATCGTCAAGGGTCGAGATATCGCGAACCCGGGGAAGAATCTCCGACTTCGCTCGAACAGGACCAGTCAATTTTCCTAATGCGCTATAGGATCAAGCGTAGGTTTGGGGTGCTGAAGACAATTGTTGCCGGCGCAGGTTACGATCGGCTGCCGGGAAATGGTAGTCGAGGTGATGCGGAAGACGGGCTCGTAGCTGAAGACAGCGAGTCCGGAGACAATATGGAAGATAACGGTCTACAGTGGCTGGAAGAGAAGGTGAGGAGCGTTCCGCACTTGAGCAAGGAAAGCTCATTGAGGAAGCCACAGGTCGTCGATCCGCTAGATGTGCTGCTTGATTACATCCTCGAGGTAAAGTCGTCCACAGTGTTGCTTCGCGTTTTGAAGTCTCAGTGCGTAGCGCTGCTCAGGTATCAGATGCCGATGTCGCCATCGCCTACGATCAAGATATCGACAGCATAATAGGGGTATGTGCTTGCTTTAATGGACCATGTCACTACTGACCATTTGTATGGCAGGACGACGATCGGCCGATAGACTTTGCAACATACGTCCGCAAGGTTCAGCCACCTGTCGAAGTCAAGGATCAATGTAAGTGTTCATATAGCAGGCACAGCCAGTCGTCTTAATGTTCCGTGCAGACGGGACGATATCGATATCTGAGCTACTAGCCCGCGAACAGTTCGAAAAGCTAGAACACCGTCTCATCACCGCCACTGACCTTCGTAAATGGCCCAATGCCACCCTTGACGATGCTGGCACGTCTGCAATGGCCCCTGTGCAGTTTACCGACGACCCTGACCTATCGCTCGTCTTGCCAACGAAATGGCGATACCTCTGTTTCGACAGCCGACTCACAGCGGACGCCGCACCATCCAGCGTGCTCGCATCATCTCCGAATGGCGAGCTTTTGGCCGCCACCTCCAGTGAGCTGGAGATAATTGTCTGGAGATTGTCAGACGGATTGTCAGTTCAGCGATTAGGTCATGAAGGCCACACAGAAACTATCGCTTCCATCGCCTTCTCTCCGGACGGAGGTAGCCTCATTTCTGGGTCGGCGGATAGGACCGCAATCGTTTGGAGCCTGGAGACTGGGCGAGCACTGCTGCGCCTTGTGGGCCATCGTGAAACCATCGAGCATGTTCAATACATCACCCACGGTTTGCGCATCGTCACCGCCTCCACAGACTCCGCAGTCAAATTCTGGGACGCCAAAAGCGGCGCGCCTCTTTGTCACTTCCCCCATGGCGACGAGATCGAGCGACTGTTGATCTCCCCAGACGGCTCTCGTTTTGGCGTTCAGATGAAGCATTCAGTAGCGCTCTACGACACGGACTCCATTGTTCAGCTCGCCGTCCTTGAGCCTTCGCACGGTGCCAAGGTGGCGACCATAGCGTTCTCCGCTAGCGGAGATCGCTTATTCATTGGCGATCATCGCGGTGGCGGACGCGTCTGCAACACCGATAACTGCAAAGAGGTGATGCATCTCGAAGATTTTCCTAGCAAGACCCAGGCTTCTGCCTTTGCGCCGGATGGCGGTCCTCTCGCCGCTGTCTGGAGTCAAGCGGTGGCCATCGTCACCAGGGACGGAACGGTCGACTTCATGTATCACTTGGAATCGCTTGGAACTGCGGTAGCATTCTCTCCTAATGGCGAATTCATCGCCGCAGCCGGAGGTCTCAACGAGGGCGAGGGCGAAATCCGGGTGTGGAGCACTACGTCGCGACAGCTTATTGCAGGGTTCACGGCGCCCTCGTCTAACATCTGGGATACCAAATTCTTGCCGGACAGTAGACGGTTGTTGACTTTTGCAAAAGAAGGACCGGCGTGCCTGTGGAATGTTGGGGATGCTTTACGCGTACGCTAGCATTCTGCCGCACCGCTCTCAGACCGCCAGCTGCAAAGAAGTCGTAAATAAGTGTAGATATTCATGTGCACTCTCACCTGCGTTTCTGAGCATATATACAAGGCTCTGCACTCTGAGCCTGGAAGCGGTCGTTTCAGCCTTGAGATATCGAGAACACGCATCGCACATGATCGTGCGAAAGTTAGCGCAAATGACGCGCGTTTCGCGACGCGCATCGGTCTCCGCTTTCGTCCTGCTATCGGTGACCAAGTTCCCGTATTCCGTCTTTCGGGCGCTGCTCTCGCCAGCTTCAGCCATGTTCAAGATCTATCGACGCTCGCGTTCGCCAGATATACCCACCCCTGACAAAATCTACCCTGCTAGTCTCGCCTTGCTCGGCCAAGGATACGCCCTCTGGCGTCCGGAACCGCATATTACAGGCGAGCCGCAGATTGGAGATGTTGGCTACGTCAGCGAGGGCGCGTTTGTCAGGCTCTTCAACATCAATAACACGACGCCAGAACACCAAGTTTCTTTCTGGGACACACAGTTCGAGATCGTACCAACGCTACCACCAAACGTGTTTCGCATCGATCAGCGCCACGATTCGATAGGGCCCGGCCCATTCTGCAGCCATGGTGTTCAGGAGAAAGAGACTCGCGGATCCATCTCTGTGTGAGTGCAGATCTCCACGGATTTCGACGTCGTGCTCATGATTCGGATAGCGCTGCATTCGCGGATACGGCCGCCGGCCTCAGCGCAGGTTACACATGCAAGGACGTCCAGGGCGCGCTCCTCGTCTTCCAGAGCCACGTCACGTCCGAGACCGTTTTCGAGAGCGAAGAGCTCAAGCGGTACATGGTCCGCCAGCACGAGCACTGGTGCTCGTATGTGAAGGATGTTATCAAGCTCGGCGTCAGGCCCGAAGATGTTGTCCTCGTCAGCGGATGGGGGAAGTCATCCGCCGATTGGGCTGCTACAGTGTTCAGCAACACAAGCAAGAAGTACCACGCATCGGTGCAAGGACAAGTAGGGAAACTTGTAGGACTTGAGTTCTTTCGATCGCGGACGAGGACGCAGTCGGGTCCAAGGGTCCATCGACAAGGCAAGAAGTATCCGCGGCCTGAAGGGACTCCTCTGACTGAGCTTGAGAGGAATCAGTGCATGTTCGTCAGGCGTTATAGGCTGAAGAAGAGACTCAAGATTCTGTACAAGATCGTCGCCAGTGCTGGGTATGACCGGCTTCCGAAGGGTGGCGACGAAGGTAATACTGGCGGAGGCACCAAGGCTAGCGACGACGAATTTGGCGACGACGAACCTTACGACGCTATATCATCGTCGTACGAGGTGAGCTACGTCTAAGGTTGTAGAAAAGAGAGATGCTGACTGGACTGGTAGAGCGTGGACCCGTTGGACATCCTGCTCGAATATATTCTCGAGGTACGCCATACTTGAATCTGTAAACAGGCTGCCAGCTATACGTCTAACAGGTATGCGGCGCCAGCTATGCCATTGCGCGCGACGAGGACATCGAGAGCATCGTAGGGGTGCGTTGCTACTACAAACACTCCGATACTGGATCTGATGCGTCATACAGTACAACGAATGGCCCATAGACTTTTCGACGTACCTCCGCAAGGTCCAGCCGCCGGTACAGGTACAGGATGAATGTCAGTAATTCCCTGTTATCTGACTGTGGCATATGTCCAATGGTTCTACCGTGTTCCGCAGATGGTTCAGTCTCGATCCCAGACCTCATCGCTCAAGAGCGAGCCACGCTTGAACGTCGTCTTGTCACATCACTGGATCTGCTGAAGTGGCCACGGCTTAGCCACGAAGACTGCGGAGTCTTTGATACAGCTAAAGCCAAGTTTCCCTGGGGACCACCGAGTCGCCGATTCGCGGACGAGAAATGGACGTACTTGAAATTTCAAGATCGATCCCGACCCACGCGTCACGTCTCTGCCGTCTCGCATGATGGGGCCCTCTTAGCGGCATCATGGCGATCTGGTTCCATCACTATCTGGAGGACGATGGATGGCCTCACCCTTCAACATCTCGGGGACTCGAGCCCTCCCCTCTCAGCCGGCACGTCAAATGTCCACGAGTATCCTCCGGACGCTATCACTGCTGTCGGATTCTCCGCCAACGATCAACACCTGGTTTCTGGATCTGCTGACGCATCCGTCGTCGTCTGGAATGTCCAGTCCGGCGAGCGTGTTTTTGCCATGAGCGGTCACGGCGCTCGGGTGAGCGACGTAACGTACACTCCGGATGGCTCGCGCATCGTCAGCGTCTCTGACGACGGCTCCATTAAGGTTTGGGATGCTGGGTCAGGATGGTCGATCTACACGTACGCTCTCGGGGAGCGTATAAGCAGGATCGTCTTCTCCGCGGATGGTTCGCGATTCGCTGCGAAGATGCATCGCGCTGTCGCTATCTACGACGCCGGCAGCATCATCGTACAACTTACCGTCTTCCAATCCGACACCGGTGCGATCTTGGATGTTGCCCTCTCCCCAGACGGCAAGCGGACGGCCGTTTTGGACAACAACGGCGCTGCGCGTATATACCGCACGGACACCTGGGAAGAGCTCATCGAGCTGCAAGAACACAGTGACCAGGTCAAGTCCTGCGCCTTCGCGCCAGACGGGATCGAGATCGCCACCGGCTCGTACGACGGTACGCTCACTGGCCGCAATTCTTGGACAGGAGAAATGTACCGTAAAGAAACCATTGGCTCGTGCGGAACTGCGATCTCATACTCACCGAACGGGGCATTCCTCGCTGCTGCTGGCCGGTATGGAGAGGTCATAATTTGGGGTCCTAAGGCGAGACAGTTTGTCGTCAAGTTCCAGACGTCAGTGCAGTACCTTTCTGGACTTAAATGGCTTCCGGACAATCGTAGGCTGCTGTCTTATGCAGATGAAGGGCCTTTGCACTTGTGGAATGTCGGCGATGCTTTGCGAATGCGTTCAGGGGAGCAGGAGTCGTAGCCCTTGCCTCCAGTATCAGTTATCCTTATGTGCTCACCTTCTGTTTCTCTGCCCACCGTAGCGTTGAACCTCGGAGTGTGTGGCCAAAATGATCTCCTGGCCAAGCGGTAGCTCCGGGTATCCGTATCCTAGTGCAGACAGGCTCGAGGGGTAGATGATATGCGCAGCCTGAGATTTCAAGGTCCGATAAATTGTGAACATAAGATATAACAATGTAAATATCGTCGGGAGTTGGCAGTGTGAAGGGCATGCGGTCGCCTGACGGAAAGCTGGTAACATGGGCGTCAGCGAGTTCATTTTCTCACGGCAAGGGATACCCATATTTTGTTAAAAATCGCCAAGGCCATTTTCGCGAGCAAGGCCATCTAGAGGCTCATTTCAGTCAAGAGATATGCTTTCTAATACCAACTGCTATACCAAGCTTTCGAGGGACATACATCTGCGCAGGTCATCGAGGGCTGAACATACCGCTCTCCTCCAGCCAGGAAAGGGGTTCGGCAACGTCGGACGTTATCGTTCAGGGTCATCGTCGACGGTGCCCCCAACGCTTCATGTCAAATATTTCAATGTTTATTGCAAGCGGAAGCGATCCAACTTCCCGCCCGTCCGAACTGCGCGGTACCCAGTAATATGCCCGGGACTGACAACTACACCAAATTCCACTGAATATGGGGTGTACTCACTGGCACCCACTGGTATCCAGTGAAGTCCAGTGCTAGTCTCCAGTGGCTGCTGCTGTTGGCTGGTGGGTATCAGTGAGTAACAGTGGGCGGCAGTGAGACACACCGGATCCCACTGGGCTTCGCAGGTTGCCACCGGCTACCGGCACACATCACCAGCAATTTGCATCAAACATTGCTTGAAGCCACTGGCTTATCAAGTACCAATATAGATACAAATATTTTTCTGTAATAAGCTCAATACATGCTTAGCCACCGGCATCTGTATAGATGCCTATTCTCCTCTGAACTGTGCACTATCCCAGAACTCAGCTCTCACTGAAGTGTCTCTACGCGGTACACTGTCTGAGTGCAAAAGGTGTGTAAAATTGATTGCCAGATGTGTCCCCAAGTGGAAGCAGCTGTAAGTAACTCTTTGAAGCATATTATACTACACAGACCTGGTTAGAGGCTCCTGAGATTTTTTATAAACTTTCTATAAGCTCAGGAATGAGCTATCAGGCAGTGGGGGCAGGCTGCCAGCAGTCACATTAATATTTCAACAGCTATAAACCTTGTTGTTGTAATTCTCAGGTAAATGTATATTCTCTGAGTGAGAATATGTGTAATATAAGCCATCTATGCACAAAGCATGAGACCAAACCTGCCAGATACTAGTCTTAAAACAATTTGTTCATGAGAGTTAGCCCAACCTGGAAAGCAAGTCACACACCATGGCCCAATGTCACACACTTTTGCCCAAAGACCAGTGAAAAATGCCAAAAATTATTATTCAATGACATACTAACAATAAACAGCATATGCTGATGGACAGTGGCCACTGCCTGCCAGTGGATGTCACCAGTGTTTGGTGGTGTCTGCCACCTGCCATGTGAATCGACCGGACCAAATACCAGTGGCAGCCAGCATAACATGCTGAACACTGGTATATCCCAACATACCCCACTACTTGCCACTGATACACAGCAATATTCACCAGTTGCTGCTGTATTCCGATGGGTTCCAGTGGACAACGAACGGTGGTGTTCACAAGCGCTCACAGTGACGCACCCGTATATGGCAAGGACCGCCGGCGAACACCAATGGCCACCGGCGAACACCGGTGGTTACCGCTGGAAGTTGGCGAACGCCGAAGTTGCAAGTCACGGGCTTATAACTCGGTACCGCCGCTAGTTGATGGAGCGCCCATCTATGGCGCTCCGAAGAACAATGGATCTTATTTCCTGCTATTCCCACGACTATTTTGAAGCGCGCGCGCACCATCTCTGGCACCCTGAACCGCATGGGACGGGAGAGCCGCAGATCGGAGACGTAGGCTACATACGCGAGGGCGCATTTGTCCGACTCTTCAACCTCAATACCTCTGTTAAGGAGCACAAGGTCACCTCTTGGCCTAAATCCTTCGAGATCACGGACGATCTTCCGCCAGATGTGTTCTGTGTTGACAAGCGACACGCGCTGATAGGACCGGGGCGTTTCCCCAGTCATGGTGTGGAGGAAAAACAGATACACGGTGAAATCACAGGGTGAGGGTGCTGTTGTTATCCTTGTTAACGTATCTGAGCTTTCGTAGCGGTGCTTCCGCTGATGCGGCAGCTGCCTTAAGCGCAGGCTACATGTGCAAGGAAGTACAAGGAGCGTTACTGGACCTGAAGAGCGAGGCGTATGCCGAGAGCTTGTATGAAAACCCGAGAATCATGGCCTACATGGCCCGCCAACACGACAGCTGGTACACATTCGCAAGGACCGATCACCTCGTGGAGCCGGAGGACATCGTCTTCGTCAGCGGCTGGGTAAAGACGCCGGCGAATTGGGCGACAGCCGCCTTCAGAGACACGAGTAAAACACGCGAGGTGTCGCTCAAAGGTCAGATATGGCAGTTCGTCGGCCTTAAACTGTCCGCATCGACGACCAAAGAGTATTCCGGGCCTCCAATGCATAGGCAAGGGTCGAAGTATCCGAAGCGCGCTGGTCGAAATTCTACAAGGGACCAGTGTGTCTTCGTCAAGCGGATCAAAATCAAGAAGAGGCTCGGAATAGTGCGAGTCCTTATTGCTGGTGCCGGTCATGATAAACTGCCGCCCGGCAATAGCGACCCTGAGACAGTGGCGGGAGTTGTTGCTGTGGAAGAGTTGTTAGATACCGAGGACCTCGGCAACGGAGGAGCACTCTTCTCAGAAGGGCAGGTTCGTTACTCCATCGCTGAGCATTGATAATTACTGAGGAGGCAGCAGGGGAAAGCCATCGATCCTCTAGACGCCCTTCTTGATTACATTCTTGAGGTGTGCGCCCGTTATTATACCCTTCCGTATTCCTGTAATCTCTTACGCCGATTATGCAGGTATCTGGGGCCGACTGTGCCGTTGCACGCGACGAAGATATTGAAGCCATGTTAGGAGTACGCCTACTGTCCTTGACCCTGATTATCTAGCAACTGATCACCATAATAGGGCGATTACCCTCCGGTGGATTTCTCTACGTATCTTCGTAAAAGCCAGCCGCCCGTGGTAGTCGAAGACTCCCAGTGTCAGTGATTTGCTCGACGGACTCCCGAATGACACGCTGAACTTCCATCCTGTGTACTAGACGGCTCGATCTCCATACCTAACCTGATGTATCGCGGATGGGTCGAGTTGCAACATCGGAGAATTACATCATTGGACCTGCAAAAGTGGCCGTATATTAGGGAAGAGGGATCCGGAGACCTCGTATTTGGGCAAGTCCAACTGCCAAGCACGGAGAAACCAGGCGACCACAAGATGTCGAAGTCCGCATATCTGGAGTTTGCTGACTCCACTGCCGGCGATACGCATATGCCTTGCTTCACGTTGTCTGACGACGGAAAGCTGTTGGCGGCATCCTGGCGAACTGTCGGCTCGGACATCCTCGTCTGGCGGACATCGGATGGCCTAACGCTTCAGCATCTTAGAGACCCAGAGTATACAGACGGTGTCACTGCCGTTGCCTTCTCCCCAGATGGCAGACGTCTGGTCACTGGGTCCGCTGACGAGACCGCGGTTATCTGGGACATCAGATCTGGCAAACCCATTATGCGCTTGCGGGGACACACCTACTCCCTCACCGATGTGGCCTTTTCCCCCGACGGTGTACGTATCGTCACCGGCTCCGCTGACTATGTCGTGAAGTTCTGGGATGCCGCGACCGGGCTCCCGCTTTGCACGTTCTCGCTCGATTCGCCAGTCCGCAAACTTGTCTTCTCATCGGACGGCTCGCGGCTGGCAGTCATGCTTGAAGACAAGATCGCTCTCTACGATGTCGGCGCACCCATTGTGCAGCTCGGTGCCATTCATCACTACAACGTCACAGATTATCGTTCTGTCGCGTTTTCCCCGACAGGCGACCGGATCTTTATCTGCGCTCAAGGCCTTGTCGGTCGTCTTTACAACACCGACAGCTGTAAAGAACTCCTTCGACTGGAAGAGCCGAATCGCAAGATTGCCGTTGGGACCTTTTCTCCTGATGGCAGTAGCGTGGCCAGCATTGCTAGCGAGAATCGCAGGTTCATGCTGATTGTTCAGGATGCGTCAAAAGGAACCATACGCTTCAAGGAGAGGATCTGGGCAGGTGGAACCGCTGTTGCGTTCTCTCCAGACGGTACCCTTGTTGCCGCCGCCGGTGAAATGAACGTGGTCGTCTGGAACATGAAATCGGGAGAGTTGGTCGCAGACCTCAGGGAGATGCAGCGGGTATCGGATATTAGATTCCTTCCTGATGGCCGGAGGATTCTCTTTGTGGGACGCACGGACCGCATGGGCATTTGGAACGTCGCGGACACTTTACGGATACGCTAACAAGAGAAAACAGGATGTTGCATTCCTGTACTTTATTTACCGTTGGTATATCCATTTCGAGGCGGCTTTAGATGACAGTGCATCGAATAAGAGGCACCAACATGAGACTTTGCGATAGAGCACCGGCAAGCCTGGCATGTATGGAATGCCACGCAGGAAGCGCTAGGTCATATGGGCATTTTGTGGCGTGGTAAACCATGTCGTGTTATGGCCAGAAGCTATCCGAGTCGGGGCATTTAGCGTGATTTATGAAAAGTCGGAACTATTTTAGCGATTTGTATTAGCCTAGGAGAGACAGGGACTAAAGTACTAAGTGCTAAAGTTAAAGGCTTGCCAGAGATTTCTTCATGAAACTCAAAGGTTGCAGGCGCTAGGAAATTATACGCAAACGAGACATGGGATAGAGTGACCAAAGTATCCTTCGAGCATTTACGCTTCGACTGTCGCAGCTATGTTCGAGTTATACGAGTCATGGGCAAGGCAGTGGCGTCTCATGTTAGACTTGGTTTTGAAACGTTTCCCGCACCCTGTATGCGTGCATTCGTAGGCTGCGAGAGGGACAGTGTCAGATATGGAATCTTGACGAATGTACGATGCTTACGTTTTTCGCCCGTGTGCGACCGCATGTGTACAGATAGGCCGCTTGGCCTTGTTAACACGTACGATGAGCGCAGGTTCCAACCGAGAATGTCCACTTCGACAGACCTTCGAAAGCCTTTCCCGCATGTTTCGCAAGTATACTTGCGTTTCGAGACATGGACGCTGGCGTCGGACGGTCGGGTCTACCTGCATGTCAGAATAGAGATCCGTCAGTGTCGGGGAGGTGTACTTACTGCTGAATCAGGTCCGGTCGAACTTCCGCTCGCCGTCGCTGTGTGGTCGTCGTGCTGATGCGGAAAATATTCTAGATGGGAGCATTCTGAATCTCCACCAAGTTGGCACCAACAAGTCATAGCCAAGGCCAGCCACTCACCTGGAAACACCTCGCGGATGCTAGGTAGAGTCAGTCTCGAGTCCATGTCTGCTCTGCCGTATTGGTAGACGGTGCAAACTGCATCGGTGCCAGCTGTTAGTCGACGCAGCGCAGTCTTATAGATGATAACTTACCAGGACATGGAGGGCGCCGACGTAGGCAGTGACCCTCGGGGTACAGTCACACTCCGTCATCGCTTGCCGAGAGCTCAGGACACTCCGGAGACGATGAACCTGGGGGCAGCATGGGGTAGCCAACGACCGAGTCATCCTAGTCACGGTCATTGACTAATGCTGATGGGTCAATGACAGAGTTACAGTCAATGACCGGGCGGTTTCGTGATCCCACGCAAGCGAGATACTGGTGTCGAGCGCTTGGGAGGCAGACCCTGGCAATGGACGACAGGGCCTGTCCTGCGACGTGGTTGGCTGCCGAGGTGGGACCTGGAAAACCGGTCAGTCACGGATAAGTCATTGACCGGAGCGACTAGTCACTGACCAGTCACTGACCGGCATAACACTGATCTGGGGGCACCGTAGTATGCGGCCTGCTTGTCACTTCCATCGTCGATGGCATAGCGAAGCTGTGTGTACTGATAAACTTAGTGTCCGCACAATGCTGATGCGGTCGCTCGGCGGTGTCTTGGGACCTGATTAATGGCCGGTGGCTGGACAAGATGAACGCTCAACGTTCGCTCAACTTTCCACGTCAACCAATATCCTGACGGCATCGAACCTTGTCCTGAATGTGTTGGAAAGGAAATTCAGAGATTCGGCCGAACTAATGGACACATCTTCGCCAGTACACCGGCTGATGCCGCGAGGCACGCAATCGTCGGATCAGAAGAAGGCGTCACTCGGTGTGCCCTCCTTTCTTACCGGGGATGTCTACAGTTCAAGGCATAGTTTCGTATGCACCTGCGCAGGGTCGTACAGGCTGAGAGCGGATGTAGACACGGCTGTGTGTGTATACACGTCTGCCCAATTAGGCTACGTCTTAAGTTTCTACAACGCTGCGTATGGGAAATAATCAGAAGCCGTGCAGTCTTTGTCAAAGTCAACACACGCACCTACTACTAAGTAGCAGACTTGCCCTTCCTCTCCCTCCCATTCCTCTCACGCTGCTCTGTCCGCTGCTGCTTCTTCTCTCGGTTAACTTGGAGCTTTTCCTTCCTCTCTCCCACCAGCTGCTGAGTCCATGCAGCCCACTCGGGCTTCGACTTGAGGGCGGCCTTGATAGTGCCGAGATTTGTGTGCCAGCCGGGATACTTCGAGCGCATTGTGCTCCGGATTTGAAAGACCTCACCACGCTTCGTGGCCTTCTTCGTCCGTTTATGCCCACCGGCGAGAGACTGGGTGCGCCATTCCATAAGGAACGTGACATGATCGGTGTACGAAAGAATACCGTGGAAATATCGTGCGGTCTTCTGTGTCCCGGTCGGCCACGTCTTCTCTATGTCCCCGCTAGACGCTTGAGCTTGATCTTCGAAGTCTTCCTCTTCATGCTCCTCTGTCCCGACGCGGCCTTCAGCGCTGTCCTGAATAACTATTAGACACAAAAAAGCTACTGCGAGCATAGTTACAGACCGTACTGGCAGTCCTCAGCCGTCTGTGTGGGCGATGCATGCGATGGTTGTGAATGAAGAAGCGAACTTTGTGGCGTTTAAAGCGATCAGACCGGGTTGATCCTTGCTGGAACCATGGCAGCTTCAGAGCGGTAGTTAATTCACGCCGTTACATGACCATCAATACGCAGAGCAGAACGAGAGCGAGCTGGTCCCAACACAAGAAAGAGGAGGGAAAAAAGGAAAAGGAATTATGAACACACGCAGTGTTGGGCAGACCTTCGGAGCTCGGGCCGAATTCCGCCTTGTTCTCCGACTTCCTCGGATACGTATACGCTCCTGGGCTTTGACAGCCCACCGACTTCACTCTGTCTATAACAAAACTACATACAACGCTCTACGGAGAAGAAACGAGGATGATTTCATTTGGTCCCCGGTCAAGACAGAAGCAAGAGCGCGGAATACAGAAACTGTTACATCGCCGTTGTGAGCTTTCGCCGGACACGCCGCTCGTGCCGAGCGCTGGGCTGGGAACACCGCGAGTGGTGGCTTGAAGCTTCTGTCTGGTCTACGAGGCAGATATCCATCTTGTTCTGAGGCAGCGCTGATGATGTGTGCACAAGCCTCTATCTTGTTGTACCGGCCCTGCCGCGCGCCGTATATGTGATATTACAGCACAGCCCATTACGCTGCTACTATGATGGCCCCCTGGTTTATAAAGGCTCCTTGCTTTATAAAATCGATCTTGCTGCTGCAATATGCCCCCGGAGGTGCTGTGAATATTTCTTATGATGGACTTGTATTCATACTATAATATGACACCCATATTATGGCGGGTGTGCAGCAAGGGACGATATGATGTTTTTGTGGATGCTCGGAAGCGATCCAAAACTGGCCGAAAAATGCCACTGATGGCTAGATCCAACCAGATCTCGCCCACCAAATATTCTGGCAACTGCATTCATAGACTTTTGTACTTACACCAGACATGTCTGGTCAACATATTTGGTTTAAAAGGTGCTATGTACATGTATAGGGAAGGAACATTAGTGGAGCGTTACAATGAACGGGCAAGGCGTGATGAATTTGTCGCTCCGCCTGATCTCAGACAACTGAGGTTGACTTTGGAGAGGCGGCTCGGCTTCTCGGCAGAGGCACGGCTCGACGGCATCTGGTGTGACACTTGTTTGACGAAATTTATAAAAAGTGGTGCAGGACCTACTTTGTGCACCGGAAAGGATCCGCTGCTCTTGCAAAACCTCAATAAGATGTTATAAAAATACGGATATATAGCTAGACTGTGTGCACATCGACTCATGCAAAACCGCCCGCGAAGCATGGATGTGGTAAGCTACAGGATGCAGATTTTCCCAAATTTTATAAAGCAGGGTACCATCATAGTATGGCCAGCGCGAGACACAGGCTCCTGATCCCCGTCAACAACTCCGCCATGGTTGCCGTGTCACTTTCTGGTTGCGTTGTTCAGTTTTCGTCGGCGTTGTCTTACCCATCCACGAGCGCCCTTTGACGAGCGACCTGGTATGATATGACCATATAATCGCGTGTACCCGCTAGGGGATTGTCCCATATTCTTAGAATATTAACACTCGTATACGTGTAGCCTCTGCTTTCTTGCGAAGAGGCAGTCAAAGCGTAACGTAGTTACTGCCGGTACCTTGGATGCCGCCCCCGAAAGACGCCTTTTGAACGAAGGCAAGAGTACAAAGAATGTCGGAGCATCCAATTATTTTGGCCCGAAAGGACGGGCAGGTCTACACCTAGCACTAGAACCTATTATGTAGCACTATCAGCGCTGCTGCGATCACGCTAACGATAGGCGTCACCTACTACATATTCGTGCCTAATCAGCCTCAGCTCATGTAGGTATCAGTGGTGCCGATAGAGGCGGCACTCGTTTTCGCGTCTAAGAAGAGCTCTCCCATCTCGTTGACGTCCTCAAGCTCTATCTGCTCGCGGCCTGCCAGACGCGCAAGGATTGACCCTGGCGTAAGCAGCTGCAAGGCATACCTGCACAACGAAACATATTAGTGCTATACCTGAAACGTCGAATTGATACCTTACCGAAGTGAACTCTTTTCGCCCTCCGTGGCCAGTCGTTCGAGCACACCAGCACCGAGCTTGAGTCCTTCAACGTTCGCGCGGACCTGCACGACCTTCGCGACGTCGGCAGTGGTGTACGAGTCCGTCTTAACAATCAGGCAACGGTCGCGCAGATCGACTGGGATACCATGCGGAGCCACTATATCTATCGTGCCGCGCACAAGTGAGTTGCCTCTGTTGGTGGCAAAGACGACAGTAGGTGCCATGGGCGACTCGAGAAGGGCGTTCAAATAGGTGAAACACTCAATGTCGAGCATGTGGACCTGTGAAGCGACTGCGACTGGGTATTTCGCTGTGTGGAAACCGAGAGGGGTGACGTACCTCATCGATAAATACGACACCGGGCACGACCTCCGCGACACCCTGGTCGACATATCCCTTCACAACCTTGTTGACCTCCTTTCTCAACTTCTCCGTGACCTCCGTCCGACCGCTCTTCATCAAACTGCCCATCACGCTCATGATGTCCTGACCACCCTGAGGCCGCGCGTTTGCCGCATCCAAGTCACCAAGCGTCACGTCCTGCACAAGCTCTTTTCGTTTGTGCACCTCGCCCTTGGGCAGGGGGACGTACGTCTCGGACTCAAGATCGTACGAGGATGCGTAAGCGTCCGAGCGTCCGACGCGTTTCACGGCACCAGTGTTCGCCTCAATGTAGATGACGTCTCCAACGACGATTTTCTCCTTCAAAATCGCTTCATAGATGGACGGGTCGAGGCGCAGCTGCTTCGTGCCCTTGACTGTCTTCAGGCCGACGATGACGTGCGAGACGGTCTTGCCGTAGCCGCTGAGAGGGTTCTCAGCCTCCGTCGGTGTGAGCTCGGTGACTTCGCCTTCGTACACTTCTTTGGTCTCCTTGATGCGTAGCCCTATCGCCCGCCGGAAGGCTTCCGCGAGCACCTCAGTCTTCTTGACCTCCGTACTGTAAACTTCTGAGCCGACCATGGGGCAGAAGGGCACCTTCGCCCCGAGCTCTTGAGAAATCGCCAGGGCGAGTGCGGTTTTTCCCGTGCCAGGTGCGCCGACAAGCAGCAAAGCGCGACCAGAGAACTTGCGAGACTTGACGAGGTCGACAACCACGCCGCAAGCCTGGGAGGTTTACGTCAGTCCCTGGCGACACGTCGGTCCCTTCACCATCACGGGATAGGACTACGCTGCGTACCTCTCGTGCGTTGACCTGCCCCACGAACCCTGCCCCGTCTGCGTTCGCGAACCCCTCAGGACTGAGGCCGAGGCCCTTGATATGAGAATGAGGCGCTATCCGCGATGACCGCGCCGCCGCCGTGCTTGACGGCGGGGGAAGAGCGTTGTGCGCAACGGGCGCGGAAGACGTTGATGGAGTGGCCGACATTGTTGTCGCTGTTGGAGTTGAAGTTCAGGAGAATTGAAGCCTAAATTACACAACAAGTAGATTTAGGTAAGCGTCAGCTGTTTAAGGTAAAACTTACTCGATAAGTAATGGTAAGGTGTAAACGAAAGCTCCATCAAATTTTGGGTTTACAAGGTAAGTAACTTAGCTTGTTAAAGCTTCCGGTCCCTAATCTGCCTTCGCGGTTGCCCTTCTCTCGACTATCTTCGCTCCAGAAATCGCGTATATTCCTAGTTCGATATGTTGCTAGATCTCTACTTGTCTTACATTCCCAGCACGGTGAATTGATCGCCTGCAATTCATCAGGTGCGATGTCGACGAGCACGCCAGGTCACCGTTTATCGCACGTACACCTGAAGACATCACGACACCACACTGTCGAGTTGCGAAGGCGTCCTCCGCTCGAGTTGTTTCCGGTTCATGTTCAGCCACTAGTACACGTACCCGTCCCTTTTGAAACAACGACGGATCCGGTAGCCCTTGCCGGTATGTAATGCCGTCGGGCACCTGTGTTTCGAAGATTCTCAACGACTTACCCCTCAAACTCCTCGCGCTGGTCTGCCGCCAGGAATGCTATGCTATGTCTGTGATGCCGACCGGTTTTGATTGAGGTTTGCCGCGCAGCGAGATGACTTAACAATTACTAAAATTACTGCCAGCCTCCGACACTGCAAAGGACGAGCTGCCGTGTCAGCTTCTTCGGAGCACCGGGGCATGGGAACGTCTGCTCTCATAGTCAGTGCCTTTACATGCTCCAGCTGCAAGTTCGTTATGGACCACAATCTATCCCAACTGGCAGATGTCTTGCTAGGCAGATTAGCAGCTCAAGGGGATTTACGAAGGTGTGTAATCTCGGATCTTACTCGAGCCGACTCCAATATATCGAATCGTTTTAGGACGCGAGACGAGTTCAACATTGATGATGTACGTGCTACTCCGTTCCCCCATGTGTGCATCTTCTTCACAACCTGCAGCTCGACCGCCTGGAAGCTAAGCTCGTATCTGCTTTGCGTTCGATTGGTGTCCTTCGAAATGCCTTCGCGCCCATCAACATCCTCCCACGGGAGATTCTTGCACATTTCTTTGGAATGCTCGCTTTTGACAAGACCATCCCCTCATCCTTCCTTCCTGATCTCGGCGTTCGCGACGACCCACATGGCTGGACCAAGGTCGGACATGTCTGCCGTCACTGGCGAGAAACGGTCCTTGCGTTCCCGTCGCTGTGGTCTATCATCGATAGCGACTCTGCGTTGGCCGCGTTAACCTTCCTTGATCGTTCCGCTGCATCGACTCTACGAGTCTACCTGCGTGATGCAACATCTGGTTCTCGATATAGTCCATCACTCGAGCGCGCGCGTTTCATGCCGTCGATCGCATATCATAGCAAGCGTTTTGAAGAGATACACATTCAGCCGAGGTTTCGCTACGGCTCTAACATCCTTCGCGTATTCCTGCATCCTGCTCCGAAGCTCAAAGCCCTGTCCATCGTGCTAAAACTTGGCAAGGACGAATCATTGACGCTGCCCACGCTCTTCGATGGTTCAACACCTAAGCTGGAGCGGCTGACCCTCGCAAACTTCACGACCTGGCCTGGGAATCATTTCGGTCCCAAGCTTACCCATCTCTGTCTCCTTGACCAGCACTCTCGTGAACGGATGTCCATGACCGAGTTCCTTGACTTTCTCCAGTCAGCACCTCGGCTGCAGGAGCTTATCCTTATAGACGCTGGCCCTGCGCTCAGCTCCGGCACCCCAGAGGTCGCGTCATTAACACGCCGAGTTGTCGACCTTGGTCATCTGCACACGCTGCAGCTCGGCGACTGGCCTAACCCCGAGTCCATCGCCGACTTCCTTTCGCATCTGGCCCTTCCTGTGAGCACTTCTGTGCACATCTGGGCAGAGCAACTTTCCCACGCGGACGGAGCACTTTCCATGGCTCTTCCTGCAGACATAACGTGCCTCCACCCCTTCCACGGCCTGAGGGCAGTTCACTGTACTGCGCGCCCTACGAAGCGGGGCTATCCGCAGCTTATCTCCATTGTGGATGGTGCTTTAGTCTTTTACTCGACGTTCTCTGCCACGACAGTCCCCGCATCGCTGATGTCGCTGTTCGACAACCTCGACACCCGTTCTGTCGAGGAGCTCACAATCGGGATCGAGTGCACGCCTGAGCTCCCATGGCAGGCAATCCTCGCAGACATGCCCCGTCTTCGCGCTCTCACGATCCTTCGTCGCCCATCGCGCCATATTCTGGCAGCGCTCTGTCGTAACGACACATTCGATGAGGTGCTCTGCCCGCTGCTCCAGAGCGTGAGCATCATCGACGACAACGTGCTCTCGAGTGTGCGGCTGTTCCTGTTTGCGCTCGACCGCGCCGAGGTTGGCTTACCGCTGCAGGAGCTCAAGCTCTTCGCGCGCAGCTGTTCGTCGCGCTTCGAGAGCGAGCTGAATGAGTTGGGGAGGTATGTTGGGCACGTGGAGCAGCTGAGTGACAATCCGGTGGACGTGGAGCGCCTGGCGGTTGGGTGGCCCACTGAAGCGTACGAGTGGGTCATCAAGCAGAGGGCGACGCGGCGGCCATGAGGACATGCCACGACCTTTCTCTAACATTTGCGTATCATAACTCTAGTTGTATAAGCTCTTGTCATTCTTGGTTGCATAATCTGTGGTCGAATAGCATGCATCTAGTAGGTAGCAGGAATATCTAGTCCGTACACTTCATTGGCGAGTGAGTCCGAAAGCAAGAGCAAAGCAACGAAACAAGTATATAGGAAAGATAATTTAAGGGCGAACTCGCGGATTTTGCGCTCCGGGCTGGTGCATCATCGACTGCAATTGCTAAGGGGTGGATGAGAAGTGCTTTCGCAGGTGTCTTCTCAGCGGTCTCACCTGGTCTATTTGGACTGCATCATTGCTTGCGTTAGCTTCGCCTTGCGGTTCATCTCGGCTCACAGTACCCTGCTTCTGGCGGTTCCGTCAGGGAAATATGTTGGCCAATAGCATAGAATACGAACCGAAGACTGTTTCGCCGCTTTCTTCCCCTTGCCCGACCCAGACCCAGATGTAGCCCCCGCGGCGGCAGCAGTCCCAGGAAAGGGCTCTTCTCTCGGGAGGATGTCGATCAGGAAGTCGAACTGGTCTGACTTGCTGACCGCTTTGGCGATGTCCGCGCGTGACAGCGTCCGCCGTTTGTTCGAGTCCGCGATGATGAAGGCTCGTGCGGTGATCTCTGCAATGAATACTGCGAACAAAGGGCCTTCAGCACGATGTCGCGGTAACGTAACAACAGTGCACGCACTTTCGCAGGCTTTGCAGAACAGGATGGGTGCTAGCCAATCGGGATGTCAGGCCAATAGTCACTTGCGATTCGCTATTTAGAAATGCCTACCGTCCGCGGCAATCATCTGCGACAAGCCAGTCAGTGTGTGATCCTGTGCTCTCATACGCCTCCTGCTGCACGTACCTTTACGTCTGGATCGCTTTTCATGACCTTCTTTATCCGCGCAAGTGGTAAAGGCGGATGGCGATAGTCTATCGTCTCTTGCTCGGCCTGGTCGATCTGCCGCTGCCAAAACGACCGCAGAAATTCATGTAGAGGCTCTCCCGGTTGAACATAGGGCTTTGGATCTTTCGACATCGTCGTCAAAGTGCTGCTCGTCGCTGTTTAGCGGGGCGGGAACGAGGACCCGAGTGGTCGAGAAATGTGATTGGTTGCAGAGGAAGGCAAAGCGCGATCAATGTCGCATAACTTACTGATAATAAACTCTTACTTACCGAGCATATAGCTATCGGAGGGCGCCCAGTGAGGTCATACCTCGGGCACTTATCGGGTAAGTCCCAAATTGTGACTAGGTAAGCAACGTGTCAGTTGCCATTTTCAGACGTCAATGTTCAATAGCTTTGCTCGAATGCACGTCTCCCACCACCACTATCACCCCTCTTGCGAACGATGCGGCTACGACTAAACACTCTACTCGTGCCTATCATCTCCGTCTTTCTTTATGGCGCAAATGCTGAGCCGTCCGTCCCAGGAGGCGAGCTGTACCCGCCGGGATACCTACCACTCGTGAATAGAGCAAACGCTCTATTGTCCGCAGGACAATTCCATGATGCTGCAAAGACGTACACCGAGGCTATAGGTGCGTAACATATCGTAGCTGAGGGTTTCTATGTGCACATGCAGTCGGGGTGCTTGGTTATTTTGAAGACCAATTACTCGTCCTGAAGTCAAAGCGGAGGCTTCTGCCGGACGACAACACCCCTGCTCATGCAGACATAGACCGTGGTTTCTTTCATCTACAAAACCTTCAACTGAATTATTATTAGAAATGGCCCCGACTGACTACTTGCTATACTACAAGCGTGCTACGGCGTACTACTCCATGAACCGGCACCCACAAGCTCTAGAAGACTTTGACAGGGTTCTGAACCTGACTTCTAATGGGTTCGAGAAAGCGTATCTCCTCAAAGCTCGCATTCACGCCAAGGATGGACGCTTTGCTGCCGCCCGCGACGCTCTTAAGAAGTATAAGGTCAAGGACGACCCCGAGGTGCGCGAGGTGCTCTTTGGCGTTTCCGAAGCCGAGATGGCGGCGAAGAAGGCAATACAAGCCATGAAGGCGAAGCTCTGGCAGGCCTGCGTGGAGGCCTCGAGCACCGCGCTGCACACTGCTAGTCACTCGATCGAGCTCCGGCAGCAACGTGCGAACTGCGCGATCGCTGCGGGCGACATCGAGGGTGCCGTCGGCGACCTGACGCGTCTCACCCATCTAACAACACCGTCTACGACGATGCTTATGAAGATATTTCGCCTGGCGTACTTCCTCATGCCCTACGATCCTTCGTCGTCTACGGCTGCCATGTCCGCGCTCAAGCAGTGCCTCCACTACGATCCCGACTCGAAGCAGTGTCTCCCCGCGCATCGACTGGTCAAATCTTTCGACAAGACGTTCAAGAAGCTTGATGACGCGCTGAGCGCCGAGAACTGGGCCATCGCAATTAAGCTACTTGCGTCCGACGGCTTCTTGGACAAGTTCGAGGAGGCACTCGCGACGCACATCAACCCCGCGGCACTTGCTCTTCCACCCCACATTCCCCTTCGACCGGCGGCAAAGACAAGTCCGAGACGAGAGCACATACTCAGGTCTCTATGCAGGGCATACACCAATACGAAGCAGTTCTCCGGGGCCGACGACTACTGCAGCGACCTTCTCGAGATGGACGGCTTCAGCAACGATGCAGATGCACTGGTGGGCAAGGGCGAGGCACTGTTGAAGAAGGAGGAGTGGGAAGAGGCGGTGCGAGTGTTTGAGAAGGCGTTCGAAGCCAGCGGCAGGTCAAGTCGTGACGTATGTGGTCGTCCTACCATCGTTGTATTGGTGCTGATGTTGCCCCGCAGATACACCAACGCTTGCAACGCGCCCAGAAGCTTCTCAAACAGTCCCGCCAGAAGGACTATTACAAGGTTCTGGACGTGTCGCGCGATGCCGACACCAAGACGATCAAGAAGGCGTTCCACAGAGCCGCGATGAAGGCACATCCTGACAAGGGCGGTTCTGAGGCGAAGATGGCCACCGTTAACGAGGCGTACGAGGTCCTCTCGAATCCCGAACTGCGCCAGCGCTTCGATAATGGCGATGATCCTAACGACCCTATGGCTGGCCAGGGCGGGAACCCATTCCAAGGCGGATTCCCCGGAGGAAACCCCTTCCAGTTCTTCACAGGCGGGGGAGGCGGAGGCGGAGGATTCCCTGGCGGCTTCCAATTCCACTTCAGCCCACCAGGACACCATGGAAGAGGTCACTGATGGATTATGGAGACCGGACGGACGATTGCTTTATCGGATGCTGTGCATTTTTGTTGTATTATCAGTGGACTTGATGCATTGCTACCTGGATTCAACACCCCCCATCCCTGGAAGCGTTTCGTGTATTAAAGGGCGTGCTGACCAATTTCTTGTTCGAAATCCGCCCCGGTCTCCGCTCGGCCCGCCCCGAGCAATGGCCGCCTGGCTTGCGAGAGCAGTCGTCTAGGTACAGGTAAGGGCCACCAACCTTTTTTTCTTAGTTGTGGACGACATCTTGGGCATTATAGCATAGTCCTGGCTGTAAATTGGAAAACGGTGAGCAGTCTACCAGTGCACTCGCATCATTGATATTGAATGCTAATTGTTCGAATCTTAGGTGAGCGGTCGCGTTCTACAGATACAGAAACGTACAAATCACGTACCGTCATCTTCCATATGTCCTATGGACCACAACTCGAGATTTATGTGTATCCCGGGCTCAGGTGGGTTGTTACGTTCCCATGCGCGCGACCACTAATAAACAACGCAACATTTCAGGTTCGCTTTATTGCTATCCACTCGGGACGCTTAAAGCCGGCGCTGCGCTCTACGGCGGAGCGCCCTGCTTGCGCAGCGCAATTCGCGTTTGACGCAGCTCGCCTTCGACGGGGTAGCCAGCTGCAAATTTGAACCTCTGGTATGCCTTCACGGCCTTCGACGAACTTTCATTGCCCTGGAGAATGCCTATTGACCTTGCATCGAATGCTAGGCCTGCAGATATCTGCACAAAGCTCGCAAGCGTGGCTGTGATCACTGATGGTAGAACAGCCTCAGATGTGCGCATCTGCACGCGCTCTCCGGAGGCCGTGAAGGTCTCTGGTGTTGATGATGAGCGTCGAATGCTATACAGCATGTCGGATGGCTGGTATAAATCTCCACTGCGGGGCTAGGGCAGACGTGTGCATTTTCTCCCTCGTCCTTCACTTACAAGATGGCAAAGGGACTCTTCGTCTCGTCGCTGCTGTTTCTCTCTTCGTTGGGTGGGGTACTGGGAGCTGGATTCTCGACGCTATCCCACTCTGCGAGCAGCGCCGCCATCAGTGCTGCCCAAGCAGGCGCAGGCTTGACTGTCGGCGATTATCAAGACATGCAAGTACGTACGCCCGGGCAGGTTTTTGCGGACGCATGCTGACCATACTGTTTTGTATTGTAGTATACTGTCAATATCACACTTGGCGGTCAGCGTAAGTGCCCGTCGAGAATCCGCGTTTGATCTTGCTCACAGGCTGCGCAGAGTTCAATATCCTCCTTGATAGCGGATCAAGCGACCTCTGGATTCAAACGAACCAGTCGGTCAAGATTGTCAACGACTCTGGCATCGTGGCTCAAATCAGCTATGGCGAGGGCTTCGTCGAGGGACCGATCCAGTTCGCAGAGCTTAAGCTTGGCGCATATACCGTGCCGTCACAAGGTAAGCTCACTTGAGTTATCTAGCTAGATATCCTGAGCTCAAAACGACACCCAGCGTTCCTTAATGTCAATAAGGTAACTACTGTCAGACTCGTATTCGTCTCCTGCATGATTACCATGGTTTCAGAGTCAAGATCTTCCTTCTGGCACGCAGGGCATCCTTGGAATTGCCTTCGATTCCGCTCTCCTAGACTCCACAGAGCTGTACTTGAAGCACTTCTGGGGTAATGACACCACTCTCGGACGTACCCCTCTGTCGAACATTTTGAACCAGAATACCTCGGCCGTCCCCGCCTTTGATGTCTCTCTCGGCCGCTCTGGAGACCTAGACGAGTACTCAGCAGGTCTGTTCTTAATTGGCGAGCACGCACCACAAAATCAAGCTGTCGAGTCGGCTCCTCAGCTGCCTCAGGCTGTCGAGGGGCGGTGGTCTGCCATTGTCGAGGGCCTCTCGGTGAACGGTCATAACTACACGTTCAAGACCAAGTCGAAAGTCACCACGGTCCCGCAAGGCCAGCTCGTCGGCTTCCTCGACACTGGTACCAGTCTTCCTGAAGTCCCCGAGGATGTGGCCGACTTCATCTACAGCAACATTGATGGCTCTGTGAAGAATGGCGGGGTCTGGTTCGTGCCTTGTGAATCGGGTGCGAATTCGACCTGGTATCTTGGGTAAGTCTTGTGATTTGTTATGTTTATGGCTGTCGTTGGTAACTCTGCTTTAGGGGGCAAGCATTCCCGATGCATCCACTAGACCTTACGGTGCTCAGTCCGATAATATGGTCACCGACGAGCGATGCCAACGTCAATATCACATTCTGCTTCGGTGCCTACCAGATTGGGACGCCTCCGTACCAAGGTGTCGACATGGTTCTTGGCGATAACTTCCTGCGGAATGTTTACGTCTCGTATGTCCTACTTCTATCTACACTTGTTTTCATGTGTCGTCTGACGGCATGGATAGTTTCAACTTCGGTCCAGACATAGACCGCACGCAGAATGGGACAGGAAGCTTTATGCAGCTGCTGTCAGTGACGCAGGAAGACACTGCGTGGGTAGACTTTGAACGGTCAAGGATGGAGACGATGATGGTGCTGGGGAACTACATCGACCCTGCGGTCATCCAGCAGTTCCCAGGTGGCCTGGACAATTTGTCCCAGCAGCTTAACGGGCTCGCGCCTGCGCCAACGAACGGCACCAACAGCACTTCGAGCTCGTCTGGCGCGTCCGGCTCGTCGGCCGATAACGAGGCGGACGGAGAATCTCGTGTCCTCGGTGCCGTCGAGTCATCGAGCCCGAGCTCGGACTCTGATTCGGTCGTCTCCCGGCTTGACAAGTATGGGCCCGTCATCATTGGGCTCCTCGGGGCAAATGTGGGCGTTATGCTCCTGCTGTGGGTAATCTCCCTCGTCGTGTGCACGCGCGGCGTCATGCGCAGGGGTGTGCAGACGAGGAACCTGCCCGCAAACTATGCGCCTGTGAGCTTCAAAGACAAGGGCTCGGACGACCCCGAGTACAGCGCACATGTACACAACTATTCGGACTGAGGAACACGTACGGACTAAAATTGCGTATATTCTTGCACAAACCTCGCGGTGTAACGTCTATGTAGCTAGAGCCCAGTGCTCTAGATCTGTAATTTATATTATCTACAGCTCCAACGGTCGATTAACCATCATCTCAATTTAACACCCAAGACCCTTTCTGCGGCGAGCCCGCACCTGATACTGGGTGGTGGGGGCTTGGGCGGCTGGCTCGGGCCTGTCTGGTTGTTTGGAGGTTGCCGTGGTTCGGGGAGCCTTGCTGTATCCATTACAAAGTATCATCGCACGGAAGGAGTCGGGGCGCTCGGCCGCTCGGAAACCACGTGGAATAGCTAGGGACAGGATCGTGCAACTGCGCGCTGCGATGATATTTTAAGCTCTCAGCGACTACCGCCACTTTGCCCGCCTATCGCCACTGTAGGAAGTAAACACATATTTTATTAATGGAAAAACCTATGCGGAATGAATGCGAAACACACCTGAGATAAATGGGGAACCCAGTGATTTGCGGTACTGGATTACCCAATTAAAGGGTGCAAAATTTTGGAAGCGCCCAATGGGTAATCCAGTGAATTGTGCCGCGGTAATCCAGCACATTGTCGTGGGTACTCCGGTAGTTTGACATGGTTGAACCGGCTAATTCTCCCAATGAAATATGTGCAAGATTCCTCCTATAAATACTGGGAAGTCCTACACATATGCGTGGATCTCCCTGCTAATAGTCCAGGTGCGACCGATAAACCCAGTCATATTTACTGGGAAACTCCATGCTCATATTGTAATCCTCCCACTCGTACTCGCAGCTGTCAGCGATAATTTACCATTCAAAATACTAGCTACAGTACAGAAGAGGCACTGCAAGGATGGACTGGCCGCTGTCCTGGGTGACCCGCAGCCGAGACTGCAGGATGAGGTACCCTGCGCCAAGCTGTGCGATAGTGCCCGCACCACGCCCCGATTCTTCCTCCGCGAACGCTGATCCCGCTTGCCGAGAATATGACCGCCTCGCCGGTCTGCAACGCGACGACCTGCCGGCGACGCACATCAGTCACCGTCCACTAAACTCTTCCACCAGAAACAAAGGGGAAAGAACAAAGCAGCAGGCACGCACCTTGGCGAAGAGCGCGTCGAGGCTGAGCTCGGGCACCGTGACGTGTCGCATCAGCGCACGCAGCCAGCCGGGCGACTGAAAGCGGTGCGCGACGATGAACGAGCAGAGCGCGAGCAGCTTGGCCGGCACGACCGTCGGCTCCTGCGTCGAGACGAGCACGCGCATGCCCAGATGGCGGTACTGGCGGATGATCATCAGCAGCGAGTCCTTCAGGCGCGACGATGCGACAAACTAGGTACTGGGAGCGGTCAGCGGAACACTCTTTCGAAGTAGTTCTATGGGATCGTTTACCTTGTACGCCTCGTTTAAAGACTGGTGGAGTGGCGCGTCAAGGACGAATGAGGAAATGGGTGGTGGCGGCTTACCGACAACCTTGCCAGACACTTTCACGTCGGCCTCGACAAACAGGCCTAGAATGAGGCCGAAGAAACCGCAGGTAGATGATCTGTCCATGAATGGTGACGACAGGCTACCTCGAGCATCAGCATACATGCGCTTAGCGGCGTATGGTTGTTGGTACCCACTCGATGATGGTTAGGCGGGCACATGCCTGCATAGAGAGGGGGTTTATGCCGGCAAGGGCTCGGGACTTGAATTTGCGGCTGGTCTTGAAGAGAGCAAATGTCGGTATTCACGTTCGGCGACACCACAATATGTCAGCGTAATGATATCTGAGGAGGGGGAGAGGGGATCGAGAGACACACGCATGGAGGTGAGCTCTGGGAAGATTGCTTCGGTGGCATCGACGTCAACCTTGTAACTCGGTGTTGACGGCCTTGCGCAGCACGCACCACTGCACCCAGAATTCAAATACAGTGCGCACGTCTTTTATGATTTGCACTAGCATAGACGAGCAGCAAGCTATCAGCATTGTCAGGGCTTTCCAGGGGTGCAAGGGAACAGAAGACGCACAATCTGATAAAACTTCATGAGGTCGAACACGGGTTTGGCGAGCATGATTGGACTGCAGCATGTTCAGGAGGGTGAAGGCAGGTAGGGTGTACATAGAGGTGGGCAGGCAAGGAGGCGAGTGATTGCTGTGTCTCTACCACGAACCTTGACCGCATAAACCGCTTGCTGTTCATGGCTCCAAACCTGTCCTGCGCAAAGTGAGAGCTTAGCGGGCTTGATGGGGGCTGTGCTGACCTTCTACAGCATTGTGTTCTCATTTGTGACAAACTGTCTGTCTCTCGATCTGGATAACAAGGTGCTTTCGGCTTGAACATAGCGCATACACAGAGAAGTAGCAGAAGAGTATGTACTCAACTTTGCTTCTGCATGCGTGAAGGGTGCACTGGCTGCCGAAAGTCCATACCAGCTATCAGTGATCCTTGGATATGCTTTTTGGCATGCATCCATGCGCATACAATCACCTTTAGGGATCACTACACATTCAATCGCGGCAGGATTGAATATCTTGAACCAACAAAGGCGTTGCGACCGCACCCAAATTCGAGTCAACAGTAAAATAGGATGTCGGAGACAAGCATGGAATAAGGTATGTTGAGATGGAGAGCGATGATTGTAGGACATGGTAGTTTAAGCCAGAGCTATGTGTCCCTCCGCTCGCGCACTTTGTGACACACGTCACATATGTCACAGCCAATGCGTTTCACTTTGCGAGGGTTCGTCGGACACAAGTACCCGTCGAGGCACAAACTGATACTCATTGCATATATTGGGGGAGGTAGAATTGACATAGAATCCAGTAATGCATTAGAGTACAATGAATCCCCTCCCCTCAAGTGGGTCTGACCGAGGCAGGACAACTAGCTGCGAAACATGAGTTGAGCGATGAGCACGTCGAAGCTCCAGTTCAACGACTATTCTGTTATAAATCTCGTAAGAGTGAATAGTTGAGATCATAGAGCAGAAGAGGCCTACCTTGGTTTAAACGATTTGAGCGTCGAGTTGCCTGTATCCGCATGGTGGACATTCAGTTGCGTGCTTGTTTTAAGCTGACGCCGCTGTCTACTTACATGAGTTCTGCCTGTCCTTGCCCCGGTGATCTTCGTCTTGTTCTTCTTCTTAGGAGGCTTAGGCTGAATTTTTGATTAGCTTATAGTTGCTATTATGATATGTAAGCTCTTACAGATGGAAAATCGCCTACAGTCAGCGTATGGACCACAGCCTTCGGGACAGCGGCGGAGGCATTCTGAGCACACGGCACAGAGCTTGATTGAGCTTCTGCACCAGTAGCAGATGGGGTATGATGGGTAGTAGGCTGAGGCTTCTGCCGCGGAGCCTGAAATAAAATGAAACACAAGTTAGAAGGCGTCATGAAGGTAGATAATAGCGTACGGGAGCAGCCTTTGCTCGTTCCTTCAGCTGCTGTAGTTTTCGCGTGGATACATCAGTAAAGCTCCGTTCAAGCGAAGGGTCTTTATCGAAGTGCTCGACGCCATATAGCGTATCGGAGTACATGTGATTCCAGGCATCTTGCTTCGAGATCTTGAGATCCGCTCGTACAAAGTCCAGGATGACTTCCTGAACCAAGATGAGCTGACGGAAGGCTTTCGGAAGAAGGGGCTTGATGCCTGTAAGGCAGGGCTTCCAAGCTTCGTGGTTGTCCGGGAACATGATGTCGAGTGTTAGGGCAATAACACGTTGTCCATGCTTGCCAAAGCTTCGGGGTTCCCAGGAGTGTCGTTAGCTTATTAGCAAGTACAGACTGCAAGCACTTACTATCCGGGTCGCAAAAGGTCCACAATGGCATCATGCCACTGGCCTGGAGCAGCAAAGTTGAGATTGCCGAGTAGGAACGATGGCTTCCCCACTTTGCCGCCCGTCTTCGCCGCCGCATCTGTGGCTGCTCTAATAGCACGTTCCTCAAGCTCTTTCAGTTTGAGGAAAAATGACATCTTGCTGCCGTTCTGCATAATAGTGAGTATTCGTGCGTGAGCCTCTTCTACACGTTGCGAGAGGCGTCCATAGTCCATCTTGGTAGGATAGCCCTCTGTCCTCGCACGGGAAAGCATGTTCTCATACTTGATACGTTGGCAGATTTCGATCTGACGCGTGAGCATGCCCAACTCGTTTGTAGGTCGTGCAGAGCAAAGAGAAACCAAGAGGGCCGACGGTTCTGATGGGACCAAGTCTTTGCAATCGTCAATTGGACAAACTGTCGGTGGTGGCGCCCGAGTGGTTTTGCCATACGTGCGAAGGCGGGCAAGCTTATCTGTGTTGCCAGGCAGTTGGCTATCGGCAGAATGAGGCTTTTGCGATGACAAAGACAAGATTGATGATGCCAAGGCTGAGGAATCGTCAAGAGTAGAGCTAGTGGCCACAGTAGGGTCGTCAAAGCGAGCCGGTTGCAAAGAGAATGATGGTAGTGGAACAGCGGAGGCACGGGAGATAATTTCGGACAAGACAACAGGTTTTGCAGTAGACAGAGAAGCAGCCGGAGACGCAGGAAAAGATGGCGGTCGAGACGAGCAAGCAGGAGAGAGGACAATAGGAGAGATACCGGCATTCTGCACAATTTGAGCCTCAAGCATTGAGAACGTGGTCGAAGGAGTTCCAACGGCGCCCTGAGCCAGATCCTGTCTGGGAGAAAGGGTGATCATGCTGTTGTTCGCACTAAAATCAGTCTAGAAAGAGGTTAAATATGAGCGTGGGCAGCGGCAATCTCGACGAATTCTCAGTACCTTGGTAGCGGGCCGATTGCCACTGCGTAAATCCTGATCCGCATCAGGTGAATTCGTCCAACTGTGTTGCACATATGCGGGACTGGAAATCGGCCTTGAGCAACATTTCAACTAGTCAGCTAGGATACTCCAAATAGGATCACACTCACGAGAGATCAAAAGACTGCAGAAACTGCTGTTCCCACTCTTTGACTGCTGCATGGTCATTATCATACCATGCAACACCAGTCTCGATCTCAAAGGTGACAGCACCGTCAGCTTTGAGGGTTAGCTTTGACGGTGACACTTGGAGGCCTTCGATGATAGTACCATCGGGCCGGCTGTGCTCGGTCTCAGGCTGTTGTTGTGTATTGCCAGACTTGTCGTCATCGTCGTCGTCATCAGAGTACACAACTCGCTTGCGCTTTCGAGACACTTGGACAGGTGAAAAGAGCGACTCCACTTCTATAGGCTGTGGCTTCCGTACATGCTGCTTCTTAAAGTGGATATGCCGGCGCGATGAAGATTCTACCAAAAGACGGTGCGATGGAGAGCCTGACAATGAGCGAACGCGGCGTTTCTTAGAGGCTATTGGCTCCTTCATGGTGGCACAGCGCATATGAGACAGAGGGATGCCAGGCGATGACAAATTAGTAGGAGATTGCATGCGTCGAGCTCGCGGCTGCTGATCCGATGAGCGGGTTGATCTCGAAATATGACCATGCCGTTTGGCTGTAGAGTTTGAGACCTCATTGAGAATTAGTTTTGGCTAATATGCTTACCTTTCCTGTTTCTATCAGGCGAAGACTTGTGCTGCTTGCTCTCCTTAGCAAAGATATCCTTCATTCGACGGGCACTGTTTCCCAAGTAGCCGTACAAGATGGCTCGAACAGGCCAGCCATCTTCAAAATCTTGGAAATATGGGAATTCCTTCACCATCTATACTCATAATTTTGAGCTTTGCCCTTCGGCTTACCCATGAATATTGAAGAACCTTACCTTCTGGACAAAATGCGCTAGCTTGAGCTTGGGCTGCCTGCTAAGTGTTTTTGTCATGTCCAGATATTGCGGAGCGCGCTTTCTAACAGAGAGCTGCAGCAGGATAGTTGAAATATGCTGCATATAATCTGTGTGGTACGTACTCTGAGGCGGTTGTAGCGATCTGAGTTATCTTCCAGCAGGAGCTCCTTCTGTAGGTTGTATCCTTTGTCTCCTCCGCGACCTGGCTCACCTGTGGGCTCTGGAATAAGTCGCCGGCGGTTTCTGGTAGATTTAGCCTCTCGAAGCCTGTTGTCTGGTGACTCTGAGTTTGGTGAGCCAAAGGTCGATGTGCTGTAATCGTCCTGGTCGGCAAGCTGCCGCTCACGTTCCGGAGTATTTGCACCTTTCTTCTTCTTCCTTCGAGCAGGTTTGGTGCGTGCAGACTTGAGTCTTGAATTATTGGGCATGCTGATTATTCTGAGATGTGTTCAATAGGATTAAGTGATGGCTGCGCCGCGCACCGCAGTGACCGCACGTTCACACATGTCACGTGCTATTACGGTAACGGTGAGATGCCCACCTGCGGTCTGATCTGGCACCTGCGACGCTGTCTAAACGTTGAAGCAAGCCTCGCTATGTAAGGCCCATTTATTTCATTCCAATGCTATACTGACTTTTGGTTTATATTAGCTTATGTGCTTGCATTACGCAAATTGACTTGCATTTGGCACATACCGTGACGTCGGCTTAACGGCTACACGAACTGCATTTGCAGAATTGAGAGCAATAAAGAGACAAGGTATGTTTGTCAACCATGGTACTTATCTCTGAAACTCATCTTAGCTGTAACTACTGCAGAGTACACAGGGAGCTTTCCTTAACTGGGCGAGTCGCTCGCTCAGACAAACAACCAAGCAAGATCTATTCGCACACCTTCTTTATCCCATTGTCTGGCAACATTCTTCATCATTTTGTACCCCATATACCTCTCCCTGAATGCCACAACCAAGTTCACGTGGGGCCAAACGTCGCTGTCATTGTAAGGCGACCTGTGGGAAACTCCTCAGTTATTGGTCTCGCTGGCGCCACAAACGACGAATGGAAGTTTTGGGCAGAGCAGATGAAATTCAATCTTCCGAGACTGCTGAGTCAGATGAAGAAGAGGTCGAAGACACACCATTTAATGGTTCCGACTTCGAGCCTGATGGTGACGAGTTTAAGCCTGGTGACGACGAGTTTGAACCTGGCGATATCAAGTTTGAACATGGAGCTGATGTCAACAACATGGACGTGGATGAGCCATCTGAGGTGGAATATGGATATCTCGCCGAAGATGAATCTGAGCTGTTGGATAGTGGCGGTGCAGATTCCAGTGAGAGTGAAGTTGACGAGGAGATGTCGGAAAGCACTACAAGCTCAACCAGCTCTAATCTTGGTCGGAGGCCTGACGATATAGATGACGAAGGGCTTGGAGAGTTGGGGTTCGACTCAGGATCAAATATTTCTGCAGACTCTAATGATGAGTTCGTGGATATGCTTGACAACCTGGACGTAGATATTGAGATCGAGCTTCACAAAAACCGTACGTCTTTCAGTTACATCAATATTCACAAACTGAGCTGCTTTGAGCAGGCAATGAACTTATCACTGAGCAAGACCGGGACGACCTACGAGCATACGGCCTTCGGGTTATGTCACCCACAATGTCTCGAGAGACTTTTGATAGTATTCGCAGGGCCTTTACACACAAGATGGACCTGAGCTCATGGTATGTCACCAACCGGCGAGCTGCTCTCCTGGCAGATCTCAAGCCACAGCAGTACGACTGCTGCGTCGACTCATGCATATGCTATGCGGGGCAGCATGCCGACCTCCAGACCTGTCCTTACTGCAACCAGCCGCGATTCAGACCAAACGGACGTCCTCGTCGCCAATTCACCTACATCCCACTTATTCCTCGACTTTGCGCCTTCTACCAGAGTCTCTCAATGGTCGAGCAGCTTCGATACCGCTCTACATTTGTTCATGATCCAAATGTCGTGTCAGATGTGTTCAGCTCAGAGCGATACCGTGAGATGCTGCACACTAAGGTTGTTGTTGATGAGGAGGAGCTCAAGCACGCCTTCTTCTCTGATCCCCGCGATATTGCTTTTGGTCTTTGTACCGACGGCTTCCTCCTCTTTGGTCGACGACGCGGTGGACCATCAGCAACACCATTGCTTCTTAAAATCTACAGCTTGCCACCCACTGTTCGGACACATCTCGAACATCTACTTTGTCTCGGTGTTGTTCCAGGCCCTCGGCAGCCCAAGGACCTTGCATCTTTCCTTGTACCCTTTGACGAAGAATGCGCCACACTAGCACGAGGCGTTGATTGCTTTGACTGCTCTATCCAGGATATTTTCTCCCTTCATGCTTATCAGCTCTTCAAGGAGGGGGACATCTTGGCAATCGAGAAATTTCTGGGGCTCAAAGGGCACAGCAGCCTTTGTCCATGTCGCTCCTGTTTGATGCGTGGCCGGCGTATGGCAAGCGGAAGAAACAAGGTCTACTATCTCCCGATTACACATCCTCGTCAATCTCAGGACACAGTGGTGACTCGTTGGGATAGCCACAATCTTCCTCTTCGTACACACGACAGTTTCGCTACAGCTCTCGCAAAGGCTGCTGATGCCACTACAAAAAAGTATCGCAATCAGCTTCAGCAGCACTATGGAGTTAAGCAAGCCCCTGCACTGTTTCGTGTCAACTCACTCGACTATGGTCGCTCCTGCCCTTGGGAGTGGCTTCACCTCTTCGCCGAAAATATTATTCCCAACCTTCTTGATATCTGGACTGGTCGCTTCAAGGACTTGGATGAAGGTTGCGAAAGCTATGTGCTCGACAACAATGTTTGGTCTGCTATCGGAGCTGAAACGCTAGCTGCAGTCAAGGAGATTCCATCTGCATTCGTGCGCAAGATGGGCAATATAGCAGAGGACAGGTCGGGTTACACAGCAGAATCCTATGCCTTTTGGTTCATGTATCTCGCGCCTCATCTCCTCGCTGGCCGCTTCAAGCATCGCAAGTATTACGACCATGCTATGGAGCTTGTTGCCATCATGAAAGTGACTCTACAGTACTCCTTGACACACCAAGAAATCAATTGGCTAGAGAATGCCTGTGATTCATGGGTTCACAAGTATGAAGAGTGTGTGCTCTGATTTGTGTTTTTTAAGGACAAGCTCTAACATACTGCCAGGTATTATTATCAATATGAAGACTCACGGCTTGCCTTCTGTGTGCTAACTATTCATGGCCTACTACATGTAGCCCCAGATATCTGTGTATGTGGCCCCATGTCAGCCACATGGTCTTGGTACATGGAGCGCTACTGTGGGTTTCTGAAAAAGGCCTTACTCTCTCGCAAACAACCCTGGCAAAATCTCGATGAACGGGTCAAGCAGTTCAGTAACCTGGCACATTTACGCATGAAGTACGACCTTAGCACAGAGCTTCCAATGGAGAGGCATAGCAGCGATAATGTCAGGGCCGGTGAACATGTGTACGAGGAGTGTGAGTTAATCTTCAGTTTCACTGTATAATACTCACTCTCTATAGATCCCCTCAGCGTCATCCGAACACCACGTCAGATAGACTATAAACCTGATGAAGGCCTTCGCATTTGTATTGCCCGCTATCTTCGCATTTTTCTTGCCAAATCTACCAAGCAAATCAAAGGTTCCATGCCAACACAAATGCCACTCTGGGGTGGTGTACGGATTCACCATGGCGGAGATATAATACGATGTGCATCTGCTGTCCGAAGGCGTCAGCACCCAGATGAGCGCAATGCGTCTTACGTTCGAGTGAGTCCAGTGGTTTGGATATTCATATGGTACTCACCAACACAACAGTATGAAGTTGCCATTGGCAATGAAAACCGCCGCGCTGTCTACTATGGTTGGCTAGAGAAAATTCTCGAATGTAACCTTCCACAAGGCAGCCGCTTTTGGGGGGACTTGCAAGGGTGTCGACTGCTGCTTGCAGTCATAACACCTTGCGTTACCACTAACCGAGATGCTACGCAGGTAGTTACATCTTACCGTGCCGAGCAGCAGTCGCAAGTGGTGGTTGACCTTTGAACGGTGCAGAGTGTAGTTGGTCGCATTTTCACTCGCGAGAAGTGGGGAATTATTAATCGTAGCAGTAATACTGCTCGCACTGTATTTGTAGAAGATGAAGACTAATGAAGTACAACTACATGGAGGGAGCACAAAACAAAGACATCAATGAAAGAGGAAAGCAATTAAGCACCTGCGAGAGAGCAACGATGAAAAGCACAGAGAATAATTAGCAGCAGCGGGAAAGAGGACAACAAGTGTGGGCAGGTATCGCTGCAAAGCTTGCATGCAAGCGAGGTTACACTTCGAGCCCTCCTCCGCTCTCGGCGCAATAAAGATAGAGCGGGGGTGCGTCTACCATTCGATCGGGGTCGCGAAGGCGAACAGGTCGCATTTTGCGGACGGTCTCCGCACCGGCTGGGGCATTGGCTGCGCACGCGAGTGGTGCTGCGACAGGTGTCTGTGACACTGCCTCCATGGACATGGGCATCGATCCGGCGGGTGTCGCGATCTTGGTCGTGAGATCTTCGACGCCAGACGGTGTCGGTGGCGATACGGACGACGCCGGCGATGTCGGCATCGAATGCAATGCCTCATGGGGTAGACGGAGTTCCCAGGGATGATGGCGGCATGAGGTAAGTGACCACCGTTTGAGGTGCCAGGGTCACCGTGGGGGGCGCGGCGTTGGCTTCGGTGGAGACGTCGAGGGGGCACGGCCGCTGATGAACAACGGCGTGCAGGCGGTGCCTATATACAGGGTGGTTGACGGTATAGGAGAAGGAGCTGGCAAGGGAGCAGCGTACGTGGGATACGGACCTGGTCCCTTGAAGTCTCTCTTCACCTTCTCCTGGAACTCGATGAGCGCGGTGGGCTCGACGTTCAGCTGCCACTCGAGGTAACTGCACATCTCGCGTTCCATCTGGCTGATCTAGCGAAGGGTGAACATGTCCTGGCCGACGATGGACCACAACTTGTTCGAATATGTGTCGTTGCGAATGACTTCGTAGGAGAGCATGAAAGCGGAGATAAAAAGCTGGTGGCCGGATGAGCCTCGCGCAGGGGGGAATCTTGCTTTTAGTTGTTGTAATAGATAGAGAGCTGCGAAGGTGAGAGATTCGTGTAATCTTGTTCTGTGCAGCGCATAGGCGATAAATAGATCGAGACGAGGCACTGGCTATGAAGGCAACTGGTCTGAGGATTGCTCCGGGCGTGCAAAAGTATGGGTGACAAAGTGTGTGCATACCTTGGCCACCTCTTCGTGGTCATAGTAGGAGTTCCGCGCTGAACCACCGTGTCCTGTGCGGGGTATGGGTCGAACCGCAAGCCGGTCGTGCAAATAAAACAGCCACGGCCATTTATGGTAATCGGGGCATTAAAACATTAAAACCTTTGACTCTTGCAGTAGTTCTCCCTATCAAGACTTCTTCAGTGCATAGCCCCGTAGGTCAGGTAATCAAGTTAATGCTGTATTGCTTTTATGTATTTTTTTGAGCCGGTTACTGACAGCAAGGGCGCTTGGCGCTGGGCGGCCTCGGGTTAGGGTCAGAACGGTCGCAAAGGGCGTCTGGCTCAACCTTTCCAGACGTTTAAGCGTCCCCTGAGCTTCCCGGCCACGGCTTTCGGTCTGTTTGCTTGATTCATGCCAACTGGGGCTTCAGAATCAAGGTCAGTGGTTCCAGTGATAAAAATTGGAAGTGTAATGAGTGGAGACCCAAGGAAATATTGCTGGGTTATCCACCGCACTGGAGTATCCAGTCAAAATCACTGGATTCTCTGGTACTGGACTTTCCATTTTTTTTGAGGTTGCACAAATGTACTGGATATCCCAATCATATCATCTGGGTCATTGGAATCTCCGTTGCTAAAAAATGGATCTACTTCCTACAGTGTCGCTCGACGCCGCCAAAGTTGCAGCCTCTTCAGCGTCGGATACGGTTCCCTCGGACATGCTGCTCTCTACTCTCTCGCCCCGTACGGACTTCTCATGGCTCGCTCTGACATTTCTTAGGCCGAAACCAGTGACTAGGCAGCCATGAAAACTGCCGCGCTCGCATCCACCACCACCTACGCCATTGTCATCCGCGCATAGTTTACCGGAGGACGAAGGCTACACTGATATGATGCGGGAATCTCCTCCACGCGCAACACACCGCGTCAAAGGTAGCTGGCAAAGTGAAGTGGGCCGGGTCTGGTACAGGGAAGCAGATTGGAACAGCATGTGAGCGGGACGGGTTTTGGAGCCGTGCGCGGGAGACACTCAGGGACTTGAGGCAAAAGACGTAGCGGAGAGACAGAAATGCAGGCACGAGTAACAAACGAGAAGACGTACCCTACGCAGACGCACCCACGCCCCGACATTGATCTTTTCCAGAGTGCCAAAATGGACTCCTCGGCATGCGATTACATAGACGCGCTATCACTGCACGCTTCTCGAGCTGCTCCGACGCATCTCAGCGTCGTTTAGCCCCTTGATGGCATCACCAGCTCAGTGACCGTCGCGGACTATTGTACTCCGTTGGCACTTTGAGCACCGCGTCATACGCGACACAGCTAGTCCGCCCAGCGTCGGTGTTACCCTATCACCAACTGTTCCCTCGCACAAAGCGTGAGCATCAACGAAGTCTCAGCGAAGTCGCAATTGTGGAAGAATGCTCCCGCTCTGGTATCTTGATGATGGACACAGCCCTGGAACCTACCAACAATGAGCTTATCACACTCGTGAACCAGGACCAGTTCCTAGTCTCCACAACGTTTGACAAAACCACTCTGCGCCCACCAAATTACCAGCCATTTCTTTAGCGCAACAAAGGTCCTGCTATTGGCGCTCATATTGAGTATGCTCAGATAGCTGTTGAGACTTGAAGTGAAGGTAAGTCACACACCGCCGAGATTTACGACAATAACCGATATTCTGCCAGAATTTGACTGTAGCCTATGTTGAATGCTCACCGCGGTGACTCCATGATCCTCACCACCAGCCACTCCCAACGCTGGCGGTACCTTCTCCCACTCGCCCTGCAAACTCTTCGGTGCTTGTCACAGACAAGCTTGAATGTCACGGCATGCATAGCGATCTTCCCCTCCATATACTCCAATTCATATGCCCTGAGTTTCAACCTCTTGCTCGGTGCTGCCACTGCCGCCGCGGGTCCGAAGCACCCAGTTTTTGTTGGCACAGAAGCTTCGGACGAGCACCTTGACTCCCCGGATGAGAATTCAATGTTCTCCTACGATCTTATGAAGAAAAATTGTCAGCTCGGGTGTCCCTACCACAGGGCGAGCATCCAGAGGCTATAATCACCAAGTCTTTTCATATTCACTAGATCTCTATGGCACATATCTACTGAATCCCCACTTCTAAAAGGCATGCAGCCGTGCTACAAGTCAAGTAGCGACCGGGTCCACAAGCAGGATGCCTATTGCGGACGTCAGATTGCAGCGAGCTATCGTGCTCAGCAGAGACTGCCCAGTCTCAGAAGTCAACATCCCACTTTGTATGTGCATGTGATGTTGCCCTCACCATGCTCTGAATTATTTCAATGATCGGTCGGCTGGTCTTGGTATTTCTAGTCCTGTCTCTGCATCTCATCTGCGATGTCACGAGTACTAAGCTCACCAATAGGTCTAAGTATACGAGAAGGTCATTGGTGTGGCCTATTGACTGAACTACAAGCGCATGCCCCCCATCCTGTTTGTGCCCTTCACCTTTGAATGCAGATGTCTTCGACGCTTTGACCCATGTGCTCAACACCTCTCTCGAAGACTCGAATGCGACCATCGGCGCTTTCATGGTCAACTTCCTTGTTTATGACAACAAATGAACGTTGTATTCTCAGCACGACTACGCCAGCCTTGTGGTCATCGCAGAGATCTCTGTCGCTGGCCTCTCGCAGTAGGCCATCTGAAACTATAACTGTTTCGACTGCGAAGACACCAATTACAGGCGCAAAGGTAGGCCTTTTTTTATTTTGTGAAATTTTCCCTGTTGTACCTCCGGAACGTGAATGTTGGCATGGTATCTATGCAGGCTACTTCTGTGGTTGCCAGGCGTAAGTTTTGCTCTCGCTCTTGAACAACTTGGAGCAAGGATACTGTGTATCAGTTATCATTTGATAGTTGCTAGCCATTATGACAGTTGGGCACCGGCGGCGGCGTAGCTGCAATCTACTCATGTATGTCGTGGGCGTAGCCCCAGCCTCCTATTTTATTTTCATTTTCCCCGATTTATTCTATGTTTGTATGACCCTCCAAACGTCGTCGGCGCATTGGCGCCAGTTTACAAGTCCTAGCCGCGCACTAAACACCTTGAGAACGCATCACCGACCGGCATGCATCAAGCGCATCAACGCGCCCACCTCACCGCCACCTCGTCACCACATCACGCTTCCTCGGTAACAGCCGCACTCCGACCTCCACCGGACATCTGATCTCCGTCGGCCCGACAACGTCATATGCTATGACACGCCGGCCCCGTTTATCTCCAAGTCCGATCGGCAACGGACATCCTATCTCCGTCGGCCTGACAACGTCATACGCTATGACACACCGGCCCTCGCTTCCCCGCCAAAGTACCCCAGATACTAGCAGCCGCCGTAGCACAGTCGCTTATATAACGCCTGGTCCGTGCGCAGCCTGACTAGTATATAAGGAGTCCCTTTGTTGCTACCTAGCCCCCATCTCAACCTCTTGGTTAATTGGGCTAGGTAAGCCTTTGTTTGTACTTTAAGTATAATCACTAATACACTTGGTTAATTGGGCTAGCTGAACAAGCTAACACACAGTCACCAGATCTCATCGGCGCCGCCTTCTGATTAGATCCACGCAGCATCCCTCGTGGTGTGTTGACGCAAGTCCACATCAATGTAGTTGCAAGTACTGGTGGTCAGGAACGCGCTGTTGCATCTCATCAATGTCATAGGCCAGCACTGCATAGCAATTATCTACTCAGACAACTAGCAAATAGCGAGCACTGTGCCCACGTAGAATGCATGCGTGCGGGTGCTGGTGGGCACGGTTTTTCCCTCGTGGGATTGATCAGAGACTAGCTAAACAAGGCCCTGTGTTTTTCGGTTTTCACCTGAGAATAATCAGAGACAAATTTCATCAGTTTGAAATGTGTTGTCTGGTTTTCCACCAATTTCATTTGCTCAATTTGCCTCAGCATATAACCAGGGAAAAATTGGGCCTTATTTAACCATCTTTACCTTTTGATTTTTTCATAGAAAAAAACTGCACTCACACCCTATGGCAGTCTGTGTAGTCATGGTATTTGCTTGGCCGCTCTTTCTCTAGCAACCACTTCCATTGCCACGCATGTTGATTCACGCCACCGTCAAGTCTGATGACAGCTTGACAGCAGTGCACATGTTATGGTCTCTCTCTCTATGTGCCTTCATCTTACTAGTATGCTTTATCCATGCTCTGGTGATTCCCGGCTCGGGATGTTGAACAACCAGCTCTCCTTTACTGCTGTTGTATCATTATTTATCACAAATCTTCAGTTGTAGCAGGCAGCTGTGATTGCACTGGGTTGGCAATGATATCAATAATTTTGTTGCATGCAAAGAGCTTGCCGAGAAGCTTCGTGACAATGCCTACCGTAGGGTAGCTGAGGCCATCCTGTGACAGAAGTAAATAGTCATCTGCATAATCATACAAGCCGGCTATGCAGATAAATTGTCAACAACAACATTGGCATGGCGCCACATCTCTAAAATCCACACTGGGAAACAAGGGCACATGTTACAGAATATCATATACACTGAGTGTCAAAAGTAAATGAACACCCACTCGACACTCTCGTTCTCCGCGACCCCTGAGTTTTAAATGCCAGAAATATCTGTGTGAGATATATCATACATAAGAATGCTAAATATAAAATTTTGAAAGCTTTAAGCAGATTTCAAGAATGTTATGAAAGGATGACATCTCAACTCACACTCAAGCTGGCACTTTTGACAGAAGTTTGGCCATGCTCTGCCAAAATACCATGGCCTATGCACCCAAATCTTTTGTAGGATGCTTCACCCCTTGCTCCTAGTAACCAGGGCTATTCATAAGGGGGTGCTCCCCAGAGCTTTCCAGCTAATAATGGATCTTGGTAGTATTCTTCCTCTCACATTGCCTTCCACTACTGACTCTTGGCTAGAGACTGAAGGTCCCTCTTTTTCACTCAGTGAGTCAAACAACCCTGCAATTGTTTAGCAAAGTTGTGATCAGGACCTCAGGAGAAAGAAGGCAAAGCATACACACCTTCCTTGGTGGACTGCTTGCATGTTCCCTCTAAAGTGTGCTCCAGAACATTCTTCTACAGAGTTGAGCACAACTTAGGGAACTATGTTACTTTTTAGGATAATATACAAGATATTGACAAAGGTTTGAAATATAATTGTGGGGATTTACAGTGCCGGGATGCAATATACTTGACTGGTGCTCTCTGGTTTGTCAGTTCCACAGGTAATTGCCTTCTCCCAACCAAATACATGCTTTCCAATGAGCTGTATTTGATGGCAACTCCATCCTATGCTATTCCAAGTCATATCATGACCATCTGAGTGGCAGGGAATGCACATGGACTTCTGGGAGAATATGTAACACCTCCACTCTTCAAATTTCCAGAGCACAATTGCTTCCATGTAAAATACCTGAAAGGGTCTCAAAAATTTCTTGAGCAAGTCAGACTCCAAATATAGCTGCCAGAGAGCTGAATAGTTTGTGGTACAGATCTTACATCCAAACCTGCATTATGTATGCAAAAGTTGCTCTAGAAACTGGCTGTAGTGCACAATTTTTGCTACATTATATTACAATTTTCTGTGAATATTCAAGCCAAAACCTTGTAGAATATACACAAATAAAAGCTTCGGAGTAGCTTGGAGACTCATGCTGCAATAGTGGCTGGATCTCGGGTGGCGTGGGTGTCCATTTACTTTTGACGCTCAGTGTATATCCAAGTTGCATCCCTCTTCAAGCTTTAATGTACAGTAATACATAGCTTATTCCGCTACAAGGATGAAATGTCGTGGCTGAGACTCCGTGTAAGTATATTCCGTTTGAGCTATTTGTCACCCCAATTTCTTACAGCCGTTGCACATTATCATGAACGTATTTTGTGATGAAAGTAATGTGTGACGTCCGACTTCCTCGTGCGAAATCATCAAGCTAATAGCGCCGGCACTTTCCCAGCCATCGATTCAGGGCGCCAGTAATATGCCCGGGACTGACAACTACACCACATTCCACCGAATATGGGGTGTACTCACCGGCACCCACTGGTATCCAGTGAAGTCCAGTGCTAGTCTCCAGTGGCTGCCGCTGTTGGCTGGTGGGTATCAGTGAGTAACAGTGGGTAGCAGTGAGACACACCGGATCCCACTGGACTTCGCAGGTTGCCACCGGCTACTGGCACACATCACCAGCGATTTGCATCAAACATTGCTCAAAGCCACTGGCTTATCAAGTACCAATATAAATACAAATATTCTTTTGTAATAAGCTCAATACATGCTTAGCCACTGGCATCTGTATAGATGCCTATTCTCCTCTGAACTGTGCACTATCCCAGAACTCAGCTCTCACTGAAGTGTCTCTATGCAGTACACCGTCTGAGTGCAAAAGGTGTGTAAAATTGATTGCCAGATGTGTCCCCAAGTGGAAGCAGCTGTAAGTAATTCTTTGAGGCATATTATACTACACAGACCTGGTTAGAGGCTCCTGAGATTTTTTATAAACTTTCTATAAGTTCAGGAATGAGCTATCAGGCAGTGGGGGCAGGCTGCCAGCAGTCACATTAATATTTCAACAGCTATGAACCTTGTTGTTGTGATTCTCAGGTAAATGTATATTTTCTGAGTGAGAATAT